TCTGTTGATATCAGTCTAATATTGGTATCAGATCAGTGCCATCTCAATTCTTAAAACATACTGTAGGCTAATATTTTCTTTAATGTCTTAATGTTTGAACAAATAATTATTTAATGTTTTTTCCCAACAAGGAAAAAAAAGTATGTATTTTTGAAAATACAACTGAAAAGCTCTGAAAGTGCCGATAACACGAATTAAGCATGAGATACTCATTCATTTTATGGACTTTTTAACTTTTAATGTTTACGTCAAAAAATACACATGAATTCCAATCTGATCATTATCATTAAGGCCTCGTGTCCACACATCGGATATGTATCCATCTTAGGACCACATATGAAAGGCTGTGTTCACATTACCGGGTTGAAGTGGTGCAAATCTGTTTTGTTTTTTGGTTTTTTTTTGTGGTTTTTTTTTCTTTTTTTTCAAAACCATATGGACCAGGGTTACTGTAATTTTGACATTTTGGTTTTTGATTATAGTTTATTTTTGCTTAGTCTTAAGCGTGCCTGAATAGTTTTAGTTTTGTTTTTATTTTCTGAAAAGTAATTGTTTTAGTTTAGTTTTTATTTAGTTTTATTTTTTAGTATTGTAACGAGTGCTAAGATGGTAGGTAGGATAAAAGTATGGCAACAGTAGACTGGGCTTGGCTCGGCTCCAGCTTTCCTTAAAGAAGGCTAAACACAGAAGAGTACCTCTTCTAAACTTTCATTCATGTACTGAAAAAATAAAAACTAAAGTTTTTTTCTCAGTAATTCCATTTCATTTTAATTAGCTTTGCAGTTGGCATAGTTTTGACTCGGTTTTGAAAACTGACAATTTTATTTTATTAAGTCCACATCTCTGAAAATGTCACATCTGTGTTACAAGGCATAAAAATTGGATCTGTACCACTTCAGCCTGGAACAGTGAACCTGGCTGTAGATTCTAAACATTGCGTGACCTCCACATTCTTTATATGTTAAATATGTTGTTTGAGTTCATGAAGTGCACGCAAGTGCTTGTATTTTCAACAGTTAAATACAAGCACTTACTTATGAATGAGTGAATAGGAGTTGATTGTTTGGGCAGCTCGTGTCCAGGTGTGTCTTGGAGGCACTTCCTGGGGCATGATGGTCCAAGAGCACAGCCTTGACCCAGTGGAGCACAGCCACTAACATGCCACTGGAAGAGGAAAATCATTGTAAGCGTATTGTGCCGTGTGGTTATTAGGTCATTCAGAGTGAAACGTTTTCCTGCTGTAGAGCTCTGATTAGCTGTGTGTGTGGTCTGCTTAGTAATGGTGTTTGATTGATTGATTGTGCTTTATGTGCCTTACAGTGAGTCAGTGTGATTGTTTCTCAGTCACTGGTGGACTGTGCATGTGGGTGTGTGTGTGCATCTCAGGTCATGACCTCGTAATGGGTGTTCCTGGTATATTGTGTCTGCCTGTGGCTGAACTGGGTGTTACCTGGCGATATTCTCAGAACAGGATCTGATCACTGTGCCCCTGTCCTTTTGTAGCCCACATTTTAAAGGTCTAGTCATAGTATAATATTTCAGACAAAAAAAGGTGTGTTTTTAAGCACTCTGGAACTTTCACATCAAGTCTGTTTCTTCAAACACTGAGAACATGGGAAGAAGACGTAAAGAGGAAAATTTGATTGCTTGAGGACTAGCAGCAATTAATATCTTTATTCTTTTGAGCACTGCAACTGAAAGGTGTACACACTGTGTAGACCACATTCAAAAAAAGAAAGACCAGGCATAAACATACTAAGAGACCCTTATATAAACTGTGAAACGTTATAAACTGATGCTGTGTTATGCTAAAATGTTCACTGTCACTCTCCAGCCTTTCAACTATGGTCAGTTATATAACCTCTGTGTTTTTTAGTCAGCATGTTGCTTTTTGTATAAGATTTTGTGCTCTGCCACAAGCAAAATGAGGTGTTCTGCCGCCATCATGATGCACATTTGTCTGGGCTGCAACCTTGACAGCAGGGCTCTGATTGCTCAAACTGATTTTAATGCGTCCATATAGCACAATAAAACTGATTGGCTGATATTTAAAAACATTACATAGGGCTGCAGTCCGTCAGTTTCGGATAACATTAATTAGCATGAATTCATTTTCATGTCTTGATTTAGATGTGTTTTTTTTTTTTTGGTAAAAGTCAGACTCGGTAAATGTGAATAGGCCATAGAGGGACATTCCACAGATTTTTCAAATTTTCTTCATAATTTAATCTTTAAGATATACACAAAGTCATTCAGAGTAGTATGCTGTAAAAAGCTCTGCTCTAGACAAACCTACCTAGAATTATTCAAAATGATGGTGATAGGAACCAAATGTCCAAAGCGTTTAATGCTTAGACAAGCTACCTCACCAAAAGTTTTCACATGGGGATGAAATGGGAATGAACATTATTTTACGATAGTATTAACGTCAGCTTTTGGCCTGAAACAAAAGAAATATTCATGGCAGAGAGGTTCATGCAGGATGTTGTCTGGCAAAATAGTTCCCAACAAAAACTTACTTTTTCAAATTTGCCACTATTTTCCCATTATCAACATTACATATAGATTCACTGGTTGTTTTGGATAGTAAATAAAATGGCTATATTTGTGTTGTTAGACATCGTGACCTCTGGTTTGCCGCCACTGTAAGTGAACTTGAGTAGGTAAGTCTCTTCACATTGAACCATTTCACATAGAAACACTCTGAATCACTTTGTTTACATCTCAACCATTGAACTATGCTGAAGTTTTTTAAAAATGTGAGGAATTCCCCTTTAAGGCCCAACTCTCTCTCTCGCTATCTGTCTCTCTCCCTCTGACACACTTTCTCTCTCTTAGTCTCTGAGCACATAATTGACTAGCAAAGCTGTGAGTAACAGTACACACTGATGTGTTCTTGTGTTTAATATGCAAAGCTTAATAAACCTATTGAGCACTAATTATAACAATGTCTACTTGAGATAGAAGAAACATGTGCTTTGTGCTCTGTTTGTTGTCTCCTGCTGTTATTAATTGCCTCGTAGTTAAGTGGTTGCAAGCATGTCTTTAAAGCACGTGCTCTCTGTTCATATTGGCCTATATTCATGATTCTGTCCTCCTCAGTATTCTGAAGTGGAAGATCTGCCCAGTTGAGTGTTGAAACAAGGAGCTAAGAGAAGCACGTCTCATGTTATTACTTGCAGCAGAATGCTGTCTCTCATTCAGAACTCAATTTCCCCCCAGCTCTGTGGAATTGGTTTGGTTACATGAGTGAGTGAGCTGGTCAGGGATGACCAGGCAGGAACAGTGAAAATGATCCACTTCTCTTTTTCTCTGACCTGAGGATCAAATGGAGAAGTACTGAAATAAAAATGCATGATTGAATATTCAGTAGCAGTTCTCCAAAACCCAAAGAGACTTACACTCTGTTAACCTCATGTCATTTGGTCACAGACTGGAGAAACTGCCCATTATGTGTAAATCACACTAAAAATGGGTTATAGTTTAAAAAAAAGCAAAATAAAAAATAAAGTATTCAGAAAAGAGGTGTGATACCATCAATTCGGGAATGCCCCAGTCTATATTTTTTTTAGTGATTTTGCAGCAGGCTGAAGGGGAAAAACAGATTATGTAGAAGAAATGAAGAGAAATGTAGGAACAATTGTGCTTGCGTTTTTATGTGTGTGTGCACCAGGGAAGTAGCTACAGGGTGCCCTTGGGGGCCTACACTCTTTGCAAAAAGAGTTCTGTATAGAACTCAAATAGGTTTTTTTGATTCGTAAAAATATTGGAGCCTTTTTTGGTGCTACATTTTACAATCTACAACTAGTTTTCCCTCAGAGAGAAGAACCAGTTGACCATGAAAAGAACCAATTATGCATTCAAATGGTTCTTTGTTTGTTCATGGTTCTATATAGAACCATTGCCTTTACTAAAGAACCCTTGAAGAACAATTTTTTTTTTTTTTTAAGTTTGCCTCTCCACTTGCAAGCCAGCCCATGCCCCCCAGGTTGTTAATTGTTTAGACCTTTCCAGTGCCAATGAAATGTACAAAGGTGTTCTTGCATCTTCTTGCCTTTTTTCTACCTTGAATAAACAAGAGACCCATCAAGTTTGAGCTTCGCACATGTTTTGACAGACGTTTTTTGACGTTTACATGGCTGCATGCCACCATAGGTTGAGCAAAAAGATGTGGAACTGCTAGTTCTTACAGGCTACTTACCTACACTAGCAAGTAGTTCAGCTGACTGCAGTAAAGTTGTCTCTGGGCTGTAATACTTGCTAGCTGCCCCCCCAACCTGTAACCAGATCCCCTCGTGATAAAATTCTAATTATGTCACTGGTGTGCAGGCACAGCCATATACTGAATGTCATGAGGATTGTTAATCTGCATGTTACAGAATAAGATGCACAGTACAAACTGAGTCAAATAATTTGCAGCATCTGAATTAGTGTGTACTTAAACATTCAGCAGCTTTCTTCTTTCTTTCCCTGGTGTTCTTACTTGGACTAGTTCTCTGTGTTCTGTCCATCTCACCCGTTTCTCTACTGAAAACAAGCTGGGTTGTGTGTGAGTCTGGGCATGTCATGAGGTGGCTGATAACTACCTGCAACTAGTCTGAACTGACTGCTAAATATGGAGTGGAAAATGTTTAGCAGACCAAATGCTTGGTGTGTGTGGGTGGGTGCACACACTTGCACATCTGTGTGAGTGACCTCTGGCCCTACTCTTAGAGACTCATCGAAATATACATATACTGGACTAAGCATTGTTAGACTGTAGGTAGAGCAGTCTCCTACTTAAGAGGAAGAACACTGCTCCCCCTGCTGGAAACCATGAGCTGATGCAAGGTTTAATACTAGACTGTGTCTTTCAAATATATTGTCATTGCTTTCAGATATTTGTGTGTATTTTTGTGAATGATTTAAAAAAGTAATATTTTTGTAAAATACCGTTACAGCAATGTCTATTTTCATGTTTTGCTTCTCATCCGCAGCTTTTTTCTTTTGGTGTTTTTCAGGTGGCCAGTGTCTTAAGCAGCAGTGAATTGTTCCCTGGCTCCTGGTAGGAAGCAGCAGTGGTGTTCCTAGCCATGAGTGTAATGGAGGACTTTCCTGTCCACTGAGTGTGCTGCTGTCAGGATTGCAGCCATGTCGGCTTGCAACACCTTCACCGAGCACGTGTGGAAGCCTGGCGAATGCAAGAACTGCTTCAAGCCCAAGAGTCTGCACCGCCTGGCTGAGGGGGATTCACGGAAAGGTCGCCACGAACAAGCCCCTGCCCAGCACAGCCAAACCCCTACAGGGGGCAGGACTAACATTAACCAGCATAGTCACTCTCCAGTGGTGGGTGGGGCTAGCATTAACACTAACATTACTAGCGGCACTCAGAGAAGTGGAGGCTCCTCCCGCTCTGGTCAGTTCAGGCCTCCTGTGGCAAAGAAGCCCACCATCGCTGTGAAGCCCACCATGATGCTCCCATGTTCAGGGGTGGGGCTAGATGCAGAGGGGAACCCACAGATGCCAGCAGAAGGGGTGGAGCCTGGGAAAGTTTCTGCTTTCACTGTCTGGAGTCACAACGGCCTGAACCGAAAGAGGCCCGCAGGACCAAACAACAATGAAGGAGACGAAGAAGGGGGGGAGATAGAAGGCTATGCTTCTCTCTGTCCACCTAGCAGCAGCAGTAACAACAACAATGGCCTGACAGACGTGCTGAAGGAGATAGCCGGTCTGGGCCCGAGCCCAAGCTCTAGCAGAGATGACTTTTTGGGCCGTATCAGCTGCTCGTACAGGCGCTCGCTTGAGAGAGGCCTGCCTGCAGCCGGCTGCCTGGCCTTGGGTAGCAATAGCAGTGGCAGAGCGGCCAAACATGTCTCTCTCAGCGACAGCGCTGAGATCATTAGCTCGGAAGGGGGGCGCTTCTGCTACCCAGAATTCTCCAGTGATGGAGAGGATGATGAGGAAGGGGCTGAGCTGAGTGAGGGGGATGATGATGATGATGATGATGATGATGATGATGGTGAGCATGAGAGCTGGGATGAGAGTGATGAAGAGCTTTTGGCCATGGAGATTAGGATGCGAGGACAGCCACGCTTTGCTAATTTCCGTGCTGCAACCCTGTCTCCCGTTCCCTTCGCAGCTGGTAAGAAATGGAACACTGTCCCGCTGCGGAACCGCTCACTGCAGAGGATCTGTGCAGTCGACTACGATGACAGTTACGATGAGATTTTGAATGGGTATCCTTCTGTGGACTCCAACGGAGCGCCTGGCCTGCTCTCGTATGGCAGTGACCCTCAAGGTAGTGGCTTCCTGTCCAACTCAGAGTCCACCACTTCACCAGAATTCTCTTCTTCTCTCCCTGACGACTCCTGTACATCCAGCAGTGGCAGCAGTGCCCCCTGTGGCCAACGGAATGGACTACACTTGGCTCCAGCCAGCAAGGAGCTCGCACACCAAGGAGACCCAGTGGGACGGGCACTGACTTCACCTAAAGCCACTGAGACTCACAAAGCTGTTCTGGCCATCCGACTACAAGAACAAGACACCAGTCAGAGAGAAGGTGGGCCTCTTCCACAGGCTCTCCCTGGTCAGCCAATCACAATCAGCTTCAGCCCTACAGAGGAGCAGGCTAAGCCCTACAGAGTGGTGAGTTTAGAGAAGACTCCCATCTGTAAGCCTTACACTGTCGTGGATGTGTCTGCCTCTATGGCCAGCACTGAAGAGCGAGCTTCTGAGAGCACTGCCAAGCCCAAGAGTCCGAACCCTGCATTTGGTCCACCACCTTACCCTGGGGCCTCCAAAAACGTCCCCCTTTCTGCTGGCTCTCCCTTTTCCCCAAAATCCCCCTTATCACCCAAATTACCTCTTTCTCCTAAGTCTGTAGCAATATCTCCAACCTCTCCAGTCTCTCCATTCACTCCTGTCTCTCCTTCAGTACAGGTCTCTCCTAGCACTGCTGCTGCACCCAGTCCTTCCTCCAAGAAGCCTGGGAACATCCGCTACCAGGAGGTGTGGACATCCAGTACCAGCCCTAGGCAGAAAATCCCTAAAGTTGAATTGCTGAGTGGGGGGACATCTGGACCATCACTCCCTCCCAGACACAGCAACCATAAATCGGCTCCCACCTCCCCCGTTGCCGGCCTTTCCTCCTCACGCACTGTACCTGTCAAATCACCCAACTTGTCTGAGATCAAGTTCAACAGTTACAATAATGCAGGCATGCCGCCATTCCCCATCATCATCAGAGATGAGCCTACATATGCACGCAGTTCAAAGAATGCTGTGAAAGTGCCCATTGTGATCAACCCCAGTGCATATGATAATCTGGCTGTGTATAAGAGCTTCCTAGGCCTGAGCGGGGAGCCGCCCCAGCGCAAGCCTGGAGCAGGTAGCCGTGTGACCAGCCACACATATGAAGAGATTGGCTCGTCTGAGAGCACACAGCCCTCTCCAACAGAACACATGCCCAGTGCCAGAAAACCTGCCTCAGCCACTACTGAGGAAGAGAGAGACACCACAAGGGTAGTAGAGGCTCCTCATGAAGACAAAGCTAAAAGTACTACTGACTCCAATGTAGTATCAACCAACTTCTCAGTTACTTTCTCCACTCCCAGGGCCAACGTTACCCCTGCTGCCAGCGCTCTCTCTGGCAGCCTGACCAAGAGCAGCTCTGCCACAGCCAACCTCAGCCGCAGCCGTAACCCCAGCGGTGAGCCGCCAGTGGGCAGCAGTGAGTGCCAGTCCTCCTCCACCAGTGGTTCAGGGCACAGAGAGAAGGCCAGCATGGTGCTTTCTCAGATAGTAGCCTCTATCCAACCCCCACAGTCACCACCAGAGTCGCCCACCGCTCAAGGTAAAACCTGTAGTGCCGAGGAGCTTTACTCTCTCCCCCCTGATGCCATTAAGGGAACCCTCAGCAGACCCAAGTCCCTTCACTGCCCTGAAGACGGTGGCCTGTCAAAGTCCCGTAAAGAAACACCATCCAAGCTTCTCCCCAAGTCTCAGAGTGCCTCGGCAGCCGAAGCTCCCACAAGTCCCAGACCCGAGCCCGGTGCCCCCTTCCCCCCACCTAGATCCACCTCCTCCCCATATCATGCCACCAACCTGCTCCAGAGGCACTTCAGCAATTGGACCAGGCCAACGGGCTCCAGGCCCAGTGATGGGGAGGTCAGCCCTGGGGCAGAGGGCAGGCGCTCAGCCGACAGCAACAAGCCCAAACGCTGGATCTCCTTCAAGAGCTTCTTCCGCCGGCGGAAAGACGAGGACGAGCAGAAGGAGAAAGCAGAGAGAGAGAAGGAAAAAGGGAAGCTAGTGGGTTTGGACGGGACTGTGATCACCATGCTACCTCCTCCCCCCATCCAGAGGCAGCACTGGTTCTCAGAGTCAAAGACGGATGATCCCACCCAGAAACCCACCATCATATTCACTTATAAGCCTGACAGCGGGGCAGGAGGAGATGGGGAGGGGGAGCTCAGGGTGGAGGAGTGTAATGCATCGACAGCGACCAATCTGAACCAATCAGGTGCCCCCAAGAGCAGAGCCAGCCTCCTTATCAGCAAAGTCATGAGGTAAGCCTCTCTTTCTCTTGTTCTCTCTCTCTGAGCTTTTATCGTCATTGAATTTCCATTAAATTCCCATGAAGTTCCCTGGTGACCTTGGTTCAGCTTTTTCTGGTTGATTGTGTCGTTAGCGCTGGAGTATGTGCAGTGTACTAAGTAGGCTAAGGCGTTTTGATCACTGCATTATTTCCTAATATGCTTTTGGGTGCTGAGTCATTTCTGGGGAGTAGGTTTGTTTACGTATTGTTCTCCGTGTTTGTTTACCCATTATGTGTTGCTCCACACTTTTGTAGTGTACAAGTCACATACAGAATCCATATCCAGTGATTCCAGTTACTTATCATTTCCTCTGTGTCATGTGATTATCTCACCTTTCATTTTGTCATAAATAATCTCTTTGACTCATGTGTTTCGCAATTAAGGTACAAAGGTTCAGGGTTTATTTGCCATGTATATAACAATCACAAGTACAAGTATGGTAAAATTCCTATTGGTGAAGGGCTCCCAGTAGTAAACTACTTTAGTAAAGTAGGCTTTAATCAAAGAACAGCGTTTCCCTTTTTAGACGGACAGCAGAGCAACCATATTAAGGGTTTATAACAAGATTTTTTGTCTGTACTTTAAAAATGCCACTGAATGATAGTTCCTTTTGGCTACATCATTTTTCATGTCTTGGTAGTTGCATTTTGAGAATTAATATTTGCCCTCATTTGCTCACTGTCTGCCCAGACAGAGGATAGGGTTAATCACTCTTTCCTGTTTATCAGTGAGCACACAAGTGGAGGGAGTGACCTGAAGCCTGCACAGTAGTGCTCGCAGGTGAATATCAGAGAGAGAGAGAGAGAGAGAGAGAGAGAGAGAAAGAGAGAGAGATAGGTAGATAGATAGCATAAGATCACCTGAGGACTTTTATCTCTCGGCCTGAGTGCGAGAGGGCTTCCAGCCATGGGCAGCTGTGTGAGCCAGTACAGCAGGTAAGTTTAGCACCGAGTGTTGGTTTAGCTGGGTGTGTAAGGAGTTTGTGTGCTTTCTGAGAACTAAACGCTTCATTGGACAGGCTCATTGGTTCAGGCTGTTAGAACAAGTTCTGACAGTTTGGCTTCTGCTGTTCAGGCGTGAGGTCATCAAACCATATCTTCACTAGCATTTTAAAATTGTTTGAGATTGAAAGGAGTGCAGTACCTTTTTTATTTGTGCTTGAATGGTCTTTGTGGGAAACTATTAATAGTAAAGGTAAAGGTAAGTGTTAGCTGCCTCACACCTTGCGTTTTTCGTGTGCTGTTTGTTTCCATTTCCATCTGTTTTCATACCAGGTGGGAATGGAATATATTGCAAAGGAATTTAGAAATGAGCATACGCTCTTAGGACTACATGTAGTTCTTTTATTAGATGGCTTTGACAATGATAATAAACAAGGCACGAGACACCAATGTGAATTACAGAACTGTGCACAAGCCAGAGACCTCAATATATGTAGTTTACAATCACAATTACAGTTAATTTTTCAAGAGATAGTTCTGATGAAATTAGATGCAAAATAATCTACTTGCATATATAAAGGGAAAAAATAAGGAAAATAAGTGAAAAAACAGGAGATTATTGAATGTTATAGACAAAATGGGACTCCTAACAACCATGTAAGATGTCATAGACCACCAAAACTGTCACCATCAGATAAACTTAAAGTACTTAAAGCTTTCATCTTTGACAAGAAGAAGAAAATCAGCTCCACGCTTCCTCCAGATATGGGAAAATCCACCAGTGTTTCTGTCCATCTTTCCATTTTGAGAGGGTATCTCACAGCTATGGGTCTGAAAGGATGTGTAACTGTCAAGAAGCCATTACTGTGACTGTGTCATACTGCAGGTTCAAACATGTTTTGATTTTTACTTCTGTTGGGCCATGAGGAACTCAATGAATGTGTTTGTTGACCATGAGATTATTTTGATGAGTGTCAGTCCGAGAGCAGAAGTTGGTAATAGTTACCTTTCTAAATGTCTTGTCACTATGACTGAAATATTCAGATATGCTTATGTAATGAGACAGTTGAGGTGTTTATATAGTTGAATGAGACAGATTTACTTTTCTAATGTTTTGGAACTGATGTGTTTTATTTTTGAGGAGCATATTATAGAGTCTATGCTAGATCACTGCAGTAGTGAGGTGTGTTTAATGAGGCAGTGTGCTGAAGTCTGCAGAGTTTTTGACCCATGAGGACTGGAGCCTGACACATGTAGTTTACACAGATAAAATACACTTTTTCCACAGTTTTGGAGGTAGGCGACTGTGTAAGGCCAGAATACGAGAAATCTAGTATAGTACAGTTTTGCCCATAGATTTTGGACAGCTAATATCAGTAATTCTGTTGCGCTTAGATTTGTATTGCACTCACTAAGTGATGCGCTCAGACTGTGGGTGGTGGCTTACTGATTTTATGCTGTTTGGAAGCTGTGAATAAAAAGGTTTATGATCTCTAGAGGTTGAATTTCATAAATATAAATTTTATAAATATGCTTGAGTAGAAATAAAAATATTGTCATTTGAAAGTGCTCCAAAAAGTACAATCCTTAAAAATGTTACATGTTCATGTACCTGACTAGCTGGTGCTTGTTGCTGAGGTGGGAACCCTGCAGTTTCACTGATGCTAGTGAGATGAGCTAAAACTGTGACTGGTAAAGCATGCTACTCAAATAAAGCATGACCTGAAAGTAACATTTAACCCACACTCTCAGGAACAACACACACATTTAGATACCACAGGTTTTCTGTCCATAGCGTCACCTCATGTTTGTGCTGTTGATTTGTATCAGCAGTGCTGACCTGGAATATTTGCAGTAAAATAAATAATGATATGAATATGGAGCTATAAATAATAGCGACAGTAGTTAATTAGTGCAGCTCTGCCCTCTTTCTCTGGGCTAAACTCAGTAATCAGCGCATGCAATTTGGGGTTATACATAATGAAGTTGCTGCAGTCATTTCTGATCCAGAATCTGAGGCGTCATACTTTAGGCATCTTAAGAGGCCACTGAGGGGAGAAAACATGTCTGTTCAGAATAGAGCCGTGACAGTGTGCCTGAAGCCTTCACACATTTCTCTCTCTCTCTCTCTCTCTCTCTCTCTCTCTCTCTCTCTCTCTCTCTCTCTCTCACGTCTGCAATTTAATACACAATTACTGTTTCATTGCTTAATTTGATGTATTGGAGAAAAAAATAATAAATTGAAAGCCTGTGCAAAAGTTAGGGCACATTTTATTGTACCATTTTTTTTTTCTCCAGTATTTTAAACTCAAACAGTAAAAATTGTGCACTAAAATTAGCAGACAACTGCTACAACTGTGTTCTCTGTAGAGGATATGTTAACTTATTTTCACTTACAAAAGCAACAAAATATGTAAAATTTGACCCAAGAATTTTAGACTTTTTTAAATTACATGTACATTTGATTTACTTAACAACAGGTCATGTTATGTCTTTTTTCCCTCATTTGTTTTGATTTGAAATAAATGCAGATGAATGGGGGGAAAAAATGTAAAGGATTTTTAAATGTGGTATTTATTGAAAGGGAGATCAGACTTACATGCAGCTCTGGCACAGAAACACACACAGACATGTGTGTGTGTGTGTGGGGGGCGGCATGTGTGTTGCAAGCGTTTCATCTAGAGTCTGAGTACAGTAGTAAGTTAGTCAGCATATGCCATTCAAGTAGGGGCATCTCAGCTGGTGGGATAATGGGACTGACTATTCAGCGACTCTAGGTGAAGGGGACCCTCAAGGGGCCTGGATTAAAAAAAAGTTGAGGTTAGTGTGTAGTTTGAACTTGAAAGAAATAATCACTAGCCAGCTAGGGTTGCCAATGCTCACACTTTCGGCCACTGTTTCGGCCACATCTCTGACGTCAAGTAAAAAGATGCAACAAAGCCACATCCTGATGAAACAAAATTCAGTTGGACCACAAGACTACTTTTTCAGCATGATCAGCTGAGCTTGGTATATAAATAAACATAACAGATACGCTTTCAGTTGGCTGTATACTGCATTAATTAGCATTAAAAGCAGCCCTCTGCATTTTTTTGCCCTCACTTGAAATGGTGGTGCAACGACAGTAACCGTTGGAATTAAATGCGAGAGAAGACCTCAGTAGCATGAGCAACTGCTTCTCATCAGTCGGAAGTCAGTGTGGATGTATTTTAGTGCACTCTGCCTGTTTCCTGTTCATCTGCAATAAAGCGCAAAATAAACATTAAGTAACAACTGTTAACCTCCTGAACCCTAGGCTTATTATTTGATTATTAATCTTAAGGCTTATTAATTAGTAACTACTATGAAACTAATATGCAAGCTAAGAGAGTTAGTAACTGAAATGTGAGTCTTCATATGGACCTTCAGGGTTTATAAGGTTAAAAAAAATCCTGTTGAGTTGACTTTAAATAAGAAGTAAAGCATTACTGCAACCTTTTTAATGTACACTTCTGTGCAAATGTTTAGGTACCCCTGGCGAAATTACATATTTTGTTGTATTTTGTTATAAGTAAACACAGCCTCTACAGCAGACTACTAGAATAACATTTTTCTGCAAATGTTAATGCACACTTACTTTGTATTTGATTAACATTAAAAACGAAATTGATTTTTTTCCAAATCATTATTTGATATTGTCTGTAAAAAGTTCCTCCAGGAATCAGCAGTCACAAATTCACCCAACCTTTGCAATTTGGTCCCATCACCATTATTACATCAGCGTTATTTCCATATTAAGCATGTAAATTGTATTAGTGCTTTCATAGTTATTGTAAATGTCATGCTAATGTGTGGTTTTGCGGTGGGGCACGGGGTGTAGTTGATAATCCCAGTTTTTTTGGCAATGAGGAAGTATTGTGGTAATTATATTGTTCAAAATAAAAGCCTTATTATAAAACTTATTATAAAATAAGTTTGCTAGCACTTTATTTTACTGTTGTTCCTCATCTTTCCTGATATCTTTCCTGATATTTGACGGTAGAAGTATGGTGCTTTTCCTGTGTACAAGTAGTTTCTTTACTTATATAGTATATTTCTGTAGGTTCTCATCTCTCAGAAGCCCACTTAGGCCCAATCCCTTTTCTTATTTTTGCTCCTGCTCCTTGTTTTCAAGTACGCTACAAGGGGTAGTGGTTGAAATCTTGCCCTATAAAATTGGACAACCCTTAAATAAAAAAGAACATTACTTTATTAACAGGCTACTTGCGTTGCTCTGTAGGCAACCCTGCCAGCCTGCAGTGACAGCAGAGGAGGGTAAAGTTCAGCAACCTCTCTGCTGGGCCTTACTTAGATTTAGCGCATCATATGCTACAATTATTTATTATCGCTCACCCCTAATTCTTCTGTGATATGAAGCTGAATTCAGCTATTTGCCAGCTTCTTGTATAAATTTTCCCATTCCGCCTTAAATGGTTACATTCTGGCACCTCAGGCTTCAGAACTGCTGCACCATTTAACAGGAAACAGGAAATTTAGCTAGCTAGCTAACAAGACATCAGCATACTACTAGCAATTTTTATTATGGTTGTTTTGAAGAAAAGGAACACGATCATACTATGGTTATCATCATTTTTTAACAGAGAAAATACATTTATGGGTGTCTTTGGTCGCTTGCGTTAACACTCCATCCGGAGTGTGCCTCTGAAAATCCTTGGAGCCGTAACACTTCACCCTACCCTATCTTTCTCAACAAAAATCAGGACACCCTACTCCTAGGCGGAGGGGAAAGGGCTATGTGGTAGGGGCAAGGGGTGAAATGGGATTGAGCCTTAGTTTCTTATTTATTTGTCCCTTGTTTTTATCATCACAAATTTGTACAGTTTTATTGCAAACATCCCTTCAGAAAAAACAGAGTCCTTAGATTAGCATAGACATGGAGAAAGGCTACTGCCAAATCAAGCGGTTAGCTCTCAGCAATAATAAAAAAGCCTTCAGGATCCTGTTGAAAATGAATAACCCCGAGTTTACACTGTCTCTGTGTTTGTCTCCTGTAGTCAGATGCCAGCTGAGGGTCCAGACACGGATATGCCCGCTGCCACCTCTCTGCCCGCCAAGCTGGAGCTGTCGCCTGTGTGTGAGGCGGCCAGCCCCTCCACTCGGCCCGCCACTCGTCCCCTCTCACCCAGCGAGGGCAGCGCCAGCCTGGGGGAGCCAGAGGAGGACGAGGGCACACATACTCACTCTCACTCACATTCACCTGCTTCCAGCTCCTGCAGCGCCACCTACACCAACCTGGGTAAGTACTGCACACGTTAAGCCTCCTGTAATCATACATAAACACAGACACGTTTTATTTCTGGGGGTCTGGACATCTGTCACTGAATACGTCGTCTGGAAGAAAGCCAGTGGCTCCTGATGGTGGGGATTTGATTAGCTCTGAATAGATTTGGTTGGCTCTGCTAGCTCGCTGCTACAACAGAAAAGGGCAGTGTTTTGCCAGAATTCTGTGCTTTCTACAAAATACTACAAAAAGTTCCAGGTGCGCCTGACAGTGTGAGGTGTGTTCAGGCTGAAACACTGTTTAGTATATGTCATATCCATATACTGTTTAGAATAGAACAGTATATGAATATGGGTCCTCAGCACCAAAGATCTAGTCTCTTCGTAAGATACAGTCCACCATGCATATGACATGTCAACAGTTTAGAAAGGACACTCGTGTGCATGGTGCATAAATTTGTGTAAGAGCTTGCATGTGTGTGGTTCTTCTAAGCGTTATTTGTGTTCCAGTGATTTATTAAACTGTGCGGTGGTCACAATGGAAAATCACTTTTTCTGTCATTTCGTTAAGCTGAGAATAAAGCTTTTCTGCACTTTCTCAGGGTGTCGTATAGGAGACATTTGCTTTCTAGTTTACCCAGAGAATAGGATTAAGAAGAATATTAGCTGAGTAGTAAGGAGCTGTGTGCTGTGACTGGATACCAGTCCGCTAGCAGAACTCATTCTGATCTTCATCTCCTGAAAAGTTCAACTTGTGTTAACTAAATGATGCTAAAAGGCATTTAGTTTAATGATACTGCCACATTTTGAGTACTTGAAGATTGTATATTTTGTTGCTTGAAGTGCTTGAAGATATTGAAGTTTAAATAATTACTTACAGTTTTAGTGTATTGAGAGCTTTCATACACTGTTTTTAGATACTGCAGACTGTGTTAGGATTAATAAGTAGCCACTGTCATGGTTTTAGTTTGTAAAGCATACACAAGGTGAATTTCTAGCCGTCATTCTTTAAGTGATATGTTGCCAAAGCCTATCACAAGAAATGGGGACTTGCACGTGAGTCGCATGTCAACGTGGATGTGGACTTTGATTCACGACTTGACTCAGACTCAAGACTTAAGACTTATGTAATTAAAAAAAAAAGCACAAACAAAACTGGTTAATTTAGTGCTGCCAATGTTAAGACTGGAAACGAATAAAACCTTTTGTTTCCAATCTTACGTGTATGATTGTGCCTTTGCAGTTCTACTTTGGTCATGCACAGTGTTGAGGGTTCAGTGCATTGCATTATGGGTATTGCAGTGAATTTATCTTATTACTTTGGCAACTATAGTCACTCATTGACACGTTAACTATCTGCAGTAAAGTGAAACACTTCACCAACATTCCAACTCACTCTTTTGGAATAGGAAACGTGGTAGATGTGGTTATTATCCCTGAGCAGCAGCAAAAGGTAAACTTACTCAGGCCCTGGGGCTAGTTATGGGAAAAGCTCCCTTGATTTGTCCGACCACAGCCTGGAAGGAGAAATCAGAAAAAATAAACTTAAAAATAGACTTAATTACTGTGTTGTCGTCTTTGCAGCCCACAGTGGTATCAGGTTCGATACAGCTTCAAATGATGAGCTTTTCATTATAGAAAAACCTTTTGTCTCAAGGTCAGAACACAAGGACTAAATGCAGGGTTGAAAGGGAGGATGTAAAACCAGCAGTATCTGATTTAGCTTTAGTTGTTTAGTAGTTTGGTAGTTTATATCTAACTGAAGTTTTAGTAGGTTACAGATCAGGTTCCTCTAAAACTTGCTAAAACTTCAGCCAGATTAGCTGTTACACTAGGTCTCAGATTCACACCCAGAGACTCGAGACTTGACTCGGACTCGTAATTGTTTGAGCTGACATGAATCATATGTTTGTCAACAAACAGAATATCACTTGGGTGTGTTTTTGTCAGTAGGATTAAGGCAAATACATGTAAATGAGCAGGAAAGCGCTTTTTTTTTGGACATCATGAGTCTTAAACAACACAAGTTTTAACTTATGACTTTGAGAGGACAGCAGTGAGTATTGTTTGTTTAACTGAGCTCGAATTGTGTCTCTTGTCTGCTGGGAGCTATTAAGTATGAACAGCTACAAAGCAAGACAGCTGCTCAGCTAATTTGGCTTTTTAGGTTTGCACAATACAATTTAACTGTCTTTCAAAATAAAAAGGACGAATTGTTAATCATAATTATTTGTATGGCAGTTAATTGTCGTCTAAAACTTAATGGACATGAGAGAACTAATGTTACCATCTATGAAGACTGTGATCTCTCTTAAGTAAGTTCCGAAGAATTTCTTAACAAATGCTGTTTATCTGCTATGAGCCAGAGCCAACAAGCCATTATTCTATCATTTATTGACTTTCCCAGCTGCAGACTCGGCCCTGCTGGCTGCTGATGAGTAATAGTGGCAGCACTGGAACATGCTTTACTGAAACTGAGGAGTTTATTTGGCTCCATCTCAACATCAGATACAGAGAGGGGAAAAGCTTTAATTCCTGTCTGAGTTGGGCCTGTTGAACATGTCTAAACAGCAGCTGGAGAGGGTTAGCCTTTCTCTCTCTAACACGTCACATACGCATGCACACTACTGGGTGTATGTGCCTGCTGTGGTAAGGAGAGGAGAGCAGGTGAGGGGTTAAAGCTGGCGACTAAAGCGTGTAGCTGTGGATCAGACAGGATGATTTCTCCAGCTGCTTTAGCAGATCCTGGCACTGTCAGACTCCTCTATTCCCTGTTCACTCTTTAGTTTTTGAGTAGGTTAGTGTAGACGTTGAGTAGACGTTGCATGGCTGTACAAAAGAGTTATTCCTTTGTACTTGGCATCATGCATGCAAGCACATGCTTGCTCTCTAACTCTCATACACACAGACACACAGTGTGGGGAGGGAGAGCAGCTGACTGACTCAGTCTCAGATATAGCTTGAACAGAGCAGGACTCTCTCTCTCTCTCTCTCTCTCTCTCTCTCTCTCTCTCTCTCTCTCTCTCTCTCTCTCTCTCGCACTCTCTCTCTCTCTCGCACTCTCTCCCTCTCTCTCTACTGGGGGAGTGTGTGCGTGTTCCCTAGGCTAGCTTCTCTCTGAACTCTGGACTGAGAGGGTGGCACAGAGGAGGTAGGTCTTTCTCTTCTCTTCTCTTCTCTTCTCTTCTTCTGCTCTTTAGTTCTCTTCTTCTGCTCTACTCTTTCTCTTTCATTCTCTTCAGTTCTCTCTTAGCTACTCTTCAGGTCTGTTGTCGTCAGTTCTCTTCTCCACTCTTCTCATCAGTTCTCTTCTTTCTACTCTTCTCCTCTCCTCAGTTCTCTTTAGTTCTCTTCTCTACAGTTCTCTAAAGCTCTTTCTCTTCAGATCTCTCCTCCTTTCTTTTCTCTATGCTGTGCTATTGCTGTATTGTTTTTTCACTCAAGGCAATTTGAGTCCATCAGTCAGTGTTTGGAATAGTAGTTTGTCCATAGATTCATGTGGCATACATTTGCCCATGAGTGATCCCTGTAGGTAAGGATTATCAGAGGGAGAATTTATGTGTGTTGCAGCTTTTTGTGGGAGTGTAACTGTATAAGAGCATCATAAATTGTCATTTAATGACAACAACTAGACTAAAATTAATGACATCATAGCTTTGGTCATTTTAGTGTGATCTATAAAGTTTTGTCTACAGGCCATATCCTTTCACAATCATAAAGATGAAACAAAATTTAAAGACAATACTAGCCGTTCAGAAATCACTGCAACACACTTTTTGGAGGCCAAGACTGTAGCACATTTTAATGGTTTTGAAGAAAATGGTTCCACTGATATCTGTTGCTCACCAGAGAGATACAGTGAGCCAAGATGATTATTTCTAGTTCAAAGTTCATACTTTCTATGATTGAAATTCACTGATTTGCTGTAAAGCTTGAAGAGAGGCAGTATAAGTTCTCAACTTAAAGAAAGTTTTAGAGATCCATGTTGGCATTCTCATCATTTGCAAATAATGGAATCAGAAACCCTCACTGCATCTTCATTAAGAAAGTTTCTTTGAGCTCTCAAGCGTATCTAAAACAAATTATTTATTTGAGTTATTTTTATAATTAACATAAAGTGTAAACTTCTTGTAAAGAAGTCACTTTTAAAATGTATGTGGCTTAAAATAATGGGAAGGGAGTATCAGCAGTAGAAGATGCCAGCAAAAGATTTGAATCAAAAAGTAATTAATTGCATTGGCAGGAGGGTGTGGGGAAATTTGAGGCTTTGGCACATTTTCCCATGAGGCTTTGGCCCTCGGCTCACACTGCTGAAGTGTTTACTGAGCCTCTGGCTGTCTGTAAGACTGCAGTGCCATTTCTATGCATTAGTCACAGGTCAGGGTTGGAGTGCAGGGTTAGTGCTATGTTTTCTCACTCAGACTCTTCTATTTTTAAATACTCAGTTGAAGAATATTCTTTAGTTGATGATCTACACTTCTTTCTATAAGGGCTTGGTAGTTCAAACTTGAAGCCTTCTATAAATTATGGTAAATTCTACCCACCACACTCAAAGCTCATGCTGCAGGTGTACTATGAACTTACTCCTGCCATAATGAACCAGCCGGGGTCCGTATATTCAGTCTGTTTCCCCTCTCTCACTCACTTCCCTGCCTTGTTTACCTCTCAGTTTCTCCTCTGTTTTGATTTCCTTTGTGCTGCATCTTTAAACTGACTCTGTTAAGGTCCACCAGCTCCACTTTCACTAATCTCTCATTCGTTTAGACGATAATTAAGGGCATCGTTAATATTCACACTCACACATTTCTGCAGCTCTTAGTTAGCATGAGATGAACTCTGCTTGTGACCTTGGTGGTGCTCAGCATGCTCCTCGTGCTGAAATCAAAACTGAGGGAAGAAGTAACAGAGCTCACTGTGGAGATATGAGTTTATTTGAGCTGCACTATCTGGCCTGACAGATTGAGACTCAGGCCTGTTTCGCACATGCTACCTCTCCGTGGCGCAAGCAACACAAAATGTCTTGCTTTTCATTGCCACACTCGCGTTAACAGGTCAGAGCGTTCACACAGACTGTGCGAGACACGTCTCAGGAGCCGCAGACATTTACAAAAAAGACGATGAGGGTTAGCTGACATAACAAAACTGGTAGTTAGCATTCTTCTTCAAGCATGTTCCAATGACATTGCGTTAGCGGGAGTTTAAAAAGATGGAGAGGCGTATGCTAACCTTCACCGTTTCACCCTCCTAGCGCTAGTAGAATAATGACAATGGGGGAGACATAGCCAGCGGTTGGAAGGAGACACAACTAAATAGAGGAGAAAACTGGGGAAGATGACAAAAAAGATAAAAAAAAGTCTTCAGTTCAGGCCATTATCAAATGGAATACTAGCGTTCATGTCACATAGAGGTAGTATACGCGGAACAGGCCTCACACGGATCTCATCTCTCATTCAGTGAGTAAGTGTAAATGTAATCTGGCCAAAGTCCATATCCAGATGCTATCCAGATATGAAACACATTAATGCGAGCTGTCAGCAGCCTCATACAGTATAAGAAAGCACATAAACAAGTCTACTTGAGATTACTTAACAACTCGACACAATCTGAGTCCGTTTACATGATCCTAATTTGTTGTTTGAGTAGAGTTTCCCGTGCAAAACTTTAAAAGGAAACTAAAAAAAGTAAACTTGGCTACATTTGGAGTAAAGGGAACAATGTGTACATTTTATGTTTTACTGACCTTTCGCTTTAAACCTAGCTCTTCTGGCACGTTAGCCACAAATCCTTGGACTACTTGGATGAAATCATTTTCGTCACTTAAAAGGGGGGTTCGTCTAAGTCATAAGAGCATCTGAGGCAGCTGCAGATTGAGATTAGAGTGGAGATTATGCCTCCCTCAGATGGATTAAAGCAGATTACAGAACGGCTGTTCATTGATGGCACTCTGTTCTAAGGATTTCTCCATTTTTCCTTATTTTGTTATACGAGGACCATGCAGGTCTGAGTTTGTGGTAGTGCTTGGAGCATATGTGACCTGCAGAGACTCAAATAGGACATAGAGGTACAGATGTGTCATGCTACAGGTGCAGAAGAGAGTGGGCTGTCATTTTCATAGTTCAATAGGTTTTCAAAATGAAGCGCAGTATGAACAGTAACTATTATTGACCACTTTTTTTCACTCTACTGTCTCTTCCTGAGAAGCTTCAGCTGTGAAAATGTCTGAAGAATCATGAGTTTAAAGAAATACAAAACAGCACAATGCTGTATTTTCCTAACACTCCTGCTGTGTGCTAGTGCTGCTGTTTGTCTTTCTCTCTGCTCTGCAAAAGCTCCGCTTCAGTCCATTCCCAGCAGGCCACAGAATCAGGGCAGAGTTAACTAAAGCCCTCAAACTCAATCCCAGAGAGAGAGAAAGAGGGGGCGAGGTGGAGAGAGACAGACAGAAGGAGAAATGTTAATGGAAATCAATTCAGTGCTTGCTCTATTGGCATTCCTGTTAGTTTTACCCATATAAACTGAGCTCTGGACATCTGAGGCTCAGCAAGACGCTTCACAACTATGCCTAAATGTTTTATTGATAGAGCTGTAGGGCACAGATACAACAATCAGATGTCTTGTTTTCATGGACTATGCTGGACTCTGTTCCGTGGTGGGCTGCTGCACTATTTCTGAAATTCTATTGATGTTTTTGATGTTTGTGTTTATGAACTGTTTCTTAGCGTGAAATTGGAACAAACTTTAACAAGTGTTTGAATTCACTCATGGTCTCTCTCTCCCTTTCCATCTCTCCTCCCTTCTTTGTCTGTCTGTCTGTCTTTGACCCGCTTTTCTCACACTTCTTCTCATTCTTTTTTCCCCTCCCTCTTTCTCTCTCTTTCTCTCTCTCTCTCACTTTAGGTCAGTCCAGGGCCAGTATGATTCCCCTGAAACATCCCAGGCACCCTAAAGCCTCTGACGACACTCTGCACTCTGAGCCTGAGGGTTCTGATCCTGGCTCTAAAGCCACTCCTCCTCCTCTACCTAAGAAGGCCGTTCCCCGAGCCCATACGGAGCCATCTCTGTCCAGAGAGTCTGCAGCTCCGCGGCCGCGTGGTGAGGCCAAGCCAGGCGGCACCAGCTTGAGTGTAGCCAATCCGCTGTACGACCTAGACTCCACCTGGGAGACAGCCAGTCAGAGCTCCTCCCTCAGCTCCGACGCCCGGCAGCTTGATGAGTCCGGAGACTCTCTGGAGCGACCTGCAGGGGGGCGGAGTCTGTCGTGTCTTACCAACAGCGGCTCAGCACAGGGCCGGGAGAGGAGGGCCGGCGAGCGCAGGGGCTGCCGCAGCACAGAGAGCTTGACAGCCAGAGGGCGCTCATCTGGCAGGTAGGGATGCAGTGGCTGGTTACACGTGATTCAGAGGACGCGTGTGCTAGCCTTCACCCTCCTAGTGCTGGTAAAACTGTGTGATTAGGGGGTACCTAGCTAGCGGGTGCAAATGTTAATGCCTAAATATGAGGAGAAAATTTGGATAAAAAAAAGGTGAATAAATAAATGAAATCCACATGTTTAAATGTGCATTGGAACATTGTATCAACAAAATCTTTTCAATTGGTTTTGAATAGTAAATGGAAACTGAAAACACAATAATTCTAAAATCTAAATAATTCTAAAACTTGGAGCCCCACAAAATGTCACACAGTGTACATATTTGTCTGTTTTTTTTGGAATATTTCCATATAGCTCTACCTAAAGGGGAATTCCAGTGGTTCTTCAAAAGATTCTACATAATTGAATCATTGCAATGTAAACAGAGATTGAGAATGCTTTGATGTGAAACTTCAAACCAGCTCAGATTCAGTCTCTACACTGAAGGTGATAGAAGTTAGCTGTCTACAAATTTAGCCATTGTATTTACTAATCAAAACAATCAGTAAAAACGTGCTTTATATGTAATTTTGATAATGGGAGAAGATTGTGAAGGCCCCCTAAAAATACATTTTTCTGGGGACTATTTATGCAATTAATATATTTTAAAAATTTACTTTGGGCCAAAACCTTATCGTACAGGTATCATAAAACGATGTCTCAGGCATCAGGAAATGTATTTGTAACCATTTCTTATAAACCTTTTTGTAAAGGAGTCCACCACTGTAAGCAATTCTGTAAATTTCTCTAGAATGGAACATTTCACATCAAACCAGTCTGAGTGATTTTATTTACACTTTAATAATTATATTATTATATGCAGACATTTTGAAAAAGCTGTGGAATTCATTGACAATGTGAAATACAATATCAGCTGCTAACAGCAATAGTATGAATAAAATCATAACGATACCCATCCTAATGTGCAGGGGCAGAGACGGCGGCAGTAAGCCCCAGAGGCAGGCTCTCTATAAGGGCATAGATAGCTGGGAGGAGGTGGTGGGCCGCATCCGCAGCCTGCACACAGAAACCCTCTGCAAACTAGCCAGCCGCTGCGAGGATCGCTTCATGGCCGGCCAGAAGGACCACTTGCGCTTTGGTACGGACAGTTGGTCCCACTTCCGGCTGACCACAGGCAAGCCCTGCTGCGAGGCGGGAGATGCTGTCTACTACACTGCTGCTTACGCGAAGGACCCACTCGTCAACTACGCCGTTAAGGTAGATCACTTTCCACTGTACTTGGGTTAACAGCAAATGATTCCATAATCTGAAGAATATATTAGCAAAATTTGTGAAAAGAACAAAAATAAAAAGAAAGTATTGGCAAAAGTGAAAAGCAGGAAATAGAAAAGGAAATATGTATATTTCTTTTGATTTAATTACTACTTGTAAAATATCTTTACATTTTCACAGTAGTTTGCTTGAGGATTTTATTATTTTTGTCTAGAACTTTTGGCTCAAAATTAACTCCTTATCTTAGCATTGCCTCACATCCAAACAAAACTATTGGAAGTGTGGTTGAATGACAGTTGAGCGGAGTTATTAGTATTCGTAAGAGTAGGCGAGACGAGCAGACTGTGGATGACAGCGAGAGAGTGAGAGCTGTATTATTTACATGAGAAAACCTTCAGTGTCGCAGCACATCAAAGAGTTTTCTACATTAAAGAGCAGTACTTGTTTTTCCCCTACACACTCTCATAGATAAACAACTGCAGCATCTGCATGGAGACACTTGCAAAGTCCCAAATTAAAAGCCACCCTCTGCGTCCCACCCCCTCTCCACACCCCAGCTCACCCACCCCCTCCGCTCAAACTGTTGTCACACACCACATGTTTTATTCATAAGCCTCAAATGACTTGGCAGAACATTAGTATCAAGCTACTGTTCTGGGAAAAAAGAACTGAATGTTTTGGTCCTTATGCAGTTTTAATGGCAATCAAATGATCTGAGCAAAGACCCTCTTGCTTCTGTTCAGTCTAATCATTCTGTGTTCCACTTTTCATTGTGGTATGCACTGCAGTGTGCACTCAGTGAGAACAATAAAACTGTTTTTTTTTTTTTTCAAATTCACACCAAGTATGGTATTTACAAAGATGGCATATTAGCAATGGGAGGCAGACTGGATATGTTTGAGAAATTATCTACACTGTAAAATGTGGAACAGGGCGGAAGTTGATTTGAAGTGTTTGAGGTTTGTAAAATATTTCTTTTGTTCATATAAGTTAAAATTACACTTTTCATTGTTTGATTCAAAGGATTTGAGTTAAATAAAACCAGTAAAATTTCTTGTTACTACATAAAGTACGTTTTTAGATTGAACAGACAAACCATTTTTACTGTGTGGGTTTTGCATTGTTTTTGTGATGTCACAAAAATCTTCACATAAACATATATCCACTTATTCAGCCTACAGCCGCTTAGCCCGACCAATTCATACTGAAGTTATAATGTGGGTTCAAGCCCAGACCGCTTTTTGAATTAGGTGCAATACAAGGCAGCCAATCAGAACAGAGCTCTTTTAAATATATCAGTCTTACAGACACAGAAAAAATAACAGCTGGTTTAATTCTTGTGAATAAAGAGAGGTTGGAAAATGGTTGTGTAAAAAATTAATGTATTTAATGATTGAAGTGCATAAAGCATTAAATATAAATGTTACAAATGGTCCTCAGGGAGGACAAAAAAATTACGTACTTTAAAAATGTATGATATGGGATATGTATCATGTTTTATTTTTATGGGGTTTGATCAGTTGGAACACTGATTTTTATTTATTGTCTACTGCATGCACACATCACTACATCTTATAAGCAGGCTAATTGTGCTCTCACTGATTCATGATGTCCTGGTAAGCAGGACCAATTATGCCCTCATCAACTCGCAGTATGTTGACAATAGGTGGAAACTCTAGACAGACATGCCACAATGCAGTGCTCTTTTAGTACTGACAAAATCCACATGCTTAGAAAAGCTTATCTTGATATAATTTATAGTGATAATGATATTATGTCATCACATTGTCCACCCCCTGCCATTCTCCATTGTACCCCACTAAAATGTGCACACATTACCCTCCATTGCTGCTGCATATACTCTACACAGCTGTTCCAGCATCTCACCTGTATGCTCACTACCTCTATTATGGTCATGTGTGCATTAGTATGAAGTGACAGTGGAAGTTTGATGGCGTGCAGAGTTTTCGTAATTAAAGGGGGAGTGATTTAAAGTTTTATCGATCAGCATGCAGCTCAGTTCTGTCCTTAAGGGTGTGATTTCCACCCCTCACTGACTGGAGACACATGCAGAAGAGCAGCTGGGAGATAAGAGGATAGATAAGATGACTGCTGTGGCTTTGATCAAACTAGAAGAGAGAGAGAGAGAGAGATGAAGTGGGAATAGGGATATTGGGAGAGGCTGTCACTTTGTATTAAAGCTCGGAGGAGCCGTTCAGCCCACGCTCAGCCCTCCTCATCTGAGATCTATAGCTGAAAGAGTAATAACCCCCGTCATCAGGCAAAATGAGATGGAGCTAGAGGAACATCTCTTTCCTGTCGCAGCCCCTCAGCTTTCAGAATGTTCATGAGTTGCTTCAGGCAAGGTCGCTGATCAGGCAGCTCATAATCACGACTATTAACGTGTACCTGTCTCTAAGTGATGCTTTAGCCTGCTGGATTAAACTTTGTATGCAGTAGAGGTTATGTCGTGTTATGTTATATGAAACTATGTAAGAAATTGCAAGCAGACCATTGTTACTATAGCGAAATACATTCCATTGTAGTCCTTAATTATAAATTGTTAGTTCTGATAAGTTTGCAATTTAGTGATTTGCAAGCTGTATTGTTTTTTTTACTATGCTGATCTTCAGTGAAAATATCCTGTCTGTAAAAATGTAAGTATGCTACATAACTTTTAATAGAATTTAGGGCTACAACAACTATTTGATGAAATTCGATAATTAAACGTTTTTGAGCGACTCAAAATATGTGTTCATACAGTAATTAAACATTTGGTCGCTCACCGACCAAAAAGCTGTTCTCAGTTTTTAAGACAACAGAGTTAAAAAGGCTCTATTTCCTCTTCTCTCCTTCACAACTCATCAGTGACATGTTCAGACGGTCTCAGCAACCTGCTTAGGGTTGCCAGATTGGGGAGCATCCCCTGGAATTTTATGCTACTTTCTGTGACAGTAATAGTTCATTAGTAATGATTTTCCATTACATTGTAGTAGTAATAATAATAATACATTTAATATCTTAGTAACAATAAATAAAATTTCATTTAAATGAGATTTTAAAAAATGCTTTTCATTTAATCATTTAAGTGAAAAGCATATCTTGGGCTTTCCTTATTTTTGTGGAATGTTTGCTTATCCCAGAAAATATCTGCTACAATTTTCAAAAATGAAAATATTCAATAGTTGTAGCCCTAATATTATGAAATCTAAAATATAACATTTTATATAATTAAAATAATTAAAATGTGTATAAATAAAAAAAAAGTCCTAAAAACATTTGATTGTCGTATACTTTGTTATTATTAGTTATGTAATTTACATTCTGCACTTCTGACTATTTGATTTAAGGTTAAGAAATGACAAAAACATGGGAAAAAATGTTTTTTTGTCTCTCTGCAAATCCTATCTTCTTAGGAACACAATCGATTGGCAGTTTAAAACTTAATACAGTAATTCTATATCACAATACTTGACAAAAAAGCCTTAGTTGTGCCATATTAGCAAATAATCATGCCACAGTGTTTTCTGTTCAGCGTTTTACATATTTCACTGCACTGAATCCAGCAAAACAGAAAAAGTTATGTTCTCCTTATAAGGAAACATACAGTTGCTTAGTGTTCTTGAAGTACTGATTATATTCACAGCATGCTCAGAAAATATTTAATACACTAAACAATAAACATACAGGTTAATAAATACACAAACAAATAGACAAGACAATAAACCTACAGGACAATCAATACACAAGACAGTAAACATACAGGACAAATACACAAGACAATAAAGAAACAGGACAACAAACAGTATACACATATGGGTATCATATGAAGGGGTATCAAAGCAGCATATGAATGGAGGAACTAGTGCAAACTTTGTAAACATAGGAGCATTCAAAGGATCAGAGAATTTAAAGTGCAGTTGTGCAGTGGTGGTAAAGGGTTGTGTGATCAGTCTGTGGTGGATAACAATACATATCACTGTATTGCCAACTCCACCTGTGATTGAGAAGTATTTCATTTCAAATTACACCATGCTTTTGTTACTGCTGTCAATAACTGTGACTTCTCTTGGTAAATCCGTATGGGGACATTTGTGAAATTAGTCACATGGATTTTGTCCATGTTGCTCAGCTCTAGTATCATGCATCCCAGTGTATAAAGCCCTATATTAAAGGCTGTCTCTTCCTTGCTCTCTCTGACATCAGATCTGCAGGTGCAAGGTAAAGGAGACGCAGCAGCAGTTTTTCCACAGCCTGGCCGTGCGTCAGAGCCTGCCCGTACACTTCAACATCCAGCAGGACTGCGGCCACTTCCTGGCAGATGTGCCTGCCCGCCTGCTACCCTGGGAGGAGGAGGAGAGTGAGGAAGAGAAGGACGAGAAAGGAGAGAAGGCAGAGAAGAAGAGCGAGGGAGGGGAGGAGGAACGGAAGGTAGGGCAGAGCGAGGAGGACGCACTGGTGGATACGAAACTGCGCAGTCGTGTGGTGGTGATCACACGCGAAGTGCCCTTTCAGACAGTGGCTGACTTTGTGCGTGAAGGAGTGGGGCGGCATGCCCGTAACCCGGAGTTGTATGAGCGGCAGGTGTGCCTGCTGCTGCTGCAGCTGTGCGCCGGCCTGGAGCACATGAAGCCTTACCACGTGACTCACTGCGACCTGCGCCTGGAGAATCTGCTGCTGGTGCACTGCCAGCCAGGCAACCCCTGGAACCTGGACCTGCTGGAGCCCAACAACAACAACAGCGCTGCCGCCTCAGCTTCGTCTTCTGCCTGCCCCGCCCGTCTCATCATCAGCAATTTCTCGCAGGCCAAGCAGAAGAGCTCGCTGACCGAGGAGCCATCCGTAGTGCTGAAGGACCGCTCACGGCTGGCCCCCGAGCTGCTGAGTGCCACCCAGTACCGCAAGTGCGATGAGTTTCAGACAGGCATCCTCGTATATGAGATGCTTCACCGGCCTAATCCGTTTGAGGAGGCGCCGGGGCTGAAGGAGCGAGAGTATGCACGTTCAGACCTGCCGCAGCTGCCCACACGCTCCCTCTACTCGCAGGGCCTCCACCGTTTGGCCTCCCTGCTGCTAGATGCCAACCCGTCTGAGCGCATCAGCATGGCCGACGCCCGCGCCTGCCTGCAGTGTCTGCTGTGGGGGCCGAGGGAGGACCTCTTTCACACGCTGGGTACTGGTGCCACACCAGCTCAGCGGCAGACCACGCTGCAGAACTGGCTGGACCTGAAGCGCACGCTGATGATGATCAAGTTTGCAGAGCGCTCACTGGACTCGGGCTGCGGAGTCAGCCTGGAGGATTGGCTCTGCTGCCAGTACCTGGCCTTTGCCAGCACAGACTCCGTCGACAGGGTTATCCGTATCCTGCAGGAACTGCAGGGACAGCTGCTCTGAGCTCAGCTGCTCATGCTCGGATTCATTTGGATAGGTGGTTTTGGATTACCTCTGGTCAAGCATAGTTTGGTGTTTTTCTTGCTTTAACACAGTGGTTCTTAACTCCAGTCATGGGGACCCAGTGTTCTAGATAGGTTCAAGTACTTCGTGGTAGAGCTGGGCGTACACTACACAACTTTTAATATACTTACAGATTTACTTACAAACATTTTCACAGAATGAAACACGTTTTTCACAGAATGTCTTTTAATTTTGTGGTGAGGGTACGCACAGTAGATAGATCTTATTGGTAAGATAAGACAAAAAGTGGATATCACACAGATAATTAGCTATGAAAAAGCACTCAAAATCCCAGATCTTGCTCTTATCTTGTAATACAAACAAAGCTAGAAAAGTAAGAAAAGTAAATATCAAATTGAGAGCTGGAGAAATATTTTGCTATAAACTGGTAGCTGATTTGAAATTGTAAATGGAGTGCCTTGACATCTGGGTCTATATATTCCAAACATTAAGAAAGCTCATATTTCTCTCTCTGAGCTCTGTCATTTGCTATTGCCTGAATCAGTCATTAGTTAGGTAGCTGACCACCTCACACCACACAGGACCTGACTGTGAACACTTTAAGTCATAAAAATCTAATCTGTTGAAAAATGTTGGAATGTCCCCAATCACTCCAGAGTTAGATCAGAAGGTCAAAGATTCAGTCATTTCTCCTCTCACACATCAGCACCCAGTTATCCGCTTCTCACTGAGCTCCTGGCCTGGGAAATCGCTTTAGATTGTGAAAATTTGTGGAATAGAGCAAATCAAGGTTGCAATACATATCACAGTATTTTCTCTTTATCTTTAAGTCAGAACTAGGCCTGTCACAGTCAGCTGTACTTAACAATAACTGCAATTAACAGTTTGTATTTTTTTCCGACTATTAAAGTACAAGCCTTAAGTGGTCAAATTATCCATCTTGCGTGTGTTACTACAGAAACATATTGCGAAAACTATCTACTGTAGAAAAAATTGCAGTCAGCTTAAATAAATGCGTTCAGCTCAAATAATAATCAGGTGATTAAGAAGTAATTATGACAGGCTTAATCATAACAGACGCAATGCACCGGTACTCTTTCACATACACGTACATATAGGACTCCCAAAATACAAAAATTCATAGTAATTTATCATGGTAATGATATCATATTGCCACCCCTGTTCCCTGCCCCAGTGCACCTGATCCTATGTCAGGAGGGCTTGATAAGTAGCTGATGAGTGGCTCAGTTGTGCTGGGGCAGGGTACGTATGAAACAGTGCAGTCAATTCACAGGACTGGAGTTGAGAAACAGTGCTGATCCAACTAATCAGCTAATAAATGCGTCCTTCCTGCGATGTGTTAGAGCAGGTTAAACACTAAACCATGCAGGACGGAGCTCCTCCAGAACCGGGGTTGGGAAACACCCGCACATGCCAGTGGCATCATCGCCGTAGCGACTACCAGTCAACTCTCATATCACAGGCCACGCCCCTGCTGGAGACTGCTAGCACATGCACATTTGCGCTGTACACCTAGTGTTTCTGCAAGTTCAGTTTGGACTTTTTTGGTTTGTGTCAGGTTTACATTGATGTTGAGTGGTGAAGAACAATTCACATATAATAGTCAACATTTTACTTTTATTTCTTTTGAAAGAGACTGATTGTTGTTTGGCTAAGTGATGTAGTTTGATGGATTATCTGTTAGCCGTCAGTTTTTTTTGATTGTTGAACTTTATCATCATCCATATCTACAGCATGTTGACCAGCCTTGACTCAGTAAACTCCCTGTGATAAATTGCTAATGCTAACAGTTCATAGCTACAGCTGGTTGGGAGAGCACTGATCTGGCATCAGCAGCTCTCCTGTGCTGTGACTTGTGACTACACTTTTTTTTTTTGCCTGTATTGGGTGTGTCAGAATTTCAGCCAAGGCCTGAGGGGTTTCAGTGTTACAGCAGTGTGTTGGTGTGGGGAGGGCAGGGAGTTACAATTTTACATGTAAAACCTGTGTGGTGGGGAAAAGCAGCTCGCCAAACTGCAGCTGAAAGATACCACTGAGGGCCACCTATCTGTCTCATATATCCCCTTCTGTCTACTCTTTACTGATGTTCTCCTTTCTGCCCTACGCCATCTCTCACTCACAGTCTAAGAGAAAGATCAGATTTCACTTATTAGCGATATGATCTACTTCTCAAATTTAGGATCAAATCTGTTCCTCTACTGAAATCCGAGTGGTTTACCTATTATACAAGAAACAAATGATACAAAACGTTCCAAAGCAGCTGGGGTGAGATTTTTGTACCACCAGAAGTTACCAAAGGTTACCAAAGACAGTTTGGCCTCTATTTTGACATTCAGATAAATGATCAAAGCAAGATGTTTTGTATTTTTAAATGTTTTTAGCGCTTAGTTCAGAGCTTACTCAAGGAGAGCAGAGTTAGCCGGTGAAGTTACATATTACTAAAGTGTCCTTATGCAGACGTACACCGAATAAAGCAAGTTTTGGTCCTCAGATCCAAGATTGAAAGATGGACTCAAAGGATGTTTGGTGAAAGTGCACTGTGGTTTAGCGCTCCGTTCAGAGTGAGCTAGTTCCATTTCTGAGGCCCCCAGACGAGTTCAGCTCGACAGCAGAACTGCAGAAGTGGGGCAGCTCAGCCCCAGAGGATCGTGGGTTGGAATGACTGACACTCTTTATGGATACTTTTATGGATTTATGTGCAATCATTGTAAATTTTGTTACTTTTGGAAACAGTATTTAAACATATTGTATGTACTTGATATTATGCAGCATTCAGTTATTCAGTTACTTCTGTTTGGCACATAATTGATGACAATGCCTGCATCAAGGCACGGCTTTTTTTTTGTTTTGTTTTTTTATTAACCATAATTTTACATGATTTATGTTCACAAGCTTGGATAAGATGCTGTCACAGTGTGTGTGTGTGAGTGTGCGTGCGCATGTACATTTGAGTGTGCATGTTTGGCAAAGAATTTGTCAGGGAGTGCACATACTTTATCTTTTTTATTTTTATTTTTTTTGGTTGTCGTTTCCTTAATATCTGTTTGGGTTTGGGAGTGTGCGTGTGTGTGTATGTAATTTTGAAGAGTTGAGACAGGAAAAAGGGACTTAGAAGGTGAGAATGGATCTTTGGAATCAGCAGTCCCAGTGGAGCAGAGTCTTTTCTTTAGGCCTGCATTCACGCATGCACACATCCATTTCAACCAGATCAGTAAAGAAAAGCAAAGACCACTGCTACACCCTCAGAAGCCCCTAAACCGACTGTGAAAAGCTTCTGTTTCCTTCAACACCTAGACAGTACACCGCAGCCAGTTAAGATGATGCATGCTATAAAAATCTGCGCCAGTGCATCAGGCGCATTACTTGTGCAGCCACAGAATATGCTGGTGATGCATTTGTTGCATTACTGGGACAACACTTGTTAACCGGGGGCCGGATTCACGGAAATGTATTAAGAAAGAACATCATCTTAATGTGCTTTTTGTCTTTACTCCGTACTTAAGCTAAAAGTTAAGATAAATCACTGCTCTTCAAAAACTCTCTTAACAATTGTCTTAAGAATGATTCTGAGAAAAAGTGATATTCATAAAAAAAGAACATCCATTTTGTTGTCCACAGGCCCTGATCACAGGGGCTGAAAGTTTAATTGTTTTTCACCATTTTCAGACTGCAATTTTAATTATAGCCTCCAAGTTTTAAGCATGGAATTTTTTACCTAGTAACATGGAGCTTGTGAGCTGCGTGTATGTGAGTTGGAGCAGTTACACACAGCTAAACACCCACACAATGTGTATGCAACAACACAGCTGCAGCTAACTGGTCATCTGGCGTTCAGCGTTGGAGTTCAGGAGTTCAGCGTTGAAGAAAAAGTGAATATGCTGGTTTTCTTGGCCAAACAAACAGGCTTAAACCTAAATTTGTAGTAAATAATCACAATTTAAATTGCAGTCACAATATTGGTCTGAAAAATCACATTTAGATATTTTCCCCAAATCCTTCAGACTTCATATTAATATGATAATTTACATTCACAAAATGTATCTAGCATCATTAATGGTAAACTATAAAATTTAATGTGAGATTAAATATTGCGTTTAAGAACATTCTTATGAATGTGTCAGTATTTGTCTTAAGATCCTTCCTAAGTTTTTCCTTAGTGCAGCTTTTAATGAATCCGGCCCCAGCTTTTTTAAAGTGGCCTGAGAAACTACAGGATGCTGAAAGTAGATCAGTTGCATCACTGAGCCCTTAGAAACTAATGCATCAGCTGCAGTGACTGCACGGCAATGCAACAGAGTAAAACTTATCCAGTTATCCGTACAAGAGCTTAATAAGGTTCATCCGTCTTCCACAGACTATTGCTTTTCATTCTGGTTTCTTTAAGCTGTGGATCTGAGAGCAGGACAGGCCTGATCCTTTAATAGCCCTTTCAGGACTTTTTAGCGACACTGTGGAGCAGTGTAAACTTCTTTGAATGAAACTAAAACATGATTGTAATGAGATGATGCTGTTTGGAGCCAGTTGCAAGTGGTGGGAAAGTGCTGATCCAGTCAAAGCTGTGTTATCCCGGAAGGGACAGCCATGTGGGAATGAATAGAAAAGTATTTGTCCGAGCAGAACTTTCAACTCTGTCTGAATCAGGCAGGACAGCTTGCTCACTTATATGGATCCGGGTGCTGCTCGATTGCAGTTGCAGTTCTACTGTGGAGAAGAGATTGTTCAATCAGTGTGTATGAGTGTGCGTGTGTGTGTGTGTTTTATTAGACTCCAGTTGCTGCTGAGCTGGTTGACGTGCTGGGGAATGTAGTGGACTGCACTGGTGGCCGTCCTTCCGTCAGAGAGTTTTCTGTTTTATTGAGTTTTATAGAATTGCATCAGTACTGTCAGAATGGCACGCACACCCACAGCACGCTTTGCTCCAAATGCACCGCTTCGTCTGTTGGACACAGCTTTTCTTAATCACACCTTTTTAAACAGAGGGGAACTGTATGCTCATGTCCTTAGCAGTGAGAGAGTCTGTAAGGCCAGCTGTACAGTCCATGCTGTATGGTACATATGCTGTGTGGTATATGCGCTGTATGATCCTCCTCAAGTCAACTGTCAAAGGTTAAGAGACTTTTAACCACTTCATACAGAATCACCCTACACAAGATTCCATTTTCATATGCGGTAATTTTCAGTTTTTCAGTAGTATTGCCAACAGGGTGTTTTACTGTTGCTTACCAGTGTATTTTAATGGCCACTGAATATATAAAAGAGCTCTACTGGCTTTCTATATATATGTGTATATCTCATGGCTTATGGCCATCCATTGTTGTCTGAGTTAACCGATAGTAATAAAATTATGAATATATGTTTTTATATGCTGTACATGTGTTTTCTTTGAAAGAACTACAGAACTATGTGTTAGGCATCTAAAAATATTTATGATCCAACTACAGTGACCTTTGCCCTAGTCATAACGCTCATTACTTTAATGGAAACCTTAATCATAATTAATGGAAAACCTACGTATGTGGAAACTAAGTTCTCTGTTTTGAATTCATCCTGGTTGTGATGTCACTGCTTCACGTGTGACCTCTCATTCAGCCTTCAGCGTTTGAGATTACCCATTCACGTTGAAGAGATGAGTATATTAGTTGTATTGTTGCTAAGGCAGAATAAAGCACAACCAATCAGAACAGAGGTCAGTTCATGTCAGAGACCACTCTTTCATTTCAAGTTATTCATTGTTCACTGTCGGATCCATCAATCCATCCATCCGTATAAAATAAAAAATAAGTAAAAAACAGAATTTTATAAACTGGAGTTAAAAAAATGATTAAAAGATACAGAGAAAATGGGTCTCCTAACAGCTGTGCAAGACCTGGTAGACCACCAAGCCTGACCCCATCGGACAAACAGTACTTAAAGCTTTTATCTGTGAGAGAGAGGCGAAAATCAAGCTCCACTTTTCCTTCAGATCTGAAAAAATCCACAGGTGTTTCTGTCCATCCTTCCACTGTGAGAAGAACAACTCAACATTATGAGTCTGAAAGAATGTGTAGCTGTCAAGAAGCTGTTACTGAGAAAACGGCCAATTACATTTTTCATGGACTGAGTCTAAATTTGTAATTGCAACCAACGTCTGAAACTGAACATTGTGTGGAGTAATATCCCTGCAGATTTCTGTGAAAAACTGAAAGCAAGTCCGTATTAAAGGCAAAGGGTGGACACTTTTCATGTATGATTATCATGATGTATTTTTCTGCTTTTTTCTGATAGAAAACTGAACAACTTAATGACCATTTTAACTCACACAACACACACACACACACACACATGTATATATATATATATGTATATATATAATATAAAATCTGCCTTAAAGGGACAGTAACAAAAACAGTGTTTATTCTAGTGGTTGGAAATGGTTATGTAAAAATTATATATAACACTTTCTCCACATGGAGAATTAAAAGTAGTCTTTGAGGGGGAAATAAACAAAAGAAATGTGTGAAATATGGGCCTTTTCATTTTTATTTTTCAGTTTACAATTTACTACATTTCTGATTATGGTGTAATGCATATTAACTCCCAGTAGGAGGCAGAAGACAAAGCCTTTCGCTTCCTTCAGCCTTCTCACACGGCCTGACTCATTACGAGTGTGTGTGAGAGTGTGTGTGTTCTCCTTACGTCAGCACTGTGCGAGTGCGTAATCTCTGCAAGTGTTCTCTATGGTTGATGAATCTGATATCTCAGCATTTTTCTGATCCTCTTCTAGCGGAGTAAAGGCCATGCTCGCGGTATGCAGTCCGTATGCTAACACATACATACTCAGCCCCTGCTGTGCTCTGAGTATGCAGAGAGTGTTCTGAACCCCAGGACTTCAGCTGTGAAGCGTCTGCTCTGTGCTTTCCAGCTCAGTGTCCTGTAAACTGTGATGATTCTTCATATTTCTCTCTTTACAATTCAAAGCGAAATCTGTCCATCCTCTGTGTATCAGGGTGGTGTTCTTGTGATTGCTCTGTGCGTGTGTGTATTTTGGTAAACAGGTGATGAAAAGCTTAGTGTATGACTCAGCGCGCGTAAGCCTGTGTGGACGTCCCGTACCTGCGTGAGTCCCTCCAACAGGTAAGCACTGTGACAGGCACTTCAAGCTCCAGTACAGCCAGCAGACAGCACAGCCTTCTGTTACAGAACAACTCCGATATACACCAGCCATGACTGCAAAAGAGTACTGCAGGTCAGTTTGTCCACTACATGCCCAATGCTCAGACAAATTACTCATTCTTTAAGATTTCAGACGTTTGGTAGCATTTATGTGTGTGTTCTCAAACATTTTCAGGACAGTAATAGCTTAGCTTAGTAGAGAAGCCTGAGAAAATGATAATAACCTGGTCATTACTTTGTAAAGTGCATAATGTTTCATTTTTTAAACTGGCAGGACCATTTCTTTGTGGTTACTTAGAGCATATACATAAACCTGTGCATGCCTGTGTATCGTATCATTTCTGTACAGAAAATAAATATCTCTTTTTTTTTTTAATTTTTTCTGCATCATTTGAACACAGCAGCTGCCTTTTACATTGTGTTTCATGATGAATGGATCAATAGAAATGCTCCAAAATTGCTTGAGAGAAGATCTCTTTACATTAACTTCCCCAAAAGTAAAGACCGTTTTTGCCCTCTCCTGTAAAGTTACCATTTTGGACATGCTTTTTTCTTTCAGACAGTGATGATATGCATATTTGCAGAATACTCTAACAGTCCGTAATCTGATTACAGTTCATGTTTTGTTGTATTAGCAAGCTGTTATAGTAATATACAAGGCAGTCTTTAATTGTAATTTGACAGTGACTAGGGTTGTCAGGTGTCCGGTTTTGGACCAGACAGTCCTCTTTTGAGCTTCATTGTCCAGTGTCCTGTTAGTACAGTCAACCAGACTTTAAATGTCTCAATTATCTTTCAATTGCATCTACTTTCAAAACACAATTAAATATGAAAAAGTCTTACAGAACAGTTATCAGTGAATAAGCAATAGTTTGTTTTTTCATGGTTTATTTGTGTTGCACAATGCCAAAAAAAGAATAATAGAAACTTTATTTGTACAATACGTACAGTTTAACCTCTGATGCTTTAAAGAATATTGTTAAATCAGGCAAAATAAAGCAAAGACAATCATCAAATAGTGTTAAAACACAAAAACATGCAGTAAAAGACAATGTGCTGTATACTAATGTGATTTGAAAGATTTTATTTTGTACGATGAAAGGAGATGAAAGGGTCTCACTATACATATGCTTCATATCGTCCATGATGAAATGGTCATTGTGTGGATCATTCCACCGAATTGGTTCATTTCGGACTTTTAACTGACTTGGACTTTAATCATTTTGCTTTGAATGACCGTGTGCCTTAATTATCTTTATTTTATTAAAAATAAATCATTGAACTTTTCATTTTGTCACTACCAAAACAATCACAACCCAACTGAAATTTTACCAAATGTTTTGGTAGCGACAACTTTAGCTAATTTTGAGCTGAACTCAAAAATGCTAGCCAGTACATGACTAGCAAACACAGCTTTGAACAGTTGTACTCTCATAATTTTTTTTAAATTATTATTATTATTCACACAAAAAAGTTACTTAACTGAAGAAAATATGTTTCAGCAGTGACAATTCTTAATGTTACACACTGGTTTTCAGACTTTTAGACACGTTTACCTAAAAACGTGGGATCTACCTGCTCACCATGTGGCCATGGGGGACAGGGATGCAGTCTCACTTCCTGCTCTAAAATGCAGGGGTGTGACTAAAATAAGGCTCCGCCTACACACTGAAACTCTTTGTGATTAAAGCCATGATAAATCTAAATGTTTCAATTTCACTTTAAATGATATCAAAAATATATATATAAAAAAATACAAAAAAATGTGTTATTTACACAAATTTAGGGGGGGTTGGGTTTTGGACAGCCAGAAAGTACCCTATAAATTATGATTTTGTATATATATAGCTTATTATCTTATTTAATGCCTTATAAATATCTTATAACTATCTAAGGTCTGAACACTCAATTGACTATTAAATTTTTATTTGTCTTTTTTTTCCGTTAGCGTGGCCATACACATACTTGCCTAATGGTCTTTTTTTCTTTCCTGTATGGTTACCCCTGGATGTAAACATGTCAAATTAAAGCTGATACTCTGCACTGTTTCATTTTAAATCCAAAACTGTAGAGTACAAAACCAAACAAGCAGACATTGTCACTGTGTCATGACATGCAAACTCCACAGACATTAATCTATGCATATAGATGTAACACTATACGTTTAGATTAATGTTTGTAATTTTTGTCTGCTAATGACAGAATGGGCAGTCTGGATGAAGTTCCCTTTAAGGTTCCTCTGGGTTCTCTTGATGAGCCACTGGATGTGTTGAACCTAGCCACAGCCCCGGAAATCAATATTCCAGATTACCATCAAATACTGCAGGACACGCAGGTCTTTCACAAACACACAGCACTTCAGCAGGACTTAATAAACATCATGTAAAATAGATATTTTATATATCATATAACATCACATGCTATATTCAGGAACATTCTTTTGACCATTCAAGAAACGTGTAATTACAGTGATGAATAAATTATAATGCATATGAGCATGTGATGTAAATTTGCTGCTAGTGTGATGCAGAAGTAACACTTGTCCATGTGTTTCACTCTGCAGTATGAGTTCTCTCTGGAGAGCTGGGTTCTCACCGAGCTCCATGCAGGTTCCTATAAGGACCCTGGTGTTCCAGTCTGTTCGCCCGAGGATGTGTGCGCAGTCCCGTCCTGCCCACCATACTGGCTGCTGTTAGGCAGCCCACAGGTGAGGTGTACCACACGTCAACGCAGCAAAGAATTATGGGAGGAGGGCCCACGCCCACGCAGCCTGAGCATGAGTGCAGTGGTGGACCCCCACAGACCCCGCCTACCACGTTCTGTCCATTTCCTCATGGCTGACTCGGAATGTGAGGGTGCAGGCTACCGTGAGGATGACGAGGGCTCCTCCAGCGAAGACGATGCCCCAGATTCACGCTCTCACAGTGCAGAAAGACCACGCAGCTCTGGGCCCAAGAGACCACCTTCACTGCTCCAGGAGGCCCAGCGGCGCTCAGCCTCTCAGCTCCTGCTGCCCGGCTCACTCCGGCTTCCACCATCCCAGACCAAAAAGAGCTCCACGGGCAGCCCCCACAGCCAGAGGTCCTCACGGAGGAAAGCTGGCTCTGGGAGCTCCAGTGGGAAACGGCACTCTTTCACACATAAACAGACCACCACACACTCACTTCTACAGCAGAGACCCTCCTCAGCTGGCCCTCAGCCATCGACCCGGCTGCACAAGCCTTCTCTGCAGGTATGACACACAAACAGCTGTTCCAAACAACTCCAGAAGCTGGTTAAATTAAACCAATAAGAATGTCTTACCTCTTCAACTCCAGGACAGTCTTGACTTTAGACAAATTTTGACTTGTGGATTATCCTCCAGATAACTGTTACATTGAATATCAATTGATATGCAACGACCAGATAACTCTTTGTGTGCTTTTACTGTTCTGTACATATCAAAGAGGCCAGGACTGAACTGTAGTTTGAAGTTGTACCCCTGTAGGTGTTCATACAGGTGGCGTAGACAGTGACTGAAAACCCCTTCCAAATGTGGTAAGCAGGGTTGAATATCGAAATATTTATGGTACCGTCCAAATTCCTACAGTACTATCAAAAATTCAGTGTCCTTCAATGCCATAATTCAACTTTGATATGAGCACAAGGGACGGACAAGTGGCAGATGGGAGAAACAACCATATTTATTACATATTTAGCGATGATACAGTATGTAGTAAAAGAGAAATAAGTACCATTAATTTATATAATTTAGATGCTTATTAATGTTATATAATAATAACATTAATAAGCATCATTATCAAACATACATTGCAAGACTTGAGGGTGTTTAGATATTTTGATGTGGATAGTTGTAGATATGGACAGAGCACCAGGGACTTGTGAGGAAACAGTCAGGGAAGCACATCTTTGGACAATAATTCAGAAACTAAAAGGGGTTGCAGCAAAAACTCTGCTAGCCTTATCTCGAGTCTTAAGTCAAATAACTACTGCTAACTAATGCTAACTCTTTTTTTGCTTTTATTATTCATTCATATTATTCATAGCTTTTAGTATTTATTATTGATCATTTTGCAGCATTTCCCAAATCGATCATGAAATTTTGACACTTCTTAAGGGCAGCGGGTGATTTCAAATTATGTCAAAAAATGAAAAATGTCAAAAATGGACAGCAACGATGTGCAACAATCACCTTTTCTGACAGTGTTTTTAGTAATATGTTGAGGACAGGGAATAAATGCTGCTGTCACAAACTCAGTGGATTGTCCTGTTTCCCACTTGCAAAGTCATAATCACAATCTGCTTTGTACTCAGAAAGTCAGAAGGTTGTTGTGCTTGTTTGGGGAAAACCTACTTTGACTGCTGACATTAACTTGTTAGCTAGCATAACCTCTCCTAGGATGTTTCTAACATTTTCGCCCTTGTAAAATGCACATAATGCACCCACCAGTTCCAAACATAAGCAAATGCCTATAGCGGCCTAAACAGTCACTTAAAAAGTAAGTTGCATCTAGAAAAATAAAGACGTACTTGCTATTGACCACATAAACTGTCCTGTCTTCCACCATGATGAAGCATAAAGACCAGTACCAAGAATCAGGGTAGTTGCCTTGTGTTAAGTGTGTTCTACCATTGTGTAGCAATATATATATATATATATATATATATATATATGTGTATGTGTATGTGTGTATGTGTGTGTGTGTGTGTGCGCGTGTGCGTGTGTGTGTATGCATGTGTCAGGCTCTCCGTCCACGCAGTTCTCACGGAGGTCGTGGCTCGGGTACGGACTCTTCAGTGGAGCTGCTCTATGCTCTGAGTAAGGAAGAGAGAGAACTGCTGGAGACCATCACTGCACAGGGATACACACCCAACTCTGCCATTCTCGCTCTGCAGCGCACTGGCCCACGCAGTCCAGAGCAGGTAGCACACTCATACACATAGTGCATGACATTATTAAGCACTGAACAAGCACTTATTATCCTCACACAGACTTAGATCTGTGATATATCTCTAGACAATGAATAAATACAATACAGTTCTTTTCTGTCCTTAGTTGAAGTGCAGCTGCTTCCACCAGATTCACCTTTTCCTTTCACTTTTTTGTAAATGTTCAAAAAACAGGCAGATTTCTGGGTTATGGTCAGGCTTTTCATGAGGAGGTAAGAAGATGAAATCTTTCAGAGGCCTAAGAAACCATGCGTTGTGCTTAGAAAAGATGAAGGTGTCAAATAATATTTTTTCTCACAGGTTAGCACTCCTCCAAGTGATGCGTTGATGCAAAAAGCATAAAGCAGCCTTGAGCAGTAACAGCTTATTAAACTGAGAGAAAGGAGCACGCTTTTGCATCCATATGAAATTGTAGCATATTCACTATACACTTTAAAATGATTATTTCACATAAGTGGTCCAAAAAAGTGTATCAGATCAGAGTGTATACCACTATACACATATCACAGATCATTAACACATACCAAAAAGGATTTTGCTATAGCATATTATAACAGAAAAATCAACAGGTTAGTCACTCAAATTGGGCGATAATATTAAATGCATTATAAAAATGGTAATTTAAAGACAAATGTCATGTTATACACATCTGAAAAATGAAGTGATTTTACTGTAGCATTTAAAAGTGAATAGCGCCTAGAATATCTTACGTGAATAGGATCTGTACTAACTTTTTTTTATTTACTGTTGACAAAAATACAAATATCCAAGTGGGCTCGTGACAATCTTGCTTTGGTCCTTTGACTTCAGTTAGAGGGGGTGCCCATTCTTGTTTTTCGGGCCCAAGATGTAGCTTCGTGCAGGTCTGGTTATGGCTACTACTGATTATGGAGCTGGCTTTAAGTTGCATTCAGAATTTGTAGAACTCATTGCAGTCAAGAACGAGGGTTTTTGACTCAGTCAGCAACAGTCCTACCTCAGTTAATGATAAAGAAAAATGACAAACTGAACAGCAGCCTCCTCGACTCACATCCCTGCAGAACATCTCAAACTGCAGTAACAGAGCTGAACCACTAGAGGTCCAAAACCATCCAAGTTACTGCCAAAGTTACTCTTTATCTAACAGATTCTGAACTATCTGCTGGCGTGTGATCGTCTGTGTGCACTTGGTTATGAGAAGAGTCAAGTGGAGGACGCACTGGAGATGTTTCAGAACTGTGAGAGCAAGGTGAGAAACACACATGATGTTGGCACTATGTATCATCGCTGTCCAGAAAAAACACTTTATGTCTCAGAAATAGTAACGTTACAAGAGAAAGCAAAAGCCTTCTTAAAATGTTTAGATGTTAATGTAAAGAGATTTTATTCCAGTTAATTTTGGGGCATTGCTATTGGTCCATTGCTCATGAAATTTTCACACAATGTAAAGGACAGCTGCTGTTTTCAAATAATGTAGAAAAATTATTTTACTTTTTGAAACCCATGAACCCCAAAGAAAACCAAAGGATATATATATAATTCTACAGATCCATATTTGTCAGTCTGATATTAGTATGGATATTTGTTGATGCGTAGAAATGGCATTGAATTTTATAAAATACAAAACACTCATCCAACATACTGTTTATGTCATGTTATGTTCTTTTAATCTTGCATTAACAAGCGGCTAAACATCTGCCTTATCTTTTTCTAAAGGTCTTTTAGAACCTTTGACTACTTCAGCGAATGTACAATCAATAGCACAGCATTGAATCAAATACACGCAGTGGAGCAATCATAACGTCTGGTGATGGCCTCTAAATCGTACCCTTTCGGTCCTTAAGTAAATGGGCATAAATGCCAAAAATGGAAATATTAAATGATGATTTCACACGGAGTCATCTATCCTTTTTATTGAACGTGTTCATGTTAGTGAAGGCCTCAGTTGACAGTCTTCTCACACAGCTGCAGTATGTAGAGTATGTAGGTCTGTGCTTAGTTTTCTGACGTCTTATGTACTTTGTGAGACACTCTGATTGTGATGTGGTGGTGTGCTTCTGTCTTTGTCTTTGTTAGGCTGCAGAGTTTTTGTGTTTGCTGGCTCAGTTCCGTGAGATGGGCTTCCAGCAGAGCACCATTAAAGAGGTTTTGCTGTTGCACGAGAACCACCGGGAGAGAGCGCTGGAGGAACTCATGACGCGCGTCGCCTGAATCTTCTAGAAGAGAGATTTCTCAGCTCCAGCTCTAATAAACTCTCACAGCACATTCACACACTGTAATCCTTGCAGAGCACAAGTGAAATATCACATTCTTTGTCATCTTAGTGTGTTTTCAAAACTCTGTAAATGGTTGGAAGATAAAGCTGATTAAAATAAAGAACATCAATTATGATGAAGTCTAAGACGAAAGGAGTAAACTTAAAATAAGTTGTCTGATTTTTGTTATATGAGTAGACAGCTGTGAACCTTCAGAGTTACTGTTATAGAAAGAGAGAAACACCTGCATATTTTCTCATAAGAGACTCAGAAATACTGATATAAATGAGTTTAAACTACACTTGCAGTGCAACACAAAATAGGCAAAAGTCAACTTTTTAAAATGTTTTAAACAAAAAGTGTAAGCTGGTCACTTCTCAGTTGTGAAGATCTGTGAAAAGAGCTGAGAAAAGTGATTTTGCTGTTTTGGGACATTAACATCAAAGCAGGACTATTGACAGGTCTTTGAATTGAATCGTAGCAGAAGAGCTCGTGCATACTCATTTTCACATAATTCTGTCACGTAGTTTGATACAAAAAAGTGAAATGTTGATTAAAAGTGTTGTGTATTTCATAAAGGGCATTTTACTGATGAGAGTTTACAGTACGGAACTGATTACGTTAAAGTTCTCTTGATTCATCTCAGCATCTAACATCCTACTCAGTTTCATCTTTGAAAACAAGATTTGTCGGCCTAATGCATTTCACCAGGGAACACATTAGTCGTACAGGCTGGAGCATGGTGACTGTTATTGGGAAAATCACATTACTTTCAAACCATGTAAACATTTTAATCAAACTATCTAAGTGACCAGATAATTCATTGTCACAGTTCTGTTAATGTAAATTGAAAAGAGCATTGCACAAAAGCAGGCTAACTGCTTCTTGTTGACCAGTATGGGGAGTTATCTTTTTAAAATGTGTGTATAAGAGGAGAAAAGGATGAGAAATTGTATTATTCTTGTGAGTCTCTGATCTCTGTCCAGCCACAGATAATTTCAGTTCTTTTCAGTCAACATGGAATTAGATCAAGTGTAAAGATGTAATTTGCAGTTCTTATAGCTACTTAATTGAACAAGCATAGTATTAAAAAGTGTGAGGATTGAAGGCACATAAGCAAAAATTGCACAATAGAAGCAAAAATCTCTGATGTTGCTGTGGTTGTACTTTATTGGTCTCTTAAAAGGGTAGGAGTGTTTTCATCTTGGCCATGTTATTTGCCATAAATAATAAAAGCTAGATTCATATAAAGTGCCGACCTCATACACTCACAGTTCATGCAGTATATTAAATATCTGGTATTAGACTCAGATAGTTCAAACAGGTTGATACATAAATTTGCCCACCATATTTTTTTTTCTTCAAGAGTGCAAATGCAATGGTTATACATACAACTGTGACTCAAAGAACCATTAAAATGCATAAATGGTTCTCTATTAATGGAAAATCTGATGGATATGGTTCTTTAAAGAATCTGTAAAAAAAAGCTCAAAAAACAATCTAAGTCTTAGAACCCTGTTTTACTGCTCATACTTACAGTTCATATATCACTCTACACACAGAATTATTCTAGGCCTATTCACATCAAGTACTATGTCTGGAATCTGATATATTTAACACCTCCAACAGTTTAATCAGTTAATATGCGCCCCTCATTCATCTAAAGTGGATTAGTGGGCCTGATGAGTCACTGCACCAAAGCTGTTCTACGCTCCGCCCCTCCAGCCAATCAGCTGGCCGGCACGCACAGTTTCGATGACGTATGCGGCTCTCAGCCATTCAGAGAGTAAAACGGGGTTCGCTGCAAGATTTGAATCGCAGACAGAGAAACGGCTCCTAGTTCACACAGCAGTGTTTACGGCAGACTGGAGCTTATTATTTACTTTCTGTCTGAGCTCAACTGACGAGCTGTATTATCTCATTTCGTCTTATATGCTGGAGTCGTTTCTACAGTTTTTGTTCGAGCGCCACGATGAGGAAGAGGTAAGAGAGCTAAGAGTTTAATCTGAGAGCCGTGGGTGCTGAAAGACCGCAGTGGTCGGTCTGTAGATAACGTTCACTAGACAGGCAGACAGGGAGAAGCATGTCGGTTTCTGTAGTTACCGTGGAAGCGAATACGTGCGAGTTTTGTTTAGTGGTGTTCACGGTAAACGGTTTCGGTCGGTGCTGAAGTCATGTTTGTACATGTTTTAACCCTGTCATGGATTTAGTGGCCTGACGTTAGCAGGCTAATTAGCCAGTTGAGCTAACTAACCTTACTGATGTTGCTGCTCGTTAGCTAGCTTAGCTATCTAGCTAGGCTAGCTAATTAAACCTTATGAATTAGCCAACTAACCTTCATTTTTTGTAGTTAGTTCACCCAGTGTAACTTTAAATTCGGTAGCAAAAGGTCGTTACAGACGTGAACCTTACTAGCGATTATTAATATTAACACTCATTAGTCTTGGCTTGAAGTTGTAAACTAACAGCAAGCTAAGCTAACTAGCTTAGATACGTCAAACATGGCACATTGATGGATAGACTAAACTGTTAGCTGATAGCTCAGCTGGCTATGTTCTCTTCTCAGCCGGCTGATTAACCTCACAGCTGATCAATTCGTTTTTTTGACATCTGATAGCTAAGTTAGATAGAACAGACAAAGTAGTGGGTTTGGGCGACATGGCGAGAATTATGTCTCAAGACATTTTCACGACGCTCCATATGCGTCATGATGTTTTGTATTTCTGAGCTTTAATAAGGTGGAACAGAAAATAAAACCTTAAAATACTCCAATAACTAGCTTAATTTTATTCAGTGTTTTACAAACTGCATTGCACTAAATCCAATTAAACAGACCTAATAATCCGTACTTTGTAACGTGCTGTTAGTCAGTGTTTTAACACAGACGATATCCACTAACCTATATGCTCAGAGAAGTGTATGGACATAATTTATCACAATATTGATGAAAGATCGTCGTATTGCCAACCCCTACAAAGTAGTGCCACATTGTAAAAATGTTATCAAACTGTCAGTCCAGTTACTTGTGTTCAGCATTTCACACACAGTGCTGCACTGAATAAAATAAATCATAATTAGTCCTTTTTAACTGGTTTCAAACATGTGGCTAGTTGCGAAGTGATTTTAAGTGCAGTATCCGTGATATGCTCAGAAAAGCATAATGTGACACATTGTGATGTAATTTATCACGATGATGATAAATATTGGATTATTGCCCACTCTAGTTAAAAGTGACGTATGTGTTTGTCGTTGTGCAGTGAGATGCATGCTGCCGAGTCCGTGGCATGTCTCAATAAAGCCCTGAGCTGCCTCAAAGACATCTGGGAGGAGATAGGAATTCCCGAGGACCAGAGGGTGCAGCGGACTGATGCGGTTAGAATGCATGTTAAGGTGATTAAATTGTTTGTTTGTTGTTTGTTTCTTTCTTTTTTTCCCCTCCCCCCTTCCTTTACCTATTTGGCAGCTGTTCAACTGGGTCACTTCATGACCTGTTTCATCAGAAATCGGATACTGTCTAAAGCTGTCAGGCTTTTAAGTTTCTGACTAAATGTGTCTTCCTTATATAGAACCTGTTGGACATGATGATAGCAGAGGAAGAAGGACTGAAGAAGAGGTTGATGAGTAGCATTGAGTCCTGTCAGAAAGAACTGAACAGTTTATGCGAGGAGCTTCGACTTCCTCCGTTTGAGGTATGTCAGAAGAATTTGTGCTGTGTGCCATTCTAAACAACATTCTACATGCTTGTGCTTCTGGGGTTTGATTCTGATCTGCTGTGTGTTTGTCCATTCATCAGGAGGATGATGGCCTGACCATGCTGCAGCTGGAGAAGGAGATCCGCACTCATCTGAAGGTTATGTTGAAGCAGAAGAGTCAGAGAATGAATGAGCTGAAAGAGCTGATGCAGCAGGACAGGGAGCTGTGTGATATTTTGTGTGATAACCCTTTCGTCATTGACCCCGACCGCGTGCCCTCCGCCCAACAGCTGGAGAACTACCGTCAGTACATCACATCCCGCAACCAGGAGAAGGTAAAGCGCAGTGAGCTCAGAAACAAAACACATTTCATGAAAAGCCATTACCCTTTTTTCAAATAGGGATGCACAATGGTATCGGAATCGTATCAATATCAAAAGACATTTGCTTAAAAAAATCGGACAGATGTTTACATTTGACGCAAACCTCAAACTGATATTAAAAACGTTCTTAATGAGTAAGGGAAATTAATGCAACATTTTTTTTCCGAAATAATTTTGAAACTGTTCTGTTGGTCTGTTCAGCATGACAGTTCGACACAATGCAAAGGGTAGCTCGAGTTGCACTCATTGGAAGAGCAGAAAATTTATATGATGCTAGGCTATTGGTCTAAAATGTTTTTATTTCATTCATTCATTCATTCATTACTGCGCTGTAACCCTATACAAATAAGTTACATTCCTTTATAGTCCTAATTTCTACATTTCATATATGATTATGTATCAGCAGTGGCTTATGATTCCTATATCTGCACATCCCTTCTTTTTTACTTTTACCATTATGTCCGGTATCTGTTTGAGGCAATAGTAGTTTTCACGCATGCAAGATGCTGACTGGAAACTGTGTGTTTAGGAGCGTCGTCATGCAGAGTTTGTGGCCATCAAGCGCCAAATCGTTGTTTGCATGGAAGATCTTGAGCAGATGCCAGACACTAGCTTTGAGAGAGACGTGGTGTGTGAGGATGAGGAAGCGTTCTGCCTATCAACAGAAAACATCACTGCCCTCAAAGTGCTACTGAGCCAGGTACACGCGCACACACAGATAATCGCTGTTCTGAGAATGATGCTCATGTTTGGTTGTGACTTATGAGTAATCCTCTCCACCAAATACAGTCTCTGTGTCTCCCACTCTCCCCTGCTGATTGCTATTCATGTCCTTGAAATGAGTCATTCTCACCTATTCATCAAATAGATTAAATTGTGTGTCGGATTAATCTGTTTAACACCTTGCTATGGCCATTTATTAATCATTGGTCTCTGGTGTGGTTTCAGTGCTCTGAGGGTTGAGTACATTATTTAATACTTTGTCTAAATTGAATTGTATTTTGCCCTCATTTCCACAGCAGGATACAGGCTGTGTATGTGAATGTAAGATTAGACTGCATCATGCTGAGCTGTGTGTTTGGGTTTCAGTTGGAGAATCGAAAAGCAGAGAATGAGGCAGTGTGTGTATCCTACCGTGGCCGTATTGGGGAGCTATGGGAGAGGCTGCAGATCCCCCAGGAGGAGAGAGACTCTATTGCAGAACACATGAAGAACAGCAAAAAGAGGAACGTGGATGCTGTGAGTGTAAACATACATCAGTCATCAGGTTTTATTTTTTTTTGGTTTGTTTTTTTTTTTTTCTCAAATACATTCAGGTTCTATGGGCCCATGTAAACTATAGATTGTTTTTAAAAGGTGGTTCCGCATTTTCATGTTACAGAATGCAATGTCTTGTATCTAAGCAGTACTACATGGCCCAAAATCATGAATATGCATTCAGTAGAGGTGCTGTTTTCATGCAGTTGCAGGTATAAACAGTATGTGAAAAACTGCTGGGTGAAGTGGAACATTATTAGGGGAGGGGGTGATTGATTTACTATTTTATTATTTTTTTTTAGCTAATCTTACTAGTCTCCGTTTATCTTTTATCATGTGCACGTAGCAGAAAGCTTAAACACAGAAATAGAGCTGTCGAGGTAGCTGTAGTTTCATTAAAGACACTATCCTGTGTTTTTCTTGTATTGTTTTGTATTTTCCCCTTAGATCTAGTTATGGCAGTTTTATGTACCAGAAACATAATATTCCTGGAATAAGTGGATGTATATAAATGAACTAGTTCTTGTGACATTACAGAAACAGTGAATTAAATTGTTTTCCATTATGTGGGCCATTTTAAAGAGGAGACAGAGAGGCCAGCAATTTTTGCCCAGACGTTATATTTCTGCATCTCACTCTCATAAGGTGTTCGGTTACTCTGGTACACCATAGCATATTTGGTGTTGAGAGACCGTTTACAAAACCAAGGGTGTAGTTCAAAAAAAGGAATGAAAAGAGCAACATCTTAAGCTCTGAAATCACTGTGGAGTAAGTTTGAGTCTCTTATCCTCTCTATATACACTACCAGTCAAAAGTTTGGACACTGTCTTATAGGATGGTTTTTCTTTATTTGTATGGTTTTCCACATTTTAGAATAATCAGCGAAGACACACACAAATTACACTGCAGTGACCAAAAAAAAGTGTTACATCAAAATATCTAGAGAAATTAGCCACAGTTTGCCTTGACACAACTTTACACACCATTGAGAAGCTGCTTGAAACACATGCCAAGAGTGTGTAAAGTAGCCTTGACATAATTTGTGGCATTTGTTTCAAGCAGCTTCTTGAGGGCCACCCAAGATGTTTTTCAGGGACTAAAGAAGATACACATATGCTGAGACCTTGCTGCTCCTTAAAACTTCCTGTTCGGGCGCAAATGTCATTTGCGTTTAAGCATCAAGATGATTTTATCATTTTGAAAAATGCATATTTAGTTAGCTGTGTCAACTTTTTGTATTGCGCTTCAGGTAAAGGTTAAGTTTAAGACTCACTACATTTAAACCTCCAGTTAAATAGGTGTTTTCATGATGAATTCCTAGTCTGTAATCATATCCATTCACTTTTATGCAGTGTCTTGAGTGTTTGTCAGTGACCTTATTCAGTAACCCACTAAACTGCTGTTCCTTGTCTTGCACAAAGTTTTATTCCTAATACATCACATCTTCATGAAAATGTCAGACTGCTCTAAGTTGTAGATGTTAAGTTGAAAACCGATGTGCTCTGACATTTTTGTGCATCATCTTTAATGCCTTTCACAGTCTTGCTGTTCCTTTGCAACAATCCTCCCACCTTTCTGTAATTTGCCCTGCTCGAGGCATAAAAGTGCATTTTGATGTGAAGTTATTGCAACAGTCTTTGCAAGAAAACAGGGACCACTAATGTGTGTAGTGTAATCAGAACATTAAAAATTTTAGCTACTGTTTCCTCTGGCTGTGTGTACACCCACTCACATTCACTCTTCTCGTGCTTGTTATTTACCTATACATCTATCTTACTGTAGCTGCATGCAGAGCTGGAGCGTTTGGAGGAGCTGAAGATGAAGAACATACGGAGTGTGATTGAAACAGTCAGAGCAGAAATCGCTCTCCTCTGGGAGAAATGCTTCTACAGCCTGGGCCAGAGACAAGCCTTCACTCCATACTATAATGGTATGGTAGCCTTTACTGCTGGAGCGGGGCACAAGAGTCACTAGAGCAGGAAAATATTGCAATTTAACATGTCTGGTTGTTGTGCTGTCATTTATCCTGACACATTTTGACATGAGGACCTAGCCTTGGTTGTTTCTGTGTAGCAGTGGGAAAGATACAATTAGAAGCAGTTTTTGTAGCTAAGCCTAAGGCTTATTAGAAAATCCAGTTTTAAGAATTTTAAATGAATTCTGATCCAGTGCCATTATTATTATTATTATTATTATTATTATTATTATTCCTACAACATTTATTTATTTATTTATTTATTTATTTATTTATTTATTAAAGAGGGAAAAAAAGAAAAATAAGTAGAAGGATGCAATAATGATATTAAACTCTGTAATAGTTTGGGATTGATCTTACCAGAACTTCAGATCAGATTTTCAGTTATGCCTCTAATAATTTTAACTGTCATTTAGTCTTTATTTATTTATTTATTTATTTATTTATTTTGACTAGATGATTTCACTGAGGAGCTCCTGGCTATGCATGAGAGAGAGGAGCAGAGGCTGAAGCAGCAATTTGAGGAACACAAAGAGCTTTATGATGGAGTTACCACCTGGCAGAACAACTGGACCCTCTACCAGGAACTGGAGGTTAGGTCCTGTTCTGTGTTAAGACTGTCACGCATCACATTCATTTGAGTGCACAGTTCACCACATATCTGTTTAGATTGCTACGGTAAAATTAGGATTTTAGTGAGACATAAATTAATTGTGGTTACTAAAAAAATGTGAACTCCTTTTCTCCCCGCCTTTAGAAAAAGGCCACAGATCCGTCTCGCTTCAACAACAGGGGAGGCAACCTGCTGCGGGAGGAGAAACAGAGAGCAGAGCTGCAAAAGAGTCTGCCCAAGGTCAGTCTGTGGCTTACTGCCATCAGTATTTCTGAACTACTTACAGCACTGTGCAAAAGTCAGGGACCACTATTCATGTATTAAATTTCCAGTGAGGTGGCCATTAAATGCCAGTTGTTTGTTTTTCAGGAGATATTTATGAGGAGATTAGATGTAAGTAGAAAAACAGGAGTTTCCAAAACTGCAGTAAATAATTGATATAGTAGAAATAGGACTTCTAGCAACCACATAAGGGGTGGTAGACCACCAAAACGGCATCAGATAAACAGCACTTAAAGTTTTCATCTCGGAGAGGAGAAAATCAAGCTCCACTCTTGCTTCAGATCTGAAAAATCCACAATCTGTCCATTCCACTGTGAGAAGACATCTTACCATCTGTCTGAAAGGATGTGTAGCAGTCAAGAACCATTTAATGGGGTGATTAAAAGAAATGGAATGTAGATCTAACAAAGAAGCTGCTGTTCTCAGAATAATGGACGAGAGTCCCAACCTCAAAATTATTAAATGTTTAGAATTGCCTGGCTTGTGAGGAACAGAAAATACAGCCAACTTCTAAGACGGAACTGTGGAGGTGAGGAAAAATGTAATATTTCTTTGGAAAGCGAAACAAGTCACTAACTATTTAGTTGTTGAGGCTTTTTATTTTTCTGTTAAATGTTTTCTGGGTGGTCGCTGACTTTTGCTCAATACAGTATGTGTGCATAAGTCAAACATCGCAGTGTGTTAACACAGATATTCTGTGTTAAACGGCTTTTGTGTAAAAACATGTTTGTTGTTCTCATTGCTCAGCTGGAGAAGAGCCTAAAAAGCCAGGTTGAGCAGTGGGAGGCAGCACAGGGTGCAGAGTTCCTGGTCAATGGGCAACGCTTCATGCAATATGTGGAGGAGCAGTGGAACCTGCACCACCTGGAGAAAGAGAGAGAGAAACTGGAGAGGGTAATTACGGATTATGAATTAATAATCATTATCATTACTGCATGGAGAGGCAGAGAAACTCAATGGGAGCAGGTCTATTTAAAATAATTCTTATTAGGGTAATTAGAAGGGAGTGAGAGAAATGGCCAAGAGTAAAAGGCCTATTTGAAATCATTATCATAAGGATAATTAGGTTATAAGGAAATGAAGAAAGAAAGTCAGTAAAGGGTAAAAGAGCAACCATCGTGACTTTATTACCAAGCAGACAAAATACAGGAGCTCCATGCCGAATTCATCTCTGCTGTAGCTTTCTCAAAAGCATTACAAGGAGAAGGTCCATTTGAGTTCCTCGTTTGCATGTGTTTCTCATATTGTGTATGTGTTTGCAGCAAATGAAAAAGAATAAGCAGACTGAAGAGGACATGCTGTACGGCACGTCCCTTCGAACGCCCACCAAGAGGAGGCTAGCAGGAATGCCCACACCAGGGAAATCACGCAAGGTAACTTTCCATCTGTATTTGTGTGCATACATGTTCTGCAAACCAGTGAATAACTGAGAAAGTTGTTGTGCTGTAATACTCAATGCTGCTCCCCATTTCTTTAGCTAAATACCACTTCCAGTATCTCTAGCTGCACCCCCAACACCACCCTCCGCTCCATTTGCCACTCACCATCCATGAGACCTCCTCTCTCAGTCAGCAAGGTGAGATGCTTCCCTGCTTTTTCTTAGCCATATGCCAGAGTCAGCGTTTGGCCCTTGTAATGCTTGGAGTTACTGCAGCTATTATGCTTGAGCTGATTGGATTGACCTTGGAGTTGGCAGTCAAACATAGGATGATCTGAATCTGTACCATTTTTAGCATGGAAATAAGGCAACGAAACATCGTTCTCTAGCAATGAAAGGCAGCATATCCTAATGTGCACAGATGAGTGCATACAATTTTAAAATACAAAGCCTTTATAGTCTGTTCAGTAGCCTATTAAATAATAACGGTATCATAGATGTTAAAGTTTTAGCTTATCTTTATTATTTTAAAAATAAGTGATGCATAAGGCATTGAAGAGAGATTAAGCTCTATGATAACATACCAAGAGCAAAGTTTCTAACATTGATTCATTTTATATTTTGCCCAAATCAATGATTTCTGTGAAATATATTAAAAGGCTGAAAAAGTAATCTATACAAATGTAATCAGTATAAGTCCTGAATGGCTAAAAAACTATCAAAAGACGTGGGTGTTTCCCAAATGTTCATACATCCCTGTAAATCCCAAAAAAGTGGATTTATACATTGAGACACATTTACAGCACACTGATCTTTATACTGCTGCTGACGTTTTTTGTTTTGGTTTGATTCAGATTGGTTCAGGGTTGCGTACACCAGCTCGTGGCCGAACCCCTCGTGGTCTGGAGAGGAATAAGGAGAACCTGTCTCAGCTCAGTGGAGCCCTGCGCACCATGACCTCCAGCCCACACCGAAACTACTCCATCAACTCTGTTGCCAGCTCCTACTCCGAGTTTGCGGTAAATCGCCCTCTCTAAACTTCATCCATTACCTGTCATCACTGCTGCCACCATGACCAGCAGAGTCCCAGCAGCACTCAGTCCAGTGACATGGAGAGTTGGGAAATGTGTATAATTACCCCTTCTCTAAATATCTAATGTTGAGTGAGTGTGACCTCTGGACAGTGTGTTTAGCGTGTGTAGAGCTGCAAGATACAGACATAAAATTTTGTGATAACTATATTACTATAGAAGTAATAAATTATGATTAAAATAGCGCGTCTCTGACTTAGACAGGCAGTATGGCCAAAAGATTTGTATGTAATGGCTGTGTAAATTGAAACTGTACGCATATTAATGCCAGTTCTTCCTCTTTGGCTGCAGTCAGTTACTATCAGTGAAGACATCAGACCCCTCACACTCATTTCTAATTTAAGCCACACCCACTTTGAATTGGTAAGTGGACAAAGATATCAAAAACAGTAGCTTTCAGGTGTTGTTCAGTGATACCCAGCCATAGCCATTATTGCTTCACACATAAATAAACGCACATTTGAATGCAGAAAATGTCTATCTGAATATTTTTAAGCTACCTCAGCTGCTGCTCCCCCTCGCATGTTCCAGGCCAATTAGTTACCAACATCATCACAATCACCAACTATCAAAGGATGTCCATTGCTGACCATAGACAAACAAAATAATTATTTATTTTGGCTTTAATTATAATTGTGTAGGGTTTTGCATACTATGGGGCTCAGTCATTCTGAACAAAGCAATATGTTTACTTTATAAAGTGAATAAACGCTGATTGGCAAAAACATCTGTTCTTGTGTGAGGTAACCGAATAAACTACTTCAGGTGGCAGACTTTTCAGATCCAAATTTTAAGTTCAGCAAGCCTATGTATGCACTTGCTCTCGGCTATCTAACTGTGCATTTTGTTTATAGAGGGATTGTGACAACATTGAGTCCACCACCATCTCCAGGTCTGTATATATTACACCATATGCATTATTAATTTTTCCCCTATTTCATTTATTTACCTATTTATTTACCTAAAAGATATACTTATTCACACACGTGTGCGTGAACACACTCCTTTAACCTGACTAATAACCACTCGTGTCCACACACAGCCGAGAGCTGTGAGGCATGTGTGTTTGTTTCCTGCTCCAACTCCTCTTACTTGGCTGGACTGTGTGCTGCTGGCTCTGCTAAACTGATCGGGTTAAACTTTCCCTGCTGTCTACACTCACCACTCCGCTCTCCTGCTCGTTCACTTGGCTAGAAAGAAGTGAATGAATGAATGTACTTTGTGTCTGTAGAGGGAGGTGATTTCTGTGTGTTAACGGTGTAATGGTAGTTGGCATAGTAACTAGCATACTCTGTGTCTGCTTTTTCACACTGTTGAGTGAACAGACACAAAGGTCTTCTGCAGTAGGTGATGTTTTCTTGAACTTCAGTACATGAGAATAATGTCAGTATAATTCAGTAAAATGTGAGATTTACATGTAGACTGTAAGATCCGCATCTTTCAGATTTTTGTGCCAAATACACAATTTGCATTCGGCCAATTTTAATTTTGGCCCATCTTTGTTGCAGTTTTGTGATGTAAATAACAGGCAGCTGGGATTGTTGTATGCTGTAACACGCACACAAATTCACTGCCTCAGATTTGAGTCTTTATCCTCAAGTTGTCAGTAAGGCAGAATTGAACTGAATTGTTGAAGCTATTTTTTCCCTGCTCACTAAGCTAACATTTAGCCTCTGGTGCTAACAAGGACAGTGGTTTATAAAACTGTATCATGCTAAGCTACTTATTCTTGCTATTAGTAAAGTCCTACACACTATATTTGACAGTTTATTGGATAGATATGGACTATATTTGACACTGTCATGAACTTACATACCACTGTCTATTTATTTTTTTAAGGTAGCTTTTAGCTACATCTCACTGTTATGTTAGTGCTCGCTCTCTGTAACTCTGTCTTATTTGTCTCATTAGCAAAAATGAGCTGCTACGAACCGCCCCACAAATCACTTTTTTGTATACTGAGAAAACTGAACTCTGCACTACAGTAACACATTTTACACAAACACCTAAAGTAAATGTATAATTAAGACAATACAGGTGCTGTAATTCACTGCTGCTGCTACACCTGTACCGAAATGTTGAAGGATAATTATGCATGACTCATTGTACTAATAGCCAGTCGCATTTTACTTAGGATTAAGCACCTTTATTTGATCTATTTTATTTAAATAGAAAACTGGTCTTTCCTATACAAATTTAAAATGCCTGTTTGACCCATTAAGGAGCAAATAGGGGAATTTATGTTATAACTGTGGCTAATAGAAATGTGCTAAAGTGTTCTCCTATATTCATTTAGCCAACATTGTAAGCTTCAGACTTTAATTAAAAAAAAAAAAGCTAGCAAAATTCAGCCAAATAAATCAGCTGTTGGCCAAAAGAAATTGAAATCAGGTATAAATAAATTGTTTTTCTGAAGAAGGAGTAGAGTTGCATGAATCATTACAGTTGAACTGAAATCTTTATCTTAAATCTTTTACATTTAGATTTAAATTAGAGATGACTTATCAGCATTTGTGTGATATTAGCATAAAGTACTGGACAGATATCAGAGGGAGGGGAAAAAAAGAATTCAATTTTGTAACAGATCTACCCTAAAATAGGACACACTCACATTGTGTGATGTCAGCTCTGTATTTCTTTCTGAGGGGTAGTGGAGTGTTTGAGTAGTTTGAGCATGATGGCCTGCTTTTATCTTAAGTGAAGTGCTTTGATTGAAAATGGCTCATTATAAAGCACAGTAGTTCTTAAAGGAAGCGTATCAGATTGGTATTGGCTGATACTCAGGGTTTCAATATCTGTATTGGAAAAGAAAGTGGTATTGTGCCATCTCTAGTTTGAATCTTTTGAGGCATTACATTTCGCTTGTGTTCACTTTATCAAAAAAAGTTTCACAGGTTCAGTGTCAGGACTGGCAGCGTTTGTGAGTGTGACATTTATGGTGTCTGTTTTGATGTCTTTTTCCAGCGAGAACTCTCACAGGCCTCAAAATCCGGCTGCAAGGCTGGAGTTCTGAACTCCACGATCACACGCTGAGACTGCAACCATCTCCACTCAGCGTTAACCTTACTTCAGATGAAGGGAACAGTGTTCAAGAGAATATTGAATGTAAATCACGTGCAAAAAATGTGTTTACGTGAGGACCTTTGTAAATATTTTACTTCTGTTTTAATGTTTCTTTTCTTTTTCTTTTAAACATGCATCTCATTTTAGAAGTCTTCCAGGTGATGTCAGATGAACTTCATGTCAAAATCAAGATAGTTTTTATAAAAACTCTGTTTTTTTGCAATAAACTCTTACCTTTAAGCTTTTTATTATGGAGGCTTGTACAGTACAGTTTGGTTTGGAATCACTAAGATTTTCTTCTTCTGTTTTAGGATATTCTGTCCTCTCTGTATTTATTGTTGTGCTATTTTCTACTACCTGTGTAACACTAGACTTTCATTCTTGTAATGTTTCAATTCACACTTGGCAAGGCAATTAGGTGACCTGTAAAATAAATCTTTTCACTGGGAAACCTGTGTGCAGCTGTTTTATTGAATGGGATCAGAAATGGCTGGTGTTGAAAAACAATGTGTTGTGATGTCTTACTAAGGATGTGAAGGGTGAACAGTAAAGGGCAGTCATACAGTAGAATTTTCTCTACTGTTGTCAGTGTTTAACTGCTTTCAGTAATGTAAGGGTGACAATGGCAAATCCTTCTGAATAAATAACTTCTTGGTGTAGATTCAATGGCTCTCAGCATTTCACTAGATATTGACACACCTGCTGTTAGCTGTGTACACAGCCAGAGCGCTCATTTATAGCTGAAACCAAGTAAACTCACTTTAAAGGAGGGTTTAAACATTTTTTCAGGTCTGCATAGTTCAGTCATTAAGATGTAAATCAAGTCATTCAAAGTGATGAGAAATGGTGCATTGCAGAGAAACTTACCAGCTTGAAATTGCTTCATAAGATAGTAAATAAACTGGCTATATATATATATATATATATAGCGCCAGTTTATTTACTATCCACAGTTACCAGTGAACATGATATTGATAAAGATACAATTATTTTTTTTAGGCCAAAAGCTTACAAATTTATCATAAAACATCTCAGGCTTCATGTAGCTGTTTCCTTTCTGTGAGGTAAATTTGAAAGGTTCCTATCAACACCACTGGGAACAGTCCTGACCCTTGACAGGGATGGAGGGGTGCTGAGGGGGCTGCAGCATTCCCAGATTTCAGGATTGTTTTAAACAATAACAAAACTTTTTAATATTTTGAGCATGGCAAAGGTTCATATGTGCTTGTTCGTAGGGTACAGTTAGTATTTTTATTTGGTTGTATTAGCATATGGTCAAAGTCTGCAGTGGCTGAGCACTAAGTTAAGGCTGTACAGTTGTCACTTCCCTCAACAACTGCGGGCCGCTTTGGGGGCGTCGCTAAAACACAAGCAGTAGTTACAGGCATCTCTGAGTCCCCACGCTTATTGTGGAAAAAAAAAAAAACAAATTAAGAGAATATTTTTCGCCAACATAATGATCTCCGCCACTTATCAATGTTTCCTCAAACACAGTGATAATCTGGAGCGAGACCTGCGCCTGTAGCCGTTTCTGCGCTGCAAATCAGCAATTTGTTATGGTTTTTAATTTTTGCAATCTGATTGGTTGGCACTCAGCTCATTTGCATAAACACACTGATGTGACGGAGTGATTAAAAGTACCACCCAGCAAAGCACAGCTAAGACAGGAGGACCAAACAAAATAGTCAATAAAGCACCCAAACTCATATTCTGAGTGATGAATATGAGCTTTGAGTAAAGGAACGGTCATTAAACAGAACACGAAGCCTTTAGCTTGCTAAACAAGTGACAGTATGTAACTTGGGCTCTTTGTCGTCAGGGGGCGTGGTCATGGCTAGGTGGTCGTGGCAACGATCCCTCACTGAACAGACAAAGCAGGTCAGTGCGGAGCGCTGAGACACTAAACAGAGGGAGGGTTTCACCTGCTGACCAGCCTCGTTACAATAAAAACACAAACAGAACATCCGTCCTCAAGAAAAAACCTTTAGGAAATATAGGGCGATCCTGACCCCGGGAGAGCAGAGAGAGAGAGAGAAAGAGAAACAGAGAGAGAGAGGGGGAGAGAGAGAGAGAGAGTGAGAGAGAGACAGAAACAGAGAGAGAAAAAAAAAGAGAGAGAGAGAGCGCTCCTCCCGAATGCAGGAGTCCCACCCCTGCAATGCAACTTCCAGCGCTCCACCACACGCGCAGCCTCTCTCTCTCTCTCTCTCTCTCTCTCTCTCTCCCGCGGCTCGCATGCAGGGAAAATACAGCGTTTTCAAAACGACTCGTGCAAAACCCACCGGCCCGAACAAAGCCTCCCGCCAGCGTCGACTATGTCCTCGTGAAGCTGATGCTGAGCCTGTCCGCTGTTTGATGGAGAGAGGCGCGTGAGGGCTGCAGGAGGGAGAGCGGACTTTCCCCCCTTCGTTGCACCAAAAAGAAACTCCTCCAAGGTAAGCGCCATCTCCTCCTCCTCCTCTTCCTCCGGCCCGTCCTGTAGAGTCCGAGCGGCTGAGCCAGAGCCAGTGTCCGAGTGAGGAGCTCAACTCCGGGTCCATGACGCGCTGGAGCCCCGGCTGGCATCACTGCATGTAAATATGGTTTGAGATGCTGGTGCTGAGTAGCCCGTGTGGAGCCTCGCAGCTCTGTAGGCTCTGCTTGCTCTGAAGTTAGTAGGTGAATAAGCTGTTCACATGCTGTTCCACACATGGCTGATCGCTGGAGGCCTGTCCTTTCTGCAGCAGCTCTGGAAGCCTGTGAGAAGCACAGGAGCTGCAGAGTTCCTGTGTAATATTGTCATGACCAGTGCTCTTACCATAGTATTGATGATTTCACTCATCAGCACTTATCAGCAGGTATGTGGAAGAAACTATATGAGTAAGGTTTTAACACGCTCCCACACATGGCTGATCACTGGAGGCCTGCTTGTTTTCTGCAGAGCCCTCTGAAAAGTAAGACCACAAATTTCATATTAGAATATTTTCCTGACTGTTTCCCAGCAGAGAGACAGTGAAGCTCAGGAAGAGTGACATCCTGCTTTAGCATGTGCCAGCGTGGCTCATCACAGTTACACAAGGCTGAGTTATACCTGCTGTGTTGATATCCGGCTCTGGTCTGCGTGAGGATGTGTTGAAGGGTATATTTGCGCTGCTGCACACTTTTTAATAACCTGTTTCTCCCTTGATGACAGAGTCTCACTACTGCTCGCAAGGTTGTCATGGTCACCACCAGGCTGCAGCACCTCTTCTCACTGCCCAGTGCATTATTATTGTTTGTGCTGGTGGTTTGTGGGGGAGGGGAAGGGGGTGGAGGGGTCTTCAGCCAAAGCGCTTATTATTTAACACCTACACACCATCACACTCTCCTTTAACCCTCTGGATTCCAGACAGAAGCTGTGGCATGAACACAGGCAGCGGCACGTGTTCAGATGCAGTCCGTACCTGTGGAAGAGGAGCCTGAGCTCCACCCTGTTTGTACCTCTCACAGTAGAGCAAGAACACACAGACTGTGCTGCTATTTTTATCTCTGTGATTGATCCGGGTGGTGATTCACTGCGAGTGGGAGCTTCCGCTGAAGTTTTCTTCTCCGAGCATCATCTCTGAGCCTGGTAGAGAAATTGTGTGTGTGTGTGTGTGTGTGTGTGTATGTTTGTTCATGGTTGTTTGTTTTGTACATTTTCAGGACAAAGACACTGAAACATTGTAGGGAAAGGACAGAAGAAACAGGGCTAACCTACAATGTCAGTACCATCAGAATGGTCAGGACTTTGTAAAGCTAATTTTTTTAGGGTTAAGTTTAGGGTTATGAATAGAAATGATAATTGATAAGTTGTCATGTATATATGATACATGGGACATATTTTTACAGATAGATACTTACATATATGCAGTCATATGCAAAGGTTTTGGGACCCCTGGTCAAATTACATGTTTTGTTAATTTTCTAAGTGCAAATAAGTTACACATCTCTACAGAGAACACACTTCTGCACATTTGAATACACACTTACTGTTTATTTGCTGAATTTAACATATTGCAAAATATGCAAAAATCAGGCACGTTATAATTTCTGTTTTATTTTTTCAGAATATGTTAAACTCAGAAAACAAGTAGAAAGTGTGCACTAAAATGTGCAGAAAGGTGTCATATTTAAGTGTGTTCTCTGTAGAGGATGTGTTAACTTATTTTCATCTAGAACATCAACAAAACATGATTAAAACCTTTGCACACGACTGTGTAACGCATATAGGACATATTATTACACATAGGTACTTATCCATATAAAACATATGGGACATATTATTGGTGATGTCACTGATCTGATACAAGAGATCACTGCTGGGCTGATATCAGCAGAAAATGCTGTAGTAGCACATACACTGTGTGATGTGATGTGATAGCCTCCCGTGGGCTAGTAGAGTGTTTGAGTAGTTTGAGTATGATGGCCTACTTTTACAGAATTGCCTTAAGTGAAGTGCTTTAATTAAAAACAGCTCATTTTAAAGACTAGTAGTAGTAGAAATATCAGATTCTGTCAGTAAAGGCTGACACTCAAGGTTTTGATATGAGTACTGGAAAAGAAAAAGTGGTGTCGTGACATTTCTGATCATTATTACACAATTGACATTGTATAAAACCAAGCATTTGTTAGGCCTTCTCTTAGTCACAGTGCTGTGTGTGTAAAGGGGAGCCAGAGAGAGAAAGTGTGTGTGTGAGCACAAGTGGGTATCTGTGGCGTGCCAACGCTCTGCCAGCGTGTAGCGCACGTGTGTGTGTGTGCGTGGTGATGGAGTGTGTGTACTCGGCCACGATGCAGTTAATGTTATCATGACTCATTCTGGAGATTAAAAGCAAAGTTGATTTATTAGTGTGTGTTCACTTGCTTTGCTCCTTCGCTGGAATGAGCTGACAGTGCACACACTCACCCCCTCCGTACCCCCCCTCCCTCCGATCAGCCCCTCTGGCTTTTCTCGCAGCACCAGCGCAGGCCCATTATTATTGATCGCTGCTGTTTTAGAATGGATGACCAATAAAGGGAAGTACACATTTTCATTTTTCCTCAGCAGAGGCAGTCTGTATCTCATGCTCTCCATTAAGTTCAGATTCATCAAAGTTTGAAGGTGCTTTATTGGCATGAGTGAATCACAGTATTTTTTTCACAGCCGTATTGTGTGTTTCTAATTCTGTAAAACCTGGTTTTAGCAGCTGGCTGAAGGAACTGAAGCTTCTAGTCCAATTTCGGGGTTTGTGCATAATACCATGTATCTAATACTGTAAATGTAAAACTAGGTGAACCAGGTACACCTACAATTAGAGTCATATTGCCATGATGTCCAATGCTTTATATGTCAATATTAAAACAAAAAACAAGCAATATTAACAGGAATAATAATGTCATACATTTTCTACATATAGTACTGGACAAAATCAGAAACCCCATTTATTTAATTTCCAGTCATTTAGTACAAGCTATTAATTTTTCAGATTTTTCTGAGGAAATTAAATATAAGATAATCCTCTTGGATAAGGAAGGTCAAAGGAGACCACCAAAACTGTCGCCTTCAGATAACCACACTTAAAGCTTTCATCTTTGAGAGAGAGAGAGAGGAGAAAATCAAGCAGTAGTCTTCCTTCAGATCTCAAAAATCCATGTTTCTGTCCATTCTTCCACTGTGAGAAGACCACTCATGAGTCTGAACGAATATGTAGCTGTAAAGAAGCCTTTACCGAGAAAAGAACACACACAAATCAAACAAAGAAGCTGCTAGAGTTCTCAGAACAATGGACTGACCACCTCAGAGTCCAGATCTCAACATCACTGAAAGTGTTTGGGATTAATTGGAGTAAAGAGAAGCACAAAATGCAACAACCTTCTAAGACTGAACCTTGGAGGAGTGGAAAAATATCCCTACTGATTTTTTGGAAAACTGAAAGCATGTCTCCTAAAAAAACAGATTGGTGGCTGTAACAAAGGCAAAGATGGACACACTGAATACTGAAGGATTTCATATTATACCTAATGACCGTTTTGATTGGAAATTACATAAATGAAAAGTGGTCTTTGAATTTTGCAAAGTGTTTAGTACAGAGATTCAGCTTTATTGCCTATTATAATTTTCCATTCTGTCACTGAAAAGCTTTGGGTGAGTGAGGCATGTGTATCTATTCCAACAGCAGGTCTGCTCTCAATGTAATATCACTGATGTGGATGATTTTATGGAAAAATCACTTTCAAAAATATATTATCGGTAATATAAGCTTTTTCCAACAACTATCCCGGCCAAAATGATCTGACGCAATTTTGCGCCAGCACACACACAGAACATGCAAATGATGTTATTATAGCAGCAATCTGCTCTTTATCCAGAAAGTCATTTTGCCAGCTCTCTCTGCATGACTGGGCGAGCTTGTGTATGTGTGAATGTGTGGCTCCATCTGTGTTCCTGTGATCTCCACGAGCCGGTGTGAAGTGTGTGGACTTCCCACACACACACACACACACACACACACACACACACAGTATATGTAGCTGTAATATTCTGTACTGCTTCACTGCAGAGCTAACACTGTAATTTGATCATTTTGACACATGATCAGTCTGATTTGATAAGAACTTTTTTCAGTGCTCATTATCACACTTTTATGTACATTCTCTCAAACTCTCACACCTCCCTCTCATACACTCACACACTGTCTTTCACAGCTCTCTCTCACACACATAAATACACACACTTTCACAGCTCTCTAACACTCACATCCCTCAGCATCAGTATGACTTCTGCTATCTATTCCTAACATTTCTAGCATTTGTCAGCAGGAAGGTTTTGCTTTAGCTGTGGTGTGACCGGCTTGAGTGTGGTTTCGCTTAAATGTTCCTACAAGAGCTGAATCACTGTCCTTTGATTTGTCAAAGCGCAGGTGTTTATCAGTCAGCGCTTATGCTTTTCAGATGAATAAGACCTGTGTAAGTCTGGCCCACTGTAATTCCACTGATACACATCAGAGGTGTACGTTTTTTCCAACTGTGATTTTATTCAACACTGTGATTATTGATTAATCCAGTGTTAATGATTAATTGGACTTGGTACCACACACATTGAGGTCTGCAAAAGTATTTAGTAAATGGAAAGTTTGGTCAAGGAATTGAATATACTGATATCTGGTATTTCAGCATGGACTGCAATATATTTGAAATGTATTTCAAATATATAAAAATATTTGTCCATATTTTTTCCACATGGGATGACATATACAACATGTCAACATTTTACCAAGGGTGGAGCAGAAAAATAAACCAGCTGAGTTACAAGATCACAAATAGTGTTTACAGTGCAGTGTTAATTGGTATGTTTACCAACAGGTGATGGTAAAAGCTTCTAACTGACATAATTTAAGCGCATGTGTGGATTCAGATTGTATTGCATCACAAGGCTAATTATTCATTAATACTAGAATTAACACTAGAGTAAATATCAAAACAGGCAAAGGAGCTGTTTACTGATGCTCAGTACAGCACAGATAACTTTATTCTAAATCTACTGCAAATCATGGCAATCGTGGTTCTTCACAAGTTCAGTTCTAGTGCCAGGAAGAATAATAGAAAAGCTCAGACTTTGAGCATAAGTTATAAACTGTAAACTGTATTTGATAAAAATCAGGGTGGTGAGTTAATAAGATCAGTAATTGTTTTTACATGGTATGCCAACATGTAAGGGTGGAAGTTTCCAGAGGCCATCAAGGAGCGAGTTTTGCAATCAGTTATAAATCGTATTACTAAGTTTTATTATAGGCCTGTTCTTAATGGTGATGGTAGCTCTTGATATGGCTTGTGTTATAAACATTCAGACGTACACTAAGTGTACAGGTTTGTATACAGCTGATCATCCAGCGTTTCTTCTGAAATCCAGCGCATTAACATGGCAAATGACCTCCTTTTGTTGTAGTAACAGTGTCTACTCTTCTGTAAAGGTTTTACACTAGATGTTGGAACATTGCTGTGAGGATGTGATTGCGTTCAGCCACAAGAGCATTGCTGAGGTCAGGTACTGATGTTGGATGAATAGTTCTGGGTCACAAACTCCACTGCAACTTATCCCAAAGGAATTATATGGACCTCCATTACTCCTGAGAACATAGTTTACCGCTTTACATCTCAATGCTGGGGGGATTTATACTCCTCTGGCCAATGCTTGGTTTGGGCGTGGTGACTATAGGCTCATCTGCTCCAGAGCATGCCATTCTTTTAGCAGTGCTTTTTAGCAAAGATTATACAAGCTTTGTGTGTGCTACTGAAATGTGTCTGCAATAGGTGCACTTTAAAGTAGCTGAATTCGCTAGTTAACTCTAGAGTGCTTCTATTCTTTTGGACACACTATATTTGTCTAGTATATGGTGCATAGCAGTGATGTTTGTAATGATTTGGCTCAAATAGATACTGGTAGCATTTGACATTTCTCCAACTGTATAATAGACTTGCTGCTGAATGAACTTACTGCTGTTGCAGTGCACTGGACAGAAACAAGCAGTCGTACAACTCTGCCATTTGAACAGATCCACTTTAGGTGATTCAGCTGTGGTAGGCAAATTTTGTGATGTGACATTTGAGCTGCATCAAGGGATTCTCTGTTGTATTTACATGGAGGATGGAGAAGAATTGTTATAGATAGCACCAGTACAAAAATGTGCAAGTAACAAAGTAGCAAAAGCAGCTTCTTCCTGTCTTGATATGGATTTCTGTGGAGATTGATTCTGTTGGAAGAACCTTCTTGAATTCACTGATACAAGTCAGAGATAGTTGGGCTAAATACTGTTTTCAACTGTGTGTCAGTTGAAGAATTGAAAATACACTGAAGTGGCTGGCAGCAGTTGTCCTGGCACGTCTGAATCAGAAGCCAGACTCAACGAAATTCAAGATACTCCAAAGAAAACTGCTTTAAATTTAGTCACGTATCAAAGGTTCCAACATTGTAGCCAGAACTGACAGCTTGGAAAGTCTCTTATATAAGGACTGAATATCAGCGATGATGTCAGGGCTGAATGATGGTAGAGATTTTAAGCCATATTTCACACATGAGACTGGTGTACCTTACAGTACTCCACATCCACAAAATGAATACAGGATCTGAGAGTGGATATGTGTGTGTGTATACATATATTGTTGCTGTTGTAAGAAAAACATTTCAAAAATAGTAACCTTGTAAAGGACAAAGCATTCTTAACTTTAATGCAAGTAAATGTACACACACACTTTCTGAAACCACTTATTCTTCTGGGTCATGGAGGGAGATGGAGCCTATCTCAGTGGTCAATGGGCAGAAGACAGAAAACACCCTGGACAGGTTGCCAGTCCATCACAGGGCAGACATATACCTTCACACCTAGGGGCAATTTAGTGTGTCCAATCAGCCTGACTGCATGTCTTTGGATTGTGGGAGGAAACCGATGCAGACACGGGGAGAACACGCAAACTCCACACAGAAAGGACCCTGGTCGCCCGACCGGGAATCGAACACAGTCCCTTCTTGCTGTGAGGCGATACCGCTACCCACTGCAACCCTCAAGTAAATGTAACAAATTTTTGGCCTATTCACCATGAACTGTTCACACAATGTAAAGCTGACATCTCCCACATTTCTTTGTATTTCACTTTTTCCCTGAGGTCCACTTATAATGTCTGTGTGAGTTTATGGACTAAAAACGTTCATAATTCATTTTGACCATTTCCAACCTTTCTTTATCCCTTAGAAGTAAAAAGGCTGTTTTTGTTACTGTGCCTTTAAGACTGATACAAGTAAATGAGCTCTGTTCTGGTTGAGTGTCCTGCATTGTACCTCATTCAGAAAGCAGTCAGGGCTAAAACACTCCTTGTAACTTCAGTGTGAATGGGTGGAGCTGAACTGGCGTAAGCTGAACAGGTAAATTAAAAAACGCAAGCTTACTGGTGAGTGAACAGAACAGGGTGTTTGGAAACATTAAAGGGGACGTGAGTGGTACATACAGGACATTGCAAGGCAAAATAGTACACAAAGAAGCTGTATTTTCGGGATTACTACTGTTTTACTATTATCATTACCTATAAAAACTAGAAAGATACATGCAGGTTCACTGGTCAACTTGGACAGCAAATAAAATATATTTGTGGTGTAGACATTCTGACCCTTGGTTCCAATTACCACTGTAAAGAAAACTGAGTTGGTTAATTAGTCTAAAATAAACAGTTTGACATCAAACCACTCTGATTTATTTCTTTTTTTACATTTCAACCATCTGCAATTATGCAGATTTTTTTATTTCAAAACAGTGAGGAAAATTCAGTGTTCCATGATGTGGGCTCAATAAAAATAAATTAAACCCAAAAAAGTGGAATTGATAGCGCTGATATGTGTGTATGTGTTCATGTGTGAGCACTGTGTGGCTGTGTGGGCTGTTGTCCCTGTGCTGCAGTATCAGACTGGCTTGCCTTTACATTTCTTTCCTCAGAACTCAGGGTTTTTCATCTCCCTCTGCTTCTTTTGCCTCTATCCCTCTCTTCTTCTCATTAGTGTAATGTTCCTGTCTCTGTGCCAGGGGAGAAGGGGTGACTCATACCATCTCTCTCTCTCTGTCTCTCTCTCACAGTTTCTCTCTCACTCACAATTCCTCTGTTTCGCTCTTTTTCTGTTTCACACACACACACACTGTTTCACACACACTGTTTCACACACACACACACACACACACACACACGCTCACACACCTCTTCTTCCCATTCCTTCCCTGTTAATGTCACATTATACATTCTGAAGTTGTTTTTTTTTTGCAAAGTCTGTGAAAGTGTGAGAACAGACACTTAAAAATCTAAAAATAAGGATTCTCAAAGAGACTCCTAAAAAACACATACACTCTGATTGAATGTTTTAAGTTCAGATTTATTTGAGAATGGTATTCAAATGCTGAGTCTTTTGCCAAGACTGTTTTTCTTGGGGACTGAGCCGAGCATTTAGATAGTATTCTCCTCTCTGCTGCTTTAACTATGCACCAGAACAGAAAGAAATTCTCTCTCTGACTCTGCATTTCCATTTTTCTGTTCTTGTTTTTCTTCTCCAGGCGGCGGAACCATGTCCTCAATACACGGGGACATCTCTGACTACCATAACAGCGGTGAGAGCGAGAGCGAGAGAGAGACATACCTAAGAACTTACTATTATGTACTGCTAGCAACAGAGCTACACGCTAACAGAGAACTTTTGTGGACTTTTGTTTGTATCTATGTCTCAGTGGTCCGTGATCCGCCTGCCTGGGAGGTTGGTGTGTATGTACTGGGGTTTCTTATTCTGCTGGTTGTGGTGGGACTAAACCTGTGGAAGCTATGGAAGTCTGGCTCTTTCCCTGCTCCCTCCCCGTACCCCAACTTCGACTACCGCTACCTGCAGGAGAAATATGGAACCTCCTACTCTGAAGTCAGGCAGAAGGTACAAGGATGTTTCTTGACACGAGTCATTTTGCCATTACCCAACATACATGCCCTCAGTGTGTACCAGTGGTTACTTTAACCCACCACACCTGATCCAGCTAGTCAATGCAGAGGTCCTGTACTAGAAGACACAGCATGTTAACCCTTTTTTCAAGGTAGATTTGCTTAACCTGGGGAGGTTCTGTAAGCGATTCCCCCACTGTAGGGAATACTGTGCCGTGTTGTTATTGTTAATGAGTGTAGCTACTCAAATCCCTTACAAAGTACATTACAGAACCTCCACTGGTAAATCCAGCTCCACATAGTGCTTTAGACGTGGCTTGCCACTAAACTGCATATGGAGTGATGGTGGCCACTGATGTGTATTCTCCTATTACAGTGCATTGCAGCCTCTAACCACCGGAGGGCATCGACAGCGAGCCGCAAGCCCAGCCTGCAACTGGCGGACACTCCTGATGGCTTCCGGGAGTTGGGGACACTGGAGCTAATGAGCAGGGAGCTGGACCCAAGTGGAGGTAGCCTGAACCGCTCTGTCTCCACTGACTCGCTCTGCTCCATCTCCTCCATTGCCCATACCTTTGGCCATGACTTCACGGTGGGCCAGCTGGAGGTGACGCTGGAGCTGGAGGCACGGGCCTCCCTGCTGCACATCACGCTGCACCAGGGCAAAGACCTGCTGGAAAAAGAGGAGGAGAACTTCCCCGGCTGCTACATCACCATCACCCTGCTGCCCGATGAGATCAATGTGGGAGTCACAAGGGTAAGAGACTGAAAACATGGGCAAACATTTACAGAAAACATGGTTACAGCTGCACTAGGGCTGCAATGGTTATTTGATAAAATCAGTTAGTAGTCGATAAAAACACCTCTATAATGCTCTATATAGGGCTGTCAAACTCTGATGATGGAGTGCAGTTAGTAATTTTTTTTTTAATTTAAAGAAGTAGCATGACTGAGTTAGGGGAAAAAAGAACATGCTCTTGTGCTGCTGCGAGTCACCCTGTAAAGCCTGAAATTTGGAAGGTGAAGGCATCCAGTTGGATTTTTGAGTTTTTCAGACCACATCATACATCTTTACTTATTAATGTCACACACACAGGCTCAAAAAGAAGGTCTGGCATGATATTTAGGTCTCAAATGCAAAATCTACATTATAATGATGAAGATATGATGACAATAGTAGATGATTGACAGACATGTTGTTCAGCAAGTTTTGACTGAGGTCTCTGTGAATACTCTTTTAACATGCTCGCATCATCAGATTCATCTGCTTAGGGAAGGGGTTCGAAGCACGACCAACATTACAAAATGTTCTTCAGTTGCGTTGCATGCAATTACATGTTTCTACCAGAGAGGTCTTCAAATCACCAAAACTTACATAGTGCAGCTTTGATTAACAGGAGCACGTTCAATCTCAAAATGTGCACTGTTTTGCTACAGTTTCTGGGCTGAACGTCATGTTTTGTTGAAATGGTGAGAAACAGTGTACAACTGGCTTTGAGGTATATTTTCTCTTTGATGAGTGTGTCAGAGGTGAAAAAAGGCAGTGTACATAATGGAGTCTAATAAAATCTTCTAAAATGCAGCTGCTACAGCTCGGTGTACACATCAGAACGCCAAGCTGCTCAGAACGTCAAGCTGTCATAGTTGCAACGTTTGCATAACACAACAGAGTGGTGTTCAGCTTACCGCTGTTTCTGTTTAAATAAATGTTTTGTTATGTTTTCTCAGGGCTGAACGCAGCCCAGGTTTGGTATGTTTGTGTTAGCTGGGAAATCACTATGCTGGACTTCAGCCCTCCAGGGCTGAAAGACTCTGCTCTATAATGTTCATGTAATACATGTGGTCAATCTGACACATTACAATAGCCTACAGGAAATATTGGAGGTGACATGGCTTCTATTGAATAATGGCAGTGCAGTAACAAGTGCACTGTGAGAGGAAACTTCAGGTTTAGTGGTTTGATTAACTGATGAACTGAAAAACAGATTAATCGATTATATAAATAATGACATGTTGCAGCCCTAAGTAGCGCCATGCAGAGCTGCAAGAATCAGTGTCCTAAATATTAGTCACTTGTGTCCTTTAGTGATAATGAGCAGCAGTGGTGCTGTATTAGAGCTGCTCACTGAAGATCATAATGCAGTCCAAATGGCCCTCATTCAGCCAGCAGTGCCATGGCAGAGAGAGAGAGAGAGAGTGAGTGAGAGAGAGAGCTGACATCAGCATTTCTGCTCAGCATGGTCCCACAGCAAGAGAGCCATCATTCTCTTCTTCTCTGCTCTTAGTGCATACATATGGATGAGGGCCTGTCACAGCATGTAAAAAAACTCCAAACTGACAAAACTCTATATTTCTGCTTGGAGGCTGATGAAATGCAGATTTAGACTTGATCCTTGGAATTCACAGACACGAAAACAGTAAACATCCGAAAAGTGCAGTGATAGTCAAATTTTAGTGATAGTCAAATTTTACCCCGGTTTGATAAGGACTATAAGGAGATACTGCCTGTCAAACAGCAACATTATTCCTTTGTTTATTTACATTTTGTATCATAAATAGCCAGTTTAAAAATCTCTAAACCAAGCATAAGTTTTAACCTCTTCATGTATTTATAGACGAATCATTGTGACTGAAGTTTTCATCCTGAGCCTCTGATGGGAATAACGTTCTAACAATAATAATTGGCCCTATTTCTCAATTTGGACACTATGATGCAATATTCTTACATGATGTACTATGTAGTTTTATAGTAGTAGTGTTGTCTCATTTTGCACTAAAGAAAAATGTCAGATTACCATGTTATCTCACATCATTGAATCACACCTGAAATTCAAACATGAAGGACAAAGACATCTCACTCATATCTGTACAGTGTAGTAATCTCGCTTAGCACACCACCCATTTTGAAAACGTACAACTGCAGCAGCCTTTAATGACAGGCTGCCATATGTAGTGGACAATGAGCACAAACAGTGTTCAACATTCTAAGCTTTATTTTTCAGCAGTTCTAATAGATTGCCCAGTATTAACAGTACACTACGTACCAATATTGTTCCTATTGTGAGTACGCTATTTGCTTTAAAGTGGCTAGTATACTGCAGAATTAGGGGGGGCGGGAGGATTTAATGTAACATGGATATTTTATGTAGTTACACAGGTTGAAGTAGGATTTGCTTTTAGTCATCATCTTGTATTCCCATAGCAACAACATCTGTAAATTTTCATAGCAAGTGGACATATATATCAGAGGAGCGAAGAGTGAAGTGTCACACAATTCACATCTGTATTATTGTAATCATCCTCTTGGTGGGTGTAATATGGTACTATATTGAGGCCAATAACCAACTCACAGTGAGAACTACACTGCATTTACATGTTGCTGGTGACAAAATGTTGTTCAATGGCCTTATAGTGGTGTGCCACTGACGGCAGCATACAGCCACGCAAACGTTGGCATGGGGACAGCAGCAACAGCAAAAATAGACGATAATCAATAGAGAGCTTTAGCAGTGTAGATTGTTTATGAAAGGAGGAAAAAGTCAGGAGGATGTTCGGTGCTATTTTAAATTTTGGTTGTATAATACCAAATGGACCTCAACAATGAGAAGTTTGGTGTCCGTGGCCTCCAAAAAAAATCAACGTCCAGTTTATTAAACAGCTGCAGTTGACGACGAAAGTTGGGAAAATTGAGCTCTTGATGGAACATGTGCTGCTCTATAGAAAACAATGGAATATCCAGTTTGCTGTTGACCACCTACTGCCAGGATGTAAATGCAGCATCAGCCAGGCTTAAGTACAGCCTCCACATGGTGGAGTTAGTTTTAACACTCTAAGCCTCTTAAAGTAAATGAGAGATACCTCTTTATATTAATGCAAAACAGTTAATATTTTGGAAGTTTTTATGCACAGATTCATTAAAAATGTCATGTCATGTAAATTAAATATTTTTCAGTTTTATTGTGATGATAAATCGTTTCAATAATCAGTTATTCAGATGAATATATTTTTATGTATTTAGTTTGGAAAGCTTGTCTTGTTCAAACAACAATTGTACTGTGACTGACAGAGGGGCTAGTTGTACCTGAATTGAACACAACTATGGGGTAAGTTGAACATGGAGTAACATTAGCACTCACCTTGCTTTCAGTTGAATTGTTCATAAATGGTAGGTGCTGGAAATAAAGTTAGTCTTTTCTTTTGTAGCAGAGATGTATGGGTTGCTTGTATACAAAAGGCTAATCTTGCTTAAAACCTTTAAAGTTAGCAGCAAAAAAACAAAATGTGCTAGGTTGTGTAGCTCTCTCCCGAACTCAGTTTGAGACACTCAAACTGTGTCAGAAATTGATCTGGCATTGAGTAATGGATTGCATTCAGAGATAAATTCTGCCATCACATATTTTGCTCCAACTTGGGAATCCTTGATATCAGTACCACTTTTGTGAGAAAAATAATATTCTCAGCTGAGCCTCCTGTTTATGTAGGTCACTGTGGGGAGTGTCCCAGCTTGGTGATGCTGGCATTCCTCCAAGCACTTCCGCTCTGAGATTCTTTATCATGCTGTAAGAGCTATGATAGTCACATCAGTCGATTTGGCCACTAGTCATGCCTTTTCTTGGCGATTCTTAACGTGAGCAGGTGGTTAGTGTTTACAGGCATGACTCCATTTGGTCTATTTGTTATGGAGAAGGTTCTCTGGCTTCAGCCTCGTTTAGCCTTGGTGCTGTTCTGAAGAGCTGAGAACAGCACTGCTGCCTTTTTCTTTGCTGACACAAAACCCAATCAGGCTAGCTTGCTTTCTGTCTTTTGTGATTAGCCTGTAAATTTTAGAATATGTTGGAAAACGTTGTGCTAACGCAAGTCTGTTAACAATGTCCTCATTCAAAGAAAGTGATGGGAGGTTTGTAGGGTGAAGGCCTTGGTTTTCTCATATAAGGATTTACTGTAGTTATATTTCAGAGAAAAACCTTCTGGAATACTGTGCTTGAAAACAACCAATATAGTGCAAAATGAACCATTTAGAGATTTGGTTTTGTGCTCTTTAATGGAAACTAAATGAACCATAGCAGAAATGCAGCGTGGGCTGTCTGTATACCCATTATGGCATGCTTTGTGAATTTTTAATCATAATTGCCTTCTTTTCCTTGTCATACTTAAAACTATGAAAAGGAAATGCCTTTGCTTGACAAAGGTTCACTTTTAATGAACTGTATGAAGGTGCTTTTTAGCAGTGTGGCTAAATGATGTGTTCTGAAGCAGCACTCACTCTCCTGCAGATTCAGAGCAACGCCTTCACCGTGCTGTTTGATGAGCGCTTCTCCATCCCACTGGATCCAGCATCTTTAGATGAGAACAGTCTGCGTTTCGCTGCATTCGGGGTGGACTCAGATGAAAGGAACATCAGCGCAGGAGTGGCTGAACTTAAACTATCTGATCTGGACCTGTCCATCCGGCCCTTCAACGCCTGGCTCTACCTGCAGGACATCAACAAGGTTCTGCTAAACAACTGAGCACTTCTTTTTAGTGGACAGTTAATTTTAGACACACCTCACTGCACCTCACTGGGTTGGTTTGTAACACGCTCACTCACTCACTCTTTCACGTTTAGACGGAAGATTCTCCACAAGGGGGTGCTGTTAGCCCTGAAATAGGTTTTGGTTCTTTGCATCAGTGACACTTTGCGTTCTTGTTGTTATGAGGAATAAGAAACATAGGAAATCTAAAATGTTGAACACTCATTAATGTTTCATGATCTTGTGCTTCATATCTGAAGCTCTCATATGAGCAGTAGTAGACACTGAGACGCAGATGCACAGTAATGAAAAATTAGATACACTTAAATATGTATGAACTTTGGCCTTGAAGCACCACAAATCACAGCAGCAGTATTTGACCAGAAAATACTTAAGGGCTTATTAATACCAGTCATGATTAGCAATCATAGCAGTAGACTTTACAACTACATAATGTTGGAGATTCAACTCCTTCACTGTATAAAGGAGCAGTTCAGTGAAAAATCTAATTTACTCAATTTAATCAATTGATGTAGTTGATCAGCCAAGACATGTTGGAGTTCAAATTTTACTTATATAGTTCAGAACTGGGGCTATGAGGCTAACATTGCTAACAAACACTAGAACTCAATGGTCACCCAAATAGCTCGACTTTACTGTAAAAATACATCCGCAAAACTCTCAATTCACTCAACCCGCATCCAGGTCTTCATTAATGTAATACAGACTTGTTGATGTGGTTTACAGTACATTATGACAAACTGTTAATTACACAAATGAACAAAACATTATCAGTATGGGCAGACATTTCAGACAACACCAGGGCTATGGTTCACAAAAAGCCATATTGTGTCCTAAACCACATCGACAAGTCTATGTGATCTTAAAGAAGACCTGGATGTGGGTTGAGAAAACTTTTGGTGGTGTTTTTTTTTACAGAAACGATTTAGGCTATTTGGGTGACTATTGAGTTCTAGTGTTTGTTAGCAACATGAGCCTTACCGCTCCAATTCTAAACTAAAGAAGCAAAATTTGGACTCCAAACGTGTCCAGGCTGATCGACAACGTCTGGAGCAAGTGGAAAATTAAATATAATAGTATAATAAAATAGTAGCTCCACAGTGATGTTTTTGTATATTGGTGTAATGTGTGTTGTGATTAGGCTGTGTACTGTTTGTACAGGCTGTGGATGCTGTGGGGGAGATTCTGCTCTCTCTTAGCTACCTGCCCACTGCAGAGCGCCTCACTGTGGTTGTGGCTAAAGCAAAGAATCTGGTCTGGACTAACGGCAAAACCACTGCAGGTCAGAACAGCCCCACAAAGCTTCCTCTGTTTGCAGTTTACTTTGGAGACCGCTGTCACTTTCCTCCCCCTCCCCCTGTCCTGCTTTTGCTGCCTAACACACGCTCTGTTTTGGAACAGATCCGTTTGTGAAGGTTTATCTCCTCCAGGACGGCAGGAAGATCAGCAAGAAGAAGACCTCCATAAAGAGAGACGACACTAACCCTATCTTCAATGAGGCTATGATCTTTTCTGTGCCTGCCATTGTGTTACAGGTAATACACTCAACCAAAAATCACACAAAAGATGGAACAACCAGTTATCACACTGATAATCAGTTATGCATCATCCAAATGCACTGAAAATAAAGAAGCAAGTGCCTTGCGTTGCTTTTTGTGTTGAAGTAGCTTTTCAACGGCAGTGGGAGGCAGCAGGTGTCATGACTGTTGAAGTTAATAGCTGCATCTCAACTGAGTGCGATGGCAGTTGTGATGTCCTTGTCCAATTACCTCTGCCTTTATACACTTGACCTTAAGTTGCATCAAGTTGCACCACTTGTCACTTGAGTTTTCTTTCTCAAGTGGAGGCTTGTAAAGGAGAATATGTGGTCAATATGTCTTTCTGGGAAAGGAAAGTTGTACTCCATACCTAATTTTAATATTGCAACCAGCTTTGATATTTTAATGTGAGCAGTCAAAAATTCTTGGTAAGAAGCTGAGGTTCTTGGATCAAAACACTCTTTGAGGGAATCTGTAGCTGTAGTTGGTGGTGCTCATGTCTTAAATACGTCCAGATATGGGACACGTTTTAATGCCAAGAGTGTAAGTGTAAACAAGTTTAGCTGTAACTAGCTGCATTCTGCCTGATAATGGTGATAATCTGCAACATTTATTTCATCAACATTCACAGTATATCATTTTTTATTCAGTCATAAATCTTTACGGGACAATCTGGCTAAAATTAAAAAATGAACATCTGTTGTAAACATGCCTACTTACCTCCTGAAGCCACAGTAGTCTTGAGAGAGATGTTCCAGTGCAAAGACTAGGAAAACACTCCTATGATGATGTATCTTGAAGGTTGGAGGAACTTTTAAAAACCTGTAGGAACTTTGGGGTGGATACTTGAGGGCAGGCTCTTTCAGTGGACAGCTTCACATGTACCTGTAATACATCACAATATGACAATGACAATAATAATCAAATAAATGAAAATAAAAGAGAAAAAGGACACAGAAATGTCAATTCTGTCAAACCAGTGAGGTTACATAATAACATGATAATAACAATAACATATTAATTACATAGTAAGTTCTACAGAGTATTACATAACAAGACAAATGACATATTAAATGCTAGTTTCAGGCTGCAGTGATCCTATAAGACTTACGAATCATTCGATAACCATACAGTAAATATGTATGTTATGTAGCTATTAGAGTGAAGAATTGTGTGTGGGTGCACGTACACGTTTTAAAGGAAACAGTTGAAATATCCCAACTACCCATAGTTGATAAGCCAAGACATACTTGATGTCCGCATTTTGCTTTTTCAGTTTAGCGCTGGAGCTATGAGGCTATCATTGCAAACAAACACTAGAAGTCACTAGTCCCCCAGATGTTGTAAATACATCTCCAAAACCTCTCTCAGCCTGCTCAAACCATATCCAGATCTTCATTAAGGTTGCACAGACTCACGGATGAATTACCATCAGCTATAAAAATGAACATAACATTGTAGCTGAATGCTTAAAGGCAGACATTTTGGACAACAGTGGGCAACATTAGGCTTGTAGCTCCAGTGACAAATGAAAGAAGGGCAAATCTAAGGTAAGTGGAAGGTAAGGTAAGGCTTATTACACACTAAGGCTTTTTATTCAGTAACTACAGGGACTTCAATGCAAACTGGTTAAGCTTTTCTTAGGTTATAGAAGTGTGTAATAAAACTTTGGGCCTGCCGTAGGGCCCTGGCCATTTAAGGAGCAGAGATTATACTAACCAGTTCTCAGGATGTAAAAATCTCACAATAGTCCCACAGAAAGTTTCTTGCAACCTCATTCTGAGATCAGAATGTAACCAGCTCTCCTAAATGTGTGTGAAATGTGCATAATGTGTGTGTTGTGTGTGCAGGACCTGTCTCTGAGAGTGACAGTGGCTGAGAACACAGACGATGGGCGAGGTGAGAATGTTGGTCATGTGATCATTGGGCCAGAGGCCAGTGGGATGGGCATCACTCACTGGAACCAGATGCTGGCGACACTGCGGAAACCTGTCTCCATGTGGCACCCGCTCCGGAGGATCTAACCTGACCTCCACTCACGTCTGCCTGCATGGTGCCTACTGTCTCAGTGACCCAACCTGAAAGACTTTTAAAAGGTCAAGAGAGCGTCTTTTTTCAGGAAAAATCATTGTCTTTTTAAAGCAGTGGTACAGTCAGAGCCACAGAGTGGATGTGTTCTTGTAAGAAAAAGACTGAGACTCTGCCTGTCTCTGCTTTAAATCCCAGGTCCTTTTATCCAGGTTAAAACAGTCTTCATTTGTAGCAGTTATAACAGGGTGGCTGACCTGAATAAGAAGGCTGGAAAGTGCCAGACAACACTGCATTGTAGTCATTTGTTCAGTTGTGCAGTTGTGTTACAAATTACAGTAGCCACTTTCTATTCTATAAGTGAAAGTCATTATTATTTATTAATATTATTAATATAGTTATTATTTAAAGTTTTGTTTTTATACTCAGTAAATAGCAATAGATCGGTGTGTGTGATGGACAGACCTTTCTCCGTTATTCCATGAGAGTGCAGAAGTTCAAACAGTGTGAACAGTACCATTGCTAAAGTTCAGTTATATCTGCTTCCATATCTCCTTCATGCAACAGAGTAACCACAGTGGAGAGACGGGAGTTTTGGTGCTCTGTAGTATTACAGTGAAATGCTCAGCATTGTAATATAGTTGATGTTTTACACACCATACATGCACCTTGTGTTTGCCTGCATTTAGACTATTGAGGTGTTAGAAGTGTGTTATTGCAGTCATTGCAATATAAAGTTTATTCACGTTTTTTTCATTTTGTTTGCATTCTACCTACAGAGAGGTGGAAAAGAAGTCTTGCCTCCAACCGTTATCAACTACAATGAGTAGTTTGGCAATAAATTTTCCCTCCTTCAACAGAAAGTCAGTTAACACATTCACATTCTGGCAAACACAAAAGATGCAATTTTCTTCACATGCAGGCAAGTCACTGTTGGAGTTTTTCTAAGAAATTTTCATTCAAACACACTCAATTAACCAGATATGTTTTCTTACTGTAGCCTCCTCAGCTAGCCTGTATGAAGTGTCTCAGTGCAGGTCTGTTTCATGACTAACTACATTTTACACAACACTCAGCTTCATCCTGTGCCAAATTCACCACTAGAGAAGCAATATTTTCATTTAGGCTTGAATCTACATTTAATCAGTTAATGTTTGTGACCTTTGATGAAGTTAAAATGTAAAAAAAAAATCATTTTACAGTGCATGAAAGTGTTATGGATATGGCATTCTGATGTTCAAATATAAAACTCTTTAAATAAATAAATGTCTCAGATTGTTGTTTTGTGCTTTCACAATGACAAAGTACATCATGGCATGTGCTGTTGAAGGCTTTAAATAATTATCAGTTGCTGAACAATAAGACAACAGCACCAGTGTTGTAGGTGTTGATACTGCTGCATTCGTGGCTCTGTTTATAAATCTGTTTTTAGTAATTTGACTGCTTCACTAAAATGCTGTGTCTATTACAGACATCCTGTCACAGCTATGGGCCATCAGCAAAAGCTGCTTACATTCCTTTTATTGAAGCACATTGGTTGAGTTTCTGTATTCAGTGTTAGATATTTAATGTTGTACACATGGCCTAAATGTAGCAATGGATCATTTCATGTTCATGACAGATATTCAATAATAATGCTGATAATGGCAAAAAAAAAAGCCTGTTAGAGCCCCGATGGTAATTGTTGTAAGATATTGTAACGTCACAGGAGCCATTACTCCAGAACTGTTGTGCCATAGTAAGAGTATCATAATGTTGGTACGATTTCTCCAGAGCTTTTTCTGTGTCCAAAAGTTTGCAGACATCCACTTGTCCAAGATTTCTTCTGAAATCAAGTGTATTAATAGTTAGTTTTGTGCCAAAATGTTTGAGAGAAGATCCTGATGTTTGAGAGAGGAATGTTCCGGTTTGAGAGGGCAGCGCTGCTCTGAGCGCAGCTAATGAACTTGAACGCACTTGTCAGCACGAAGTGTGGCAGATAAACACCTCGGATTTGCTCAACAAAACACTCTGGTTTCATTCAAAACTTGAAAATCTGCACAACAATGCATTTCCCTCTCAGACCTCGTACGTGCAAAACTCCGGTTTTCACTCAAAACTAGAAAACTTGCTCAGTCATGCTCTTCACCTTCAGCACCGCTGCCCTCTCAAACTTCAAACTCATTTTGGCACAAAACTAACTCCATATAATAGGGGGTTTGTCCCTGCTTTGCTGCAGTAACAGCCTCTGTTCTTCTGGGAAGACTTACTTCACTCTTTAAAAAGATGTTTTTTTCAGGGGTTCTTTAGTAAGAACAGTGGTTCTGTGCAGAACCATGAACACTCAAAAAATCCTTTGCATGATTAAATGGTTCTCTGCATGGTGAAATGGTTCTTCAGATTGATGGAGAATGTGTTGTATATGGTGGTATATAGAATTTTTGAACATGGTTCTATATAGCACCAAAAAGGGTTATTCTATTGTTACAAGCTTGACATAACAGTAGAAGAACTTTTGCTATATAGAACCATTTTCAAAGAGGTTCTGTACGGTATCATACACATTCACCATCAATCTGAAGAACCATTTCATGATGCAAAGAGTCATGTAAATATGCAAATGGTTCTTTGAATGTTCATGGTTAAACATAGAACCACTGTCTTTACTAAAGAACCGTTGGAAAAACTTTTTTTTTTGTAGACTTTGGAACATTACTATTTGATTTGATTGTATTCAGCCACAAGAGCGTTAGTGAGGTCAGGTACTGATGTTGGATGATTAGCTCAGGATCACAAACGCCACCCCGACTCATCCCAAAGCTATTCGGAGCTTTACAAGCCCTCTAAAAAACACTTGGCACTGGGCGAGGTGGCCTGTACTCCCATGTGTACTATCACAGTGTGCACCGTAAAGTAGCTGAATTCTCTAACTGAATAGGGTGTCTGGACACTTCTGGATATGCACTGTATGTAATAGTAGTAATCAAACAGTGAGCGTCAATTCAGCATTATCACTTCTGAACCCAGGGCTGGGTTTCCCTTATGTTAGTCCGTGAAGTAGGTCAGTGACCTTTGACCAATAGGATTGCAGGGTTGGAGCAGGGGGCGGAGCCAGCTGAAGTTCAGTATCAAAAGCGCCCGCAGCGCCTCTGAACACACAGGGTCAGAGTTACACAGGTCTGCGGTCACTAAACCAACGACGAGGATGGCGGAGAACAGGGATAGAGCCACGGACCAGATGAAGTTATGGAAAGAGAATAGAGGAGCTCAGGTTTGCATTTGCCGTTGTGTTGTATGGTTGCTTTCCTTCTGCGGTTAACTCGCTAGCTTAGCTTCCGCGCTAGCTGCGCTGCGCAGTGACTCACTGCTAACTATGGCAAAGGTCGAACAGACAGACGGGCTCTGGCTTTAATGCCCCTTCAGTGCCAAAGCTGGACAGCTGTTTCTCTCCATTGCTCTTTTTTGCTCATAATAAGAGCTGTTTGATTCTCGTATGTCTAGCTAGTTAGCTAGCTAGCTGGGTTGGAAGCAGTCAAGTTAGGTTGTGCAGGTGTCGAGCTGACGCTGCCGCTGTAGCTGATGTAGTGATATACAGTGTAGGGAGCTGGCAGCTAAATGATGACACGAAAGCTCTCTAACTGTGGCATGCTTAGAAAACACTCCAGCCCTTATATAGATTATTCGAGGGGCCTCTCTATCTTTGAGAGAAATACACTCTTTCCAGAGTTCAGACCTAATGTAAGGTGCCGTAACCCTGAGGTCCCCCCCTGGTCGGAAGTCTGATATCTATGGAAAACACAGAACGCAGATAAACAGCTACAGCCTTTGTGTTTTTCATGCATGTGCCACAGGTGACATTAGGAGACTCTGACTGTCTAGCTTTGAGTGCAGCACTCTGTGAAGGGTTTTGCTCTCAGTAGCTAACACTAACTTTACACTCCAGCTTGCCACACGAGACCCTCCAGGACCGTCCCCCTAAACTCGCCTGTTAGCTTCCGTCCACAGGATTGGTCCATAATATCCCACAACAGAGAGCCAATCAGAGCTCAGCTGCGTTGTTCACCTACAGAGCGAAGTACTGCTGCTTCGCCACTGTTTATGCGTGCAGTTGATATTTAACAGGACCTTTGAATGCCCTGCTTATGTAATGACCAGTGACCGAGACCGGTCAGAGAATAAGGGGGCAAAGGCCCCTAATTAGAGCCAAACAGTTCAGTTTGATGAAAACTATACTGTGAAAGAGTATTCTGTGACTTCATATGATTTGTCAAGCAGGGCTGGGTTTCCCCAAAGAAGGTTCTCAAATAGTAGAGAGAGCATCACACTGAACACTCTTTCTACCAGTTAAGATGATCTTAACACTTAGATGTTTTTGGAAAACTGGGCCCAGAATGTTACTTTTAAGTGCAAACTGAAGGAAGTTCTGGTTCTCAGGCTTAGGTTACTTAAAGTGAAACCCCACCAATTTTTTCTGCATACTGAAATTGTTAAATGGTGCATGAAGTCGTCCAGAGTGGTTTAGTGGGAAATGTTCTGTTCTAGAGAATTGTTCACAGTGGTGGTGATAGGAACTAGACATCCAAAACGTTTAATGCCTTAAAAGCACCTTTGGAGAAAGTGATGTGGTTGCAGTGGTTCCATATATGCTGCATGATACATGCAGGGCATTGTGAGGCAAAATAGTCCCCAAAGAAAACATTAGTTCACATTTTCCACTATTTTACCATCCTCAACATTACATATAAACCTCTGAAGACACATGTAGGTTCACTAGTTGTTTTGCATAGTAAATAAAATGGCTGTACATGTGTTGCAGATATGGTGACCCCTGGTTCCTGTCACCACCACTGTAAAGAAATCTGAGCCTCTACAATGAACCATTTCACACCAGACCACTCTGAATAATATAATATAATAATGCAGAAATAAGAATTCCCCTTTAATCCCTTTAAACTGCGATGCAGTTAATCAAGAGCCACCTAAGAATTGTTTACAAAGCATAGTAAAAATGGGTGCACATTGCATTTTAGTCTGTTCATGCTTCGGTTGGGGGCTTTGAAGCAGCACAGTCTGTCAGTTCTGGGCTTTAATAAGTGTATAAATCTTGTTTTTGAGTCAAATTTCAAAACCTCAGAGTGATGCATGTTTATCTGTTCTGTACCACTGACTCTTGGCTGTTTCCTTGTCTCAGCGAGCAGATGTTCTGACCACAGGAGCAGGTGTTCCGATTGGTGATAAGCTGAACATTCAGACTGCTGGGCCACGGGGGCCTCTGCTGGTGCAGGATGTCGTCTTCACGGACGAGATGGCTCACTTCGACCGGGAGCGCATTCCTGAGAGAGTGGTTCATGCCAAAGGAGCAGGTCTGTCATAATTAACATGCACATTCTCATACGTTACATGCGCACAAACTTAAGCTGATTAACTAGTCCATCGTGATTGCACATAAGAGTTGAAAGATTAAGAGTTCTTGGCATTACTCTATTACTCCAACTGTGGTTCAGGCCTGTTTACACATTACTATAATATATAGTATACAACAGATAAGAAGCAGTTGTTTAAGGTGTGGACTTTATGGAAAATAAGATTGGACAGTTATTGATCAGATAAATATATGAACCTTATCCAGTTGAAGATGCTTGTGCACCCTCAGAACTCTCAGGACCTTCTATTTTTTCTGATTTCTATGATTTCTTTTTTAAAGCATCTTGTATTTAAACTCTGGAAGTATTACAGTACTACTCTTATGTCATGGTTTCATTTTAATTGGAAAATTGGTTAAATTGAAAAGCCCAATGGAAAACTATCCATTCAGGGTTTTTCTTCTGTGGCATCTAGATAGATGCAGCCAAGCAAGCTCTCCAGTGGTTAGGCCTTCAAGAGCTGAATAGAAGGCCTGACGCATTGGATTACCTGCCAATATAATAAACTCTCAGCCTGCTACAAGTCCTAGATAAGTCACTGTTTGTGAATGAGTTGGTAGCCTAAGGTGTGAGTCTCAGCCTGATATTAGAAATGGAACTGCTCATCTGTCCTCGGCCTCTTTACTAAAAGAAAACTGTAAAACTGCTGCATACAAGGTAAAAATACGTTAATATGTCTGTTACAAGCTTTAAATAACAGCCAAAATAATTTTGTCTGCATCAATTTTAGCCTAGTTCTAAGATACTCAGAGGATTTCATAAGGGAATTTCATGGCATTATCATGGACTTATTTTTTGTTTTTTGTTTTGTGTTTTTTTTTGTTTGTTTGTTTTTTTGGCTGAGTTTTGACGTTTATGGCCTAGCTCTAATAGTCACAGTTTGCCACTGTTTTGCACAGACCTGCGAGTTCTGATTAGACAGCTAGCTGGTTGCAGCAGTGCAGAATTGAGATGGGACTGCAGGTGAACACTCCTCTCACTCCTCCACAGGTGCATTTGGCTACTTTGAGGTGACCCATGACATCACACGCTACTGCAAGGCCAAGGTGTTTGAACATGTTGGGAAGACGACCCCCATTGCTGTGCGCTTCTCTACTGTAGGTAAGACGTGCTGCCTTTCTCTTCTCCAAAGAGTTCCTATTGTCTCCCCTTATAAAACACTGTTTAAAAAAACAAGGAATCAACAAGTAATTTATAATTGCTATTGTGTAACTTGTTTACTAGGTAGCACTCGGTGGTATGCCAACACTGCAGGAGTTTGGACTCTGTATGTATTGACTGTTCTTTGGCTGAAAGCAGAAAATGCTAACTAATGCTGGCATAACAGATGCCTTGACAGTTGCCCCACTGAATTGAAGCCAAAAGAACTTGTGTAAGAGCTTGTGGGTGTGCGTGTCGTGCGCTTTGATGCAGGGATAGAGCCTATTTTAGTCAGTCAGCAGAGATTCAGATCTCCTGCTCAGCTCTTTGTTTCACCCACAATACCTTCATATGTTTATACTTGGGATAGAGTATTTTGAGAGCCTGTATGTGTTTGTTGTACATTTTCATTTGTAGAACTTTATTGGAAAACTAGAGAAAAACACAACTAACCTACAACATCAGGAGCAACAAAATAGTACTGACTTTGTAAAGGGATTTTATAAAACCCAGAAGTTTCATTTTTTGAAACTTGAGCGAGGTTAAGGATAAGTTTAGAAAAGTGCATATGGATACTTGCAAATACATAATACAGCACTGTGCAAAAAATGTTAGGACCTGAGAAATTTTTATTAAAAGCTATTTAATTGGGCAAATACACATAGTAAAATATATACAGCTAATGTTAATACAATACTGATTTTGTGTATGTCAATGTGTTCACTTAACCACTTCCAAACCTCTCCTCATAGTAGCCCAGTATTAATAGTAGTTATCATCCAATAAGTAGTTTGGTTGCTCAGTATATTAAATTAAATAAGGTGTGTTGGTGGATTTAAACAACTCTTTGCAAAGATGAAACCCAGAACCACAGTTTGTTCCTCAAACTAGCTCACATTCCAGGTATGCCATAATTGTTGCTGTGTGCCATAATTGTTGGCACCCCTTCATGTAATACTTTGTGCAATCTCCCTTTGCAAGGACAACAGCTTTGAATCTTCCCTGTAAGGCTTAATGAGACTGGAGAATACAAGGCAAAGGATCAGAGACCATTCCTCCATACAGAACCTCTGCAGATTCTTCAGATTATGAGGTCCACACTGTGTACTCTCCTCTTCAGCTCATCCCACAGGTTTTCTGTGGGGTGTAGATCAGGGGACTGGGGTGGTCATGACCAATCCTTGATTCTGTGGTCAGTGAACCATTTTTGTGTTTATTTTGAGGCGTGCTTTGGATCACTGTCCTGCTGGAAGATCCAAACTATGGCCCAATTTAAGCTTCCTGGCTGACGCAGTTTGGTTCTGGTAATTGATGGAGTGTTGTGATACCATATATATACTGTCCAGGGCCTTTTGAAGAAAGACATCACGGCATCACAGCCATAAAAGCCATAAATTGGCAGATTGCCGATATTTTTTGAGCGAAAATCTGCTGATTCCAATTGTGCATCCCTAATAAAAGTTGTGTGTGCGTGTGCGTGTGCGTGTGTCTATAGCTGGTGAGTCTGGCTCAGCTGATACCGTGCGGGATCCTCGAGGATTTGCAGTGAAGTTCTACACTGATGAAGGCAACTGGGACCTGACTGGCAACAACACACCCATCTTCTTCATCAGAGATGCACTTCTGGTGAGAGAGAGGTTATACAGTCTATAGTTGGTGTGCTGAGAATATTTTATGATGTGATGTTTAATTCTATCATTGCTTGAGTAGAGACCAGCTTTCTTACGGCATGCATAGTCTGGATGTATTCTGAGTGTATGTGTGTGTCCGTGTGTCCAGTTTCCATCCTTCATCCACACTCAGAAGCGGAATCCTCAGACTCACCTGAAGGATCCTGACATGGTGTGGGACTTCTGGAGCCTGCGTCCAGAATCTCTGCATCAGGTGTGATGTCTCCTCTAGAAAAAATAGTATAGTGGGTGGCATTTGGTTCTTTGGGACAAACAAAAACGTTATACCCTGTTGGTTGGTTTTAGCTTTTTTTGTTGTTAAAATAAAACTTTTTTACACACACATGCCTAATCTCAAAACTTCAGCTTACCTGGATGGATTTATTGAGCTATAGGTTAATACAAAGTTACAGTATAAGATTAACAGACACATTAGAATAAACTGGTACAGATTAGAAAGTGTATGTTATAACTTTTGTTTGTTTTTACTATTTTAAGCTGAAGGTCTGAAAATTGTTGTTCATAAAAGTAAACAGTCAAACTTTGTCTTGGTGTTGTAAATGTAATGTTAATGGGATTAGTGGGCATAATACTGAAATTCCTTGGCTGACCAGTAATTTTATTTTGGTAGGGGAAACACTGAATTGCGTTGAACAGATTTGTCTGGTCCCACCATAACCTGAACCTCAGTGCACTCAATAAGAGTCTGTAGCCTGTGCTAATTTTCTTTTTCCTCTTTTGCTCCTTTCCACAGGTGTCTTTCCTCTTCAGTGACCGTGGTCTGCCTGATGGATTTCGCCACATGAATGGATATGGATCCCACACCTTCAAGCTAATAAACTCTCAAGGCAACCCTGTCTACTGCAAGTTCCACTACAAGGTGTGTGCATGGCGGTATTGACGAATGTCTGGGTTCTTATTTGCATTTCTGTGTTTGTATGCATATGTGCAACACATCTCTTCTCTCTCTGTCAGACTGATCAGGGCATTAAGAACCTGTGTGTGGAGGAGGCAGACCATTTAGCCTCCACTGACCCTGACTATGCCATCCGTGACCTGTACAACGCCATTGCCAGTGGCAACTTCCCCTCCTGGACCTTCTACATCCAGGTCATGACTTTCGAACAGGCAGAAAAGTATCCATGGAATCCTTTTGATCTGACCAAGGTGCTTGAATCTTCACTAACTTTAATGTCTCAATCTCAATCTTTTTCAGTCTCTTTGAGAATGCTAATGTCAGAGGGCCCATATCCTAACATTATTCTTGTGTGTTGTTTTTTTTTTTCTCCCTTCTCTCAGGTCAACTTATAACGTTTTTTAATAAAAACAGGCAAAATTCATTCTCTTTATCCCGTCTCTGAGCCTTTAAGGTTGATGTTTGTAAATGTGCTCTGTTATGATTTGCTGCCCTTTATTAGGCTTCATTCAAAAAGCATTAATTCATTCAAAAAAGCCATTTAAAGCATTTGCAGATGCCCTCATTTGAAGACATTCTCGTTGCTCTTAGTGATTCTATATGTTGTTTAGTCTATTGTATGATTAATTAGTAGATCGGTGATTAATCAGGGATGGTTGTTCTTTTGTCTTGTGTCCCAGGTGTGGTCTCATAAGGATTTCCCTCTGATCCCGGTGGGTCGTTTAGTGTTGAACAGAAACCCTGTAAACTACTTTGCTGAGGTGGAGCAGCTGGCATTTGATCCTAGCAACATGCCACCAGGCATCGAGCCCAGCCCTGACAAAATGCTGCAGGTACACACATGTGCTCTCTCGCTCTCTCCGTCTCCCTCAGGAGTATAATTGTTAGTGTCTGGTTTTGGTCAGTAGGCACTGTCTTTCAGGGTGAACACTGTGTTAATGTATACTAAACATCAAAAAACTGATGTAGAAATTACAGCCGATGCCATTTATCAGTTCAAACGTTTAGGGAAAAGTAAAAAATGTGGTAAGTTTTGTGGTGCTTGTGATCTACATCCATCGAATTGAGCTAATAGAAATTTGACTGTTTCCCAACTCGCAGTGCGCATGATTTTATTATGTAATGGGGGGGGGGACAGTTGCACTTGTGGTGTCATGTAACATTGTGCAAAAATAGGAATGGAAATCATTGTCATTGTTTTTTTTTGTTTTTTTTTGTTTTTTTTTTACATTGGCAAGTGTACAGTAGAGAATGTTGCAGTCAATCATAGTTGTTCACTAGAGATGTGTTTTTTTATTTTTATTATTATTTTTTTTTGGTCACTCACAAAATCATATGATTATAAGAATTGTAATTTTTCTAAAACACATCCTCGTTAGAAAAGGGTGCAGTTGCTCTTTAAGACCTAAAGATGGAGCCAGAATGCCAGTAAATTCTAGTGGCAGTGATTCACGTTTAAAATGATAGATTGGTAGTTTTCACTATTTGCAGTTTTCATGATTTTCATAATTCTTGCATTTCCTGTTGATTTTATGTTTTAGCCATACAGTTTGTTGACTTGCTAATTTGTGAAGGAGGCAGAATTTTTTTTTAATTACTTTTAGACCAATAAAGCTATTCTAAATCAGTTTTTCTTAGATTTAAAATTCTAAATTCTTTAGTTAAGTTTTTTAACAAACTGTGAAAATAAAAACAAAATGCAATGATGTGCAAATAATGTAAATCCTATATCTAACTGAAAATAGCACAAAGACAACAAATCAGTTTTTTTTTTTTTAATATATGCCCATTTTGAATTTGAATGCCAGCAACATGTTTGAAAAGTTGAGACGGGGGCATGTTTACCACTGTGTTTCATCACCTCTTCTTTTAACAACACTCTGGAAGTGTTTGGGAACTGAGGAGACACTACTGTAGTTTTGAAAGTGAAATGTTTTCCCATTCTAGCTCTATACAGGATTTCAGCTGCTTAACAGTTCGGGGTCTTCTTTGTCATATTTTTTGTTTCATAATGTGCCAAATGTTTTTAGTGGGTGACAGGTCTGGACTGCAGGCAGGCCATTTTAGCACCCGGACTCTTACTACAGAGCCATGCTGTTGTAATAAGTGCATCTAGGTTTAGTAAAACCATTAGGGCTTTGCATGGTTCTGTAGTAAAATACATCACTGTGTGTGGGAGCTTTCTGACCGAGATCACTACAGAGTGAGACAATGATTTGGCCAGTTGTGTTTAATAATTAATAAGTCATTAACATCCCTTTCAGCAGAAAACACTGAAACTCTGCAAATCTTGCTTTTGAGCCTAAGTTTGTTATGATTTTATTTTTACATATTGCCATTTGTGTGAAATAATAACTATAATGCCTTTCCAAGAGCAACTTGGAAAGAACAAGTACCAGGTAAAAATCTGCTACAGATTTAACTTACAGAACTGCATTGAAACTTCTTGGTGCATCCAGCCTCTGTCAGCATGGGAGCTGATTTGTTGGGCTCTATTCTTGTTTTTTTAAAGCACTCTTGGTCTAAAATAAAATAAAAATGAATCTCAAAAGTGAGATGTGTAACCAATTCCAAACCAAATGCGATCAAGAAAATACAATGAAGTTGAAGATGACAAAGGAATTAGTAAATAAATAGTAATAACTACAGTTTAACTGAGGAAAAAGCACATTTCCTTCTTCACTAATATGCTTAAGTACATGCCTGGTAAAAGTATTAGTGTTTTGAAGGTACAAATACATAAATTATTTTTACACTTATGTAACTGAAAAAAATGCAGCTAGTAACTAATAACTTCTGGTCTCTGTTATAAACTTCTTAGACCATTAGACATTTTATAGTAACTTTTCATTGTGTCTCTAATCTGCTTGTTTTAGTCCTTTTAAACTGCTTAAACTGCAACTGTTTCTTTTGGTTCAGGTTCATCACGTTTTTCTCTGTGTTCTGAACAGGGTCGTCTCTTCTCGTACCCCGACACCCATCGCCACCGGCTCGGAGCAAACTACCTCCAGCTGCCTGTTAACTGCCCCTACCGTACCCGCGTGGCCAACTATCAGAGAGACGGGCCTATGTGCATGTCTGACAACCAGGGTGAGAGAGCACTGCCCACTCTGCTCTTATCACAGAGCATAATAAGAAATATAAATGAGATGTTTTGTTGATTTTTCTAAGAGAAAATAAGTTAAAACTTTGTTTACAGAGAGCACACTTCTACACTAATACATAATAAAAAATAGATTGGTAGCTAGTCTGAGCCTCATACCTTTTGCACAATAAGATGTCCATGTGTACACACCTCCTTGCAGCAGGTTTCGTCAATTCGATGGGAAACACATGATTGATGCAGTTGTAAACTCTGTGGGCCGTGACTGAGACCTTTGGAAAAAGGTTAAAAGTTTGATGTTCATGGTAATACATCTTTAGAAGCTAGTCAAGAGCTTTCTTTAAAGTGTTTAGTAGTGTTAGTGTGAACCTCAAGTTTGCCAACATTGTGTTTTGGTTGCAGCCCCATTTTGAAAAATCCCCTGTCCCTATGAGTCATGCTAAAACAGCGGTCAGTGGTTGGATGTTTCGCGTGTCAGCCATATTTTCTGGTCATAGTAGGTGGTTCTTGGGCATGTTACTCAGCAAAATGCACCAGAATCTCTGACGATAGGCAGAAGCCTGGCTTGTGAGACTGACAGCTGGCTAACTCTGCAGACTATTCAACTGGTTTGTGCTGTGACTAGATTTATTCTCCTTCCTGGTCTGGCAAGTAAATACCTGATGAACTAAAGTAACCTGACCGAGGAACAGAACAGCTTAATTGTTCTGAAATACCTTAACTATGCATTATAGAACACCAGGACCTGACCCTTTTGTTGCAGTAACTGTGGTATAATGAAGAAGATGCGTGACTGTTTAAAATTAGTCTTCCACACTAGCATGTACCACGACTTGCTGTTTCAGTATCCTCTTGTGATGGAACAGTGTAATTGACCATTTGCAAAACAGTGACTGATACACCTCTCAGTCAGTCACAATATCTAAGCTTTACTTCTTCCAAAAAGGGAAGGACAAAAGTCTGACAAAACAAACTTGCAGTGAGAACAGCAGTACGAGTTAATTAATCAGAATTATTAGACTACATGATTGTGGAAAAGCTGTCACTTATGAACATGTAATTCAGACTCTCCTGATTATTTGTAGTGGTGCTGTTTTATTACATTCCCAAAGCTGAAAAAGACCACACTTATCAATGTCAGGACTGTTAAGAGGCATACCTGTGTTTGCTCTAAGATATGCTATCTGGCCCACTGTGTTTAGTAATACTCATGTTATTATTATGATGAAGTATGTTACAGTAAAATGTCAAGATCAGTTAGCTGTTGACAGTTGTCTTGATAAATCAGTCAGATTAAACATGGCTGTACCCTGCTTGTTTTTAGATACATTGTGTAAAGATGAGCATTAATATATGCATGAGATTTGTATTGATTCATTGAAGTACTAAAAGCCACTCTGCCTACACTATGATCACCGATCACCTCCAGTGTTAGCTTTAGCATTAGCTCATCTGAAGGGGTAGCTTCTGTTGCTCACGTCTCATGCTTATTAGACCTGAAAACCTGCTGCTTCAATGCTCGGTGGATAAAAGATTTCCCTGGTGTCTGATTCATGTTTCCAAGTTCTTTTTTGCTCTAATTTGGCCTACATTCATAATTCCTCAGTTCTCAGAAAGGTATGTCTGCACTGAACCTCAAATGAACTCCTCTGTGTGCTTCAAAAAGTTTGGCTTATGTAGCAACAGTAACTCGGGGAGACAGTGGAAAACTGCAGAACTGAACTCGCTGAGTAGCAGGGAAGCAGTGGAAAGCATGCAGGTCTGCCATGTGTAAGACTTTGTTGTTTCTTTGCTTGCCTACAGGGGGAGCACCCAATTACTACCCCAACAGCTTCAGTGCTCCAGACTGTCAGGCTCAGTTCATGGAGTCCAAGTTCAGGGTGTCTCCTGACGTTGGACGCTACAACAGCGCAGATGATGACAACGTGACTCAGGTAGGGGTGGGGCGAGTGGGTGAGTGAATCTGTGTTTGCGGGTGATGGATGTTGCTCTCTGACTCCCTCTGGGCTCTTGCAGGTGCGCACCTTCTTCACTGAAGTCCTGAATGAGGCGGAGCGTGAGCGTCTCTGCCAGAACTTGGCCGGCCACCTGAAAGGAGCACAGCTATTCATTCAGAAGCGCATGGTAACATCTTCACTCACTACAGTAATTCCACATTATTGAGGAGAGTTGTGGATTGTTCTCACTCACTCTCTGCCGCTCTCACTTTCTTGCTCTCTCATGCTTTTTCTTTCATTCTTTCTTTTGTTCTCTCTCTGCAGGTTCAGCGTCTAATGGCAGTGCACCAGGATTATGGCTCACGTGTGGAGGCGCTGCTTGACAAGTACAACGCAGAGGGCAAAAAGGTACACTTTTTCTTATTCTCAATGTGGCATAACTTTTGCACTGGCCACGTTTCTATTTATTTACTTACTTACTTTCTTGCATTACTTACTACTTACTTGCATCCCAGTATGTTAAGTTCAGCAAATAAACAGTAATTGTGCTAAAATGTTAAAATGTGCAGAAATGTGTTCTTTATAGACGTTGTGTTGACTTACTTTCACTTACAAAATCAACAAAAAAAAAATTTGACGTTTGCATGTGGCTGTATGTTTAGATGTTTTAACTTAATGCAGGCACATATAAAAATGTTATTTGCTCTTTTTTTGCCCTCTTTTTCCTGTTTTCCAGAACTCTGTGCACGTGTACACTCAGGGAGGAACGTCTGCTGTTGCTGCTTCCTCCAAGATGTAACCACTGTATTTAATACAGCTGCTTACACCACTGACTACTTACTGCTTACATACATACTTGCATACAAACACAGTAAGAGATCTCAACCTCTCTCAGCTCTTCCACACCTCAGGACTCTGAGCCAAGACCAGCTCTCCCATATCCATATTATCATTTTCATGAAGCTATGAAAGGCACAAACTGATCTTGGGTTAGTTCTCTTATCTCTGATATACTGCTTCAGACAGTTTGGTAACCATCCATTAGTAAACCATCCGTCAGATGCTCAATTTGCTTTTGATGTGTAATTAATCATGTTCAGCAGCTCTCTAAACAGCTGATTATTAGTCAGTGTGATTCTTCTTGTGTAGATTCAGGTAAGAAAGTCCAATACGTGGCAGCTCTGCATTCTCTACCCCTTTAGGGTTGTATCACAAAACTGAATTTTCTCTCATGTCCAGACGGAGAAAAGATCAGGATTGCTCCTCTGATATGGGCCCTCCTGCTTTGTGAAATACCCCCAGATGAATTTTGAAGCCTTAGTAAAGACATTTTGATACACATTCACTTTTCGCTGCTCTTTCATAAGAGCCTTCTGAACATCCTCACACCTCAAAGTGCTGCTCCACTGGAGATATCGAACAGGAAAAACTGAGATTTTCCAGTAGTCCGTAAACTGATCATTAAATCAATTTTTTTGTTTATTTTGATTACGTAAGCCCTGTAAGTTAAGCTCTGTAAGTCTGAGGTCTTCACAACTTTAGTTTTGGGTCATACTGGGAGAGCTGAAACTGTGGTTTATCTTCATAATTCTATCATTTCAGTACAGCCTCACCTGCTCTCGCAGTTTAATGAAATACTGAATAATGCTTTAATGAACACTAGATAAATAACTGTCATCTAATGAGAGTTTGATATTTTAGTCTTCTCAGCATTAAGTAGACATTCCCTGATTGACTGATTGTACCTAAATAATGTAACAGTTACCACAGTGATCCTGTTAAAGGTATTAGTTCAATTTAAGCTTTGATATTTGGATAACACAATGATGCCTCATATCAGTGTCAGTGTGAAAAGTTTAAAAACAGATGGTAGCATGAGAGCCACAATGTAATTGTGCCTTACTGTCATGTTTCTTGGAGTAATCCTATGCCCAAGAGTAAAAAAAGCTCTTAACAAGTGAATAGTGGAGGAAGAATAAATTGAAGGTCTTATGTGGTTTTGCTGAACAACCAAATCATTTCATCCGTCCAGTTTCTCTCCACATATGAGATTATTGAAAAGTGCATTAAGCATTGCTCTACCATGACGATTTCTATATCCTGTCTTGTCAGAAGAGAAACGATTTTCCTGACATTATGAACTTGTTCTTTAACCAAACTTAATAAATCATAATGATTTGCTATGGATGTTGGAGAGTTTTATTTAAAATCAGCACCTGAAATCACAAGCCAGCTTGTAAAAGTGGTTTAACTTAAATATTATATTTATTAAGTTGTTTTTATTTTCATTAATTACGTTTATTACCAAGAGGTAATAAGAGGTACAAATAACATTCAAGAACCAAAAATACACATACATTGCCAGGGTTACATAGAGAAGAAAAAAAAATCCATTGTCTTTTGTGGGGCGGCACGGTGGCGCAGTGGGTAGCACTGTCGCCTCACAGCGAGAATGGCCTGGGTTCAATTCCCGGCCGGGCGACCAGGGTCGTTTCTGTGTGGAGTTTGCATGTTCTCCCCGTGTCTGCGTGGGTTTCCTCTGGGTACTCCGGTTTCCTCCCACAGTCCAAAAACATGCAGTCAGACTACTTGGACTCGCTAAATTGCCCCTAAGTGTGAGTGAGTGTGTGTGAATGTGTATGTCTGTCTGTCTGCCCTGTGATGGACTGGCGACCTGTCCAGGGTGTTTCCTGCCTTCCGCCCAATGACTGCTGGGATAGGCTCCAGCACCCCACCGCGACCCAGAAGGATAAGCGGTTTAGATGATGGATGTCTTTCGTGCTTTCTTACATTTTGAATATTTTATAAGGATGCCAAATTGTTTGAAATTTTTCAAAAAGTGCATAAAGTGAGGTTTGGAAATGGACCATTTTACATTACGAGTATTCCCTAATATAAGAAACAATTGTATGATATGTAATTTTTACTTCAAACTCATCTAAAAAAGAATCAAACATCAGATATATCAATCCTTTTGCCCCCAGACCTTTTCCCAATAGTTAGGTACATTCCTCCAAACCATTCTTGTGTACAATAAACAGTAAATGCAGTGGTAAAACAAATAATCAGTTAATCCACAAAAAGATACAGGTATCTTCTATATTTAAGATGAGATGTTTCCAAAACAGGTTTTACTGGATAAATTCTGTGTAAATGACATTTTTTTTTTACCTCTTTATTAATACAGTATTTATATGGGATTTTCCCTATTCTTTTCCATTGAATGTTATCAAATAAAGATGACCAAAAAATTTGCCACAGAAACCGTTGGAAAAAAACACAGAAACCATTAAGTGTTTCTGTTGGTTCCTGCTAGTTTTGTAATGTGCTTTGGCTTTTTAATGGGCTGATATCACAATGTAAAGGAACATAATGGTTTATCAGGTGACCGATGGCTGATTCTAAATGCATTTGATGGTTTCCTAACGGGATCTAAGGGTGTTCTGCAGGAAACTAGTGGTCTCTATTGGAAACCATTAGGCAAATTTCCATTAGAAAGCAAAACCATTAGGTTTTAATCCTAATGGTTTCTAATGATCCTTTATTAGCAGGGTGTAACCATGCAGTCAGCTGCCCATTGTTTTTTATTCACCACCTTTTTTGTAGTTCATAATTTGAGACACCAACTGCAGATTCCTGGTTTCAAAACAAGGCCTAATTAATATTATTGTGTAGGCACTGTGCTGTGCCTGTATCTGAGTGGTAGAATACGCACATGTGCATCTCAGTATTAAGATATGCCTGCATTTTCCTATAATCTTTGCTGCACCGCATCCAAAAATTCCAAACCTTTGTGTTTAATGGAGGTCCGCACTGGCGCCGGTGTTGTGCCGAATTCCGACACCCCTTCGCGTGCACGTGCATTACACAGGCAAGTGTTTATGTGTAGCGTGTTTATAACTTTGTTCATTAAGCACTCTAGATTTGTCCTGACTAGATAATTAGAGAAAAGTTGGATATGTTTCTTCAGTTTGACATCTCCAGTATCTCAATAAAAGAGATATGAAAGTCAAGCTGTTCAATAATGATGAGGAAAAAAGTGATACTGTAGCTTCACGTGGTCATAGGTGAACTCTGTTAGTATGTAATTGGTCCAGATCTGACATTTAAAACAGTGTTTAAAGTGTTCTTGTAACACTCTCCCTGAGTGCTGTGGTAACAACCAAAGTCTTTGGTTGGTTACATTTAATTAATAACATATACTTACATCACAGTGAAACTGTGAAGGACAATTAAAGATTAGCTGTTATTTATACAGAGAAACAACCTAAATCCAGAGTGTCATCAAACGTCCACATGACACGCGAAAAGGAGGTGGAATTCAATAGCTATTATAAAATATTAAATAGCTGCTCTGAATTATTTAATACTATAAATTTTTCAATAGTTACTATAAATGATTAATTAAATTATTAAACAGTTACTATAAATTATTAAAGAGCTACTATAAACTATTCAATAGCTACTCTAAAATATTTAATAGCTGCTATGAATTATTTAGTGGCTACTATAAATTATTCTATATATACATACACACACACATCTTCTAAGCCACTTATCCTTCTGGGTCGCAGGGGGAGCTGGAGCCTATCCCAGCAGTCATTGGGTGGAAGGCAGGTTACACCCTGGACAGGTTACCAGTCCATCGCAGGGCAGACAGACAGACAAACACATTCACACACACTCACATCTAGGGGCAATTCAGCATGTCCAATTAGCCTGGCTGCATGTCTTGGGACTGTGGGAGGAAATCGGAGTACCTGGAGGAAACCGACGCAGACACAGGGAGAACATACAAGTCGAATCCAGGCCCTTCTTGCTGTGAGGCGGCAGTGCTACCCACTGCGCCACCGTGCTGCCCCTAAATTATTCTATAGCTACCATAATTTAACAGTTACTATCAGTGATTCAATAACTATTACTAATTATTCAGCAGCTTCTATAAATTATTCAATACCAACTAAAAATTATTCAATAACTATCATAAGAGTCAGTAACTACTATTACACATTTAATAATTAATATGAATGATTCAGTAACTTTATTATTCTGTTAGTATTATAATTATTCAATAATTATTATAAATGATCCAGAAACTTTAAATTATTCAACTTTTTTTATATAAAATATATAAATTATTCAGTAGCTGCTAAAATCATTCATTAACAGCTATAAATGATTCAGTTTTTTCAGTACCTACTGTACATTTTTCAGTAACTAACCAAAATTATTCAATAATTACTAAAAATGATTGTGATTTCTATAAATGTATCAGTAACTACTCTTAAGGTAAAGTGTAGTGAGAGTGAGAAATTGTACAGCCTCCTTTTTCCACCCTTTTAAAGCTGTTCGTCTTTTTTTAAAACTCTCAGGTCTGGGTGGTTGTGCTAAAACACAATTTGCATAACAACACCGTCAGCTTATAAAATATTTGTTTACAGCCCATGAAGGTGCATACTTGACCTACTGAAGTGCCTTTTAGTGTGTGTGTGTGTGTTTTCCTCTCTCCCTCATTGAAGCCTGGAAATCCCCTATACCATCTGTGGATCCTGCAGGAGAACTTTACACACTTTTGAGTGTGTCTTTGGAGCCAGTCTTTTAGGTAAACACTAATGTTACTAGCCTAGCCTTTTTCAGCTCATTTCTTTCATCTGGAAAACCAGTCTGTGGAGAGGTAGTAAACCTTTGCCAAGGCAAGGCTAGTTTGTTTGTGTAGCACCTTTCATACACAGTGGCCATTCAAAGTGCTTTACATAAAGAAAAATAAAAGCATTAGAATATTCCTGAGATCTAGTACCTCAGAAAGGCTTTTGCAATGATAGCTGCAATTAAAAGAAAGTTGCAAAACAATGACAAAGAAGTGTGATTTTACTGGAGTCATTTCCAGCACCCTAAGTGAGGTACTTACCTCTTTCACCTGCTAAATAGCAGCTGTAACTGAACAAAATCTTACTTAGAAGTAAGACCAACTTCTAAGCTGTTAATCAGTCATTGGGAGATTCATACTAGCAAACTTTTTAAAACCTAAGTTTTGATAAAGCTTAGGAGAACATTTAGATGTCATATAAATAAATAAATTAACTTAAACATTAAGAACAGGGAATTAAAACAAAGGACATACGAGCTATAAAATTGAACAAAAGTATAATGAAAAAAAAATAAAGTAGCAAAATCAAAAACATACTTGAGTTATAAAATAAGCTTATAAAGGTAAAGTGCAGTAAGAATGTAGTAAAACATAAAGGGAGATTAAAACAAATGTGAAGTGCAGTAAAAATAAAGTGCAAGTTATGGGAGCTCAATCACAGGCACATGAAAAGAGAAATGTTTTTAGCCTGGACTTAAAAATTGCTACATTTTTATTGTGTAAAACTAAACTTGAACCCGGGTATTATCAGCTTTCCCTGACAGCGTTCTATAGTGGCGGGTGTGTCCTGTGTTTAGTAGTCTTTACCACATTCCCTCCCCCACACATTCCAGCAGCAAAGTGATTCCCAAGCTCTGGATGGCTCTCTCTTGTACTAACACGCTCATGCATTTTCTTTCACTTTCACTTTCCTCCACAATGAAAGCTACAATGATACAGTTTCCATGGAAATGAAACCAACGCCTAGTAGAAAAAACAAAACAAAGGCTTACTGCTACATTTCTCATAAACTATAAACTGATCAGAAACATCTTTTTAAATTAAGTACTCAAAAAGTCAAAAATTTAAAAACAGGTGGTGTGCCTTACTGTCAAGTCAGATTTTCTTAGATTAATTCTGGGCCCAAGATGGAAAAAACTTAGCTCTTGAGACATGAACTGTGGGTTTTTAAATGCTTTTCCTGAGTAGTTGAATCATTTAATCTGTCCAATTTTTCTTCACATGTATGATTATTAAAAGGTACATTAAGTATCACTTTTCAGTGTTGATTTCTGTGTCCTGTTTTTTCCTTCTTGCCTGAAGAGAGTCAGAGGAGAAAAGAATTACATGTAAAATGGCTTTCCTGAAACAGGAAAATGAGGCAACAGAGATGTCACAAGACCCATTCCCGGAAAGGGTGGGTGTGGAATTGTTGTAACTTGCACTCCTGCACACAGGCAGATAGATCCAGCTATCCAGCAGCGCAGGACTCAGACTGCTACAGAGATGCAAAACTCTTACAGACCCATGGAGAACTTCCCCCTGCAGGGAGATGCAGGAGATGGAACTGTGGTGGTTTCCATGCCTGAACATCCTAAGGATTACATAGTTTGGTCCTTGTCCACCCTCTACTTCGGAAACCCGTTCTGCCTGGGGCTGCTGGCCTTTTATTTCTCAGTAAAGGTGAGTACAGCATAACAGAGTTGTAGAGATTCTCAGAGTGAACAATCAGCATGTGGTGGTTATGAAAATGAAGCTGTTCATCAAGTGTTTGGTAGATTATAAGGCCTGCCCTTTATTAGGATTAGCTAGTATAAACAGTAATTAAATCGTTCTCAGTAAAACTAACTAAAATGTGACTGCAGCCATATTGAGAAGAACGAGTTATGACTGCACATGATGCCACTTCGAGGAACACTGTGAATTTTGAGTAACAGATTGCATCACTGAAGAATATTGTGAATTTTGTCTAATCTTAGGAACCACCACATCTGAAATCTAATGTAATTTTTGCAGATTACTGATATATTTTAAACTAATCATCAGATGTGTTGTAACAGCTGTAACAGCAATAATACAATACAAATAACAACAAAATATGATGTGATTACATCCATTATCGTACATACATTGGGTTAATACATGTCTTAGAAATAGAGTCTAAAAGATTTTACAGAATAAATGATGGAAATGACATTTTACCAGTTTTTGGTGTAAATACAGCAGACTGCATCATGTTAGGGTTAGTTTCATAGCAAGAATGAAACTACAGCCTTATTTGACACATTTAAAATTTCTAAAGTTCCTGAATTCTTCAGTATGTCCCATTCTACTGCTAAGGTTTGTATGAGGAGATTGCATGGCTATGTGCTTGATTTTATACATCTGTTAGCAACAGGTGTGGATGAAACATCTGAGCTCAATAATTAAGAGGGGTGTCCACATACTTTCTACTCACTCTTTTTTGTGTTGACACAGAAAAAAGTTAAACGTTATCCCGACCTAAACAAATTACAAAATTCACAGTTCTTGACAAAATAGATGAATGTTGGTCAAGTAGAGTTCCCTCTACTGACTTAGAAATTGACCCTTTGCCAACCCACCCAGTTCTCCCTACTGACAATTCTTTCACAGATGTGCAATGTAAAGAGCTGTAATGTATCTAAAGCCTGTTTTTATGACCTGTGTGTGTGTTTCAGTCCAGAGACCGGAAGATGGTGGGAGATCTATCAGGAGCGAAATCATACGGATCTACTGCTTGCTGTATCAATGGATGGGCCCTCGCTCTGATTATTCTCTTCATAATAATCGCCATCATCATTGTAGCAGTAACTGTGCCAGCAATTGTGGATCACATTAAATCAGAGCCTTCTTATGGAAAATACCCATACGGAGTTTAAATCAGTCTCTTTGCTTAGCAAAACGACCATTGTCAGCATAAAAAGCTTTTCAGGTTGATCTGATTAACATTTCACTCCTTGTTACTGGATGCTTTGTCTTGTAAGAATTTTGTTTTGTAAAGAAAAAGTAAAATTCCACATGTAAATGTTTTATTTTCATGATGTCTGAGTAATTAAAGAGACTCCTTACATGAAACATTGACAAACTGTGTTTATAAATGCAGGTCAATTAGGCAACTACACAAATAATATTTTATTAAAGGTCATTGATTTTTAAAACAGAACACTTTTTGTAATATTTGGCAAAAATTCTGCTCACTTTCTGGCAGCTGTCAATGAAATGTATGGTAAGTGGAAAAAATCTAGTTTCATCAGCTGTCCCAGGCTCTGTAAACAAGAGAATAAACAAATAATGTGGACCACGAACATTCAGCCAATCAGGACAGAGAAGATTCTCCACTTGCCTGTCAATCACATTGTTTAAGTACAGTAGAAAGCTGTAACAGAGCCGTTAGCACACGTGTCAGGCTGCAAGGAACCCTTACTAAACATAAAAAATATAAAAGTATAAAAAAGCCCACAAGCAGGTTTCTCAAAAAAATGTTAAGTAAAACGAAAAATTTAACCTTATTTTGTTTGCTTCTTTTGCTTTTTAGAAGCATCACTGTGCCGACACATATGAACCATTATCTATCCTGTTGTGGTCGCTAAAAGATTATCTAATAATGTCACGCTTCCTGGTTCTCAGTCGGACACTCATACCACCCAGAACACCATTTCCCAGAATCCCTCTGTCAGTCACGAGACTTCTTCAACCAATCACAAACCACTCAGCAGATCACGTCACCTGAATTCTAATCACCACCACCTGTAGAACTCTGTATAAATACTAGTCTGTTTGATTCATGTCTACGCGAAGTATTGCTTTTGCTTAGTCAGTGCATGCCAAGCCGTTTGGTTTTCTGATTGCTGCCCGTGTTTGACCTCGCTTTGTTCTTTCCCGTGGACGATTCTCGCTCCTGTTTTGGCTTTGCTGTTTTCGTGTATTTGTTTTCTCTGGTTACGACTCCGCTTTCGCCTACTCCTATGTATTTTGTCTTGTTATTCTGGTTATTGACCTGGTCTGGTGTTAACCCTGTTTATCTCAGGACGAATAAATCTTCCGAGTTCATTTTTATCCGCGTGTGTCTGATTTGCAAACCCGTTACAAATAACAAGATACCAACATCCATCGTTTTATTCGATTTTGGACAAATAGCAGGTTAACCCATTTTATTTTAAATAATCATAAAAATAGAAAATAGATTATACGCAAAACTAAGCTTGTGTGAGTAACATTACTTGCACGTATGTAGAGGGCTGAGGTATGAAAATAAAATTCTAACTTACCTCTCACTATCAAACCTCTCACACTATCAAACCTCTCACACTATGAAACTCTATCACACTCACTATCAAAATCTCTTACACTCACAGTCAAACCTCTCACACACACTATTAAACTGTCTTACACTACCAAAACTCTCACACTCAGTATCAGAGGCCATTTAGGCCAAAATTCTAACTGACCTCTTGCACTCACCATCAAACTCTCTCTCACACACTATCAAACTCTCACACTCGCTATCAAACTCTCTCACACTTGATATCAAACTCCAAGGCGTTCTTGATAGTGAGTGTGAGAGAGCTTGATAGAGTGTATGAGAGAACTTGATGGTCACGTTTTCTGATTGGCCTAGAGAGTTATCATTTAAATTAGCAGTTTCTGATTCACTCATAGTCAAATATGCCCGTCCCCCACATGCGGTAGTTCACTCTTCAAGGGTCTTCAAGGGTCCCTGGCAGTGGTTCTAATTTTACGTTATTTTCCACCTCTGAGCATTCAACATAAACTGGTAAAAATATGGAGGCCTGCATGAAAACGAGTATTGTGAGTAACACGCTAGCCAGCTAACATTGCTGATATGAGTGATAAGTCCATCATTCACAATCTATTTGCTTTATCAAAACGGTGAACTTCATGGTCACTGTTATAGATTTAAGAACTTTATTTATATGCTGAGTGATTTAAAGAGAATACTGCTATATACTTACAGTATATTTTACTACTGTTGACGGTGTTAGCAGCAATGTTGATATAATACTGATGCTGATGGTGTCCAATACTGAACTCAGAGTTGAGGACACTACCTCAACTTTTTGAGTAGAAATTCCCAGTTGAGGGGGTGTTTTCTATGGATTTTTGTAGCCGGGGGTCAGAAATGTAAAGTTCTGACGTTTGGCCAAATGCAGCATTAGATCACAATACTGTAGCATAGCTAGCTAGTTAGCTTGCTTAGTTTGCTCACTTAGCTGGCTAAATAAATTACCTTCATACAGACCATCATAAACAGCTGAACAGATCCCCTCTGCGTTTCAGTAATGTTAAATTCATGCAACATTCCAGCTACTAACCACATATAAACATTCCAAATCCTAGCTTATGTGTAAATCCTGAGAGTGAACTTTAAATTTGTGCTAGTAGCTTAAGTGATATGGCAAAAGTAAGAGAATGATATTTGAAAGCATTTTCACAACATGTATCATATCATTTATTTAATAAGCTGAAATGAACAAAATGCAATGCAAAAACAATAGCACCACATTCATATAAGTATAAATAACATAAAAATACAAGAACAATGATTTCTACAACGTTTATACAATGACTGCAATAAAAACATCAAACACTGGTAAAAAGAAATCAGTATAATAATTTACTACATAAACTAAATGTAATAAAATACAACCAATAACATTATGGGCTGACTGTCAAGTGGACATTCAGTAGACAAAAGCTACTTGTTACTATGCAGTTTATGCAGTTACTATACACTGTCAGTTGCTGTTAATATACGATCAGATGATATCACACTACCTGAGGACATGCATGTAAAATCTGCATCACATCTAGAGCAAAATACAGACATACTTTTAAACCACAGTATTATTAATTTAGTACCTGGTTTCAGTGTTTGATTAATTTCCTTCAGAGTTTTGTTTATGAGGAGAAAGAGTTTATTGATTTTATGTTTATTTATGTTCTGATGTATCGTGTGTTGTTTTTTCTGGATGTCTTCTATCAGAACTGTTCAGGATCTTTTGTGAGGCTCCAGACTGCGTGACTATCTATCCAGTGAATCTTCAGAGCTACACCAACTAGTAGCTCAGGATGGGAACTTTGTCCACCTATGTTTGTAAATAAAGCATCAGTTAAATTTAGGTTTTGTTAAATATGACATTCATGTTCTAAAATTAATAAAACATAGGCTGTAAATATATCAGGTTAATTCTTAAAATTACCTTCAGAATCAGTGGGATAGGTTGATCACTGCTGGAGGAGGTGTTGCCTGGCAAACAGTAAATGCCATTCTATATCGGACTAGCAGGTAACTGCCCTCTTATAGAAAGGGCAGTGATAAAGGCCTCCAGTGCCTGCCTCCTCTCCTCCTTCATCTGCACTCTCTCCCTTTTGGCCTGCTCGTACTTTGCCAATGTGATCACTCCGTGAGAAGTTTCTGTTTGGAGAGGAACAGTTGATAGTAATACAGGACCTCCACTCTCTGTTTTAAAGACACGCCACCTGTTTCAGTACTGGTTTTAACCAGCCCTCGTTCACTCATCCTTGTCTTTTCCCCTTTGGGGGAATCCCTGGTGCTAGATTAAGAGCCGTTCATAACTTTATTAGCTCAAGTGAAGTTTATTAGATGACCCCTTGTAGGAGCGACGGATCGAGTGAACACAAACGTTCACTTTGGCAGCAGAACTTGACCAAAAATTATTATGAACTGATGCATTTCCCATTTCAAATATTGGTAGATGGTGTTTATAAGCCATGGCAGTAAACTACTTTAAAATGCTTAACATTTCAGAAGTACATCATTCGATTTGCTGGACTTTAAATTGTAAATAACATGAGCCCAACTATGTTCTCAAGGTTCTATATGACCAATGTTCTGGATTCCCAGGGCTCTAGGTATCCTATGCTTAGCTCTTTATACATCACAAATCTATATGATACATTAAGTGAACCTCTGAAAGCTAACCTCTGTAAGGTACATAAACTTTTTGAAGAATTGCTTCATCTGGTTTGAGGCTGCCCTCTTTTATTGTTGTTGCTAGTTGTGTAGCATTTAGTTCGCTAACTAGCAAGTTAGCAGAATAAAGTAACAAATTAGATGTGGTATGAAGGGAAATGGTGAGGACAATTACCAAGAGCATGTTGAAAAGCAGCACTGAAATGGATGGTAGATGTTGTCAGTGAAGATAAGCTTAAATATTCAAATGTTAGCATGTATGCTAACTCTGGTAATGTTTTGAAAAGTTCAGTCAGAGTATGTTTTAATAAGGGAATCTATTTGGAAGCAGAATGTACATAAAAAGATTTTTTCTGATCATTTAACATCAGAATATGTACATTTGTAAATACACCAGAAGTTATTTTCATATTAGTGTTGAGGAAATATGATTGAGGCAACACTGAAACACAAAACTATTTCCTTATAAAATTTCAGTGAGGAAATATAGGACCCTGGGAAAATAGGACTGTGTCTCAATATTACATAGAGGGAACACTGGGCCTGGGGAACATAGGACCCTGGAAACATATGGAAAGACCCCCAAAGACTCCATCTCTTATACTTCACTCCTGATACAACTTCATCACTTTACTCGGCTAGCTGGCTAGTGAGCATGCTAAGGCTACACGACTAACAACAACAAAAACAAAGGCTCTACACCAACTTCATAGCCGGCCAAAGCAATTATTCATCAATTTTATATATATTATGTTCTCTTCTCAAAAAAACAGTTAGCATGGTTAGCCAATTAGCTCACTGAGGCTAACCAAGCTGAGGGTGAGTGTTTTCTGTTTGAATATCGTTCTCCTCACCGTTCTGTCACCAGTGGCCACTTGTGTAACACGGGAGCGACGCACATCCGACTGGTGAGAGCATGTTAAAAAAAGTACTGAAACGCAGCCACATTTTCATACGTTAACCTGTCTCACGCTAAGGAAACGTTACTGTCGTGTGTACATTCTTATTTTGTGGAAAGATAAAACATTTCTTTACATATTTGCCAGTTTTCTGTCATTTTTGATATCAAAATGAATTGATAAATGTCAGAAATGCAGACTAAAAATTGTAGATATGTAAA